AAAAATATGATAACCAGTAGGATCAAAGTATAATTATGATTATGAAAGCATTTTTGAGTAGGGATTCTGAATTAGAAATAGGGTTATGAGTACGAGGACCGTTATGAGGATTAGGGTTAAGGAGCGCGCGACAGCGCAAGTTGTCGTGGATATATAGTATATACAAATTTGGTGCTATGTAGTATGTACCGGGCCAAATCCCTTAAGACCGCGAGATACTGAGGTACTCCGACATTTCTAGACATTTTTAAAATTTCAAAACTCTGGAGGCTAAAAGTTGCCGTGGATACATACAATTGCTAGCCAGGACAAAAGCAGATATCAAAAAAAATTTTTAAAAAAATTCAAGAACGGTGCACAATTTGCGCAACAGCTATTACTACTTAGTGTCAATAATACGGTTTTTACGATTAATAAACAATATATAATGTTTTTACTAATAACATTAAGCGCAGTACCGCACTGGTATGAGTAGCGGTAAAGGTTTGAGTTATGATTATGAACAAAAATATGATAACCGGTAGGATCAAAGTATGAGTATGATTATGAAAGCCGTTTTGAGTATGAATTCTGAATTAGGAATAGGGTTATGAGTATGAGGACCGTTATGAGAATTAGGGTTTGGGAGCGCGACAGCGAAGTTGCCGTGGATACATACAAATTTGGTGCTATGTACCGGGCCAAACCCCTTAAGACCGCGAGATATTGAGGTACTCAGACATTTCTAGACATTTTTAAAAATTCGAAACTCTGGAGGCTCAGAAAATTAGAGGTAACGGCCCCGCTGCGCGGGGCCGAGTCGAAATATTTAGAAATTCTGGAAATGTAAAAGCTTTGAAGCCGACTTTGGAAAAATTAATAGTTATTTTGAGGTATTCGAACATGTTTTAAAAACATGGTAAAGGTTTCAAAAATTTAAGAAAGTTATAATTTTGATGGAATTGACAATTTAAATAACATACACAGATCTGTAGTTTAGGTTGCTAAGCTGCGAAACAGACTACAACAGTACTACAACAATACAGTACAGTACAGTACAGTACAGTACTACAACTGTAATACAGTACAGTATACAGTACTGTAATACAGCTTTTAATATTGTATTAATACGCTGGCGATGAAGTGATAGTAGTACTACATTTAATTGCTACAACTTGCGTACTGAGTACTGTAAAGTACTCATTCATTGCCAAAATAAGTAATTTAATTAGTAGTACAGTACCTTTAAGTACTAACAACATTTTAAGTACTGTACTGCAACATTTAAAAATTTTTTAAGAACTGCTTTAAAACTGATAATTTTTTTAAAGATAAAGGTAGGAACGTTTGTGTGATGCTCAATTTTATAAAAATAATAACTTTTTGAAAAGGTCAATGTTGATTTAGGAGATAATTTCCAAAACTAACAACTTTTAAGTACTAAAAACCCTTAAGTACTACAACTTTTAAAAATTTTATTTAGACTTTCTCCAAAACTTAAGATTTTTTAAAGATAATGGTAGGAACGTTTGTGTGATGCTGTATTTTATGAAATTAATAACTTCTTGAAAAAATCAATGTTCATTTAGGAGATAATTTCCAAAAAATAAGGACGTAAGGATATATGAATCTATTGATAACAAGTATCGGTCGCGCTAGCGCGCGACCAGTTGTGTTCAAGGTATGGAAGAATGAAAGAAATTACAAAATATACTTCGTACAGCTATAAAATATTTCAATTAGAAAACCCCATCGAGGCCAGCTACGAAAATATTTTAAACATGTAGAAATGCGGACAGCTTTCAAGCTTTCCGGTTAAAATCGATCAGTTTATGAAAACTGTAATAATCTCCGTAACTTTCTTTTTGTTTTTCTTTCTTATATTTTCAGTGTAACTTTATATTACTGATCTAGCCAACTCAAAACTTGAATTTTTGGTACGACAGATAGGGCAGTGTGCGCTAAGCTCCAAAACCGATTAAGAAACCGATCCGATGCTTTTTCATCCTGACTCAAGCGACCGCACCTCCCGAATGCGTCTATTGGACAATCCGAAACACTTGCGGTTGCACAAAATCTTAATCGCAACCGGTTGAGCAAAAGCGATTAAGAAATTTTCGGAATTTTCTTAATCGGTAAAAGTCTTAATCGCTTAGCGGTTATTCTGGGGTTATTTCGCTAGCAGTTACGATGTTTGACAGCCTAACTAGGGATACTGATCCGGGGTGCTTTTTGGGGGTCCATATTGCCGAATTTGCTATTTGACTCCTTAAAATTTTCGTATCGCTTGATTTTTTAATCAGTTTTGAGCACCTGTGATGTTAAATCGACTAATAAACCGATTAAAAACCCGAGCGATTAAGAAATTTTCTGGAGAAAATGTCTTAATAGGATTCGTAATCGCTACCGAAGATGCTTAGCGCACGTGCCCCATAGTATTTAAGCGGTGATAAAATGGATGGCGTGGGATCGGTGCCCATAAAACACCATTCAGCCGATATTTCGGCGCAGAATTAATGAAACTTTTGGGAAACAATAACTAGTTGCTCAACGTGACCTCGCAGACTGCATCTTTAGCTACTAACTGCTACATTTTCAGCCATTCAGCCAGCTGTTCAGCATTTATTAAAATAAATTAAATACATATTTATTAGATTTAGAGGTTAGTGAATACCCGAGCTGCCATCAGTATTACAAAGAAACGTAGGTTTGTGAGTGCCCAAGCTACCACCAAAACCACAGAGCCGCTACGTTAGTGAATACAGTAAACGGGCCGCGGGCCGGCTCTTAGATGTTTATGAATTAGATACTCGTATAATTTGGACACTTTAGACCGTGAGATATTGAGGTACTAAGATTTCCAGATATTTCAGCGCAGAATTAATGGAAACCTGTGGGAAACAATTAATAGTTGCTCAAAGTGACCTCGCAGACTGCATCTTTAGCTACTAACTGCAAGATTTTCAGCCATTCAGCCAGCTGTTCAGTATTTAATAAAATAAATCAAATACATATTTATTAGATTTAGAGGTTAGTGGATACCTAAGCTGCCGCCAGTATTACAAAGTAACGTAGGTCAGCGGATTCCCAAGCTACCACCAGTCACAGAGCCGCTACGTTAGTGAATACAGTAAACGGGCCGCGGGCCGGCTCTTAGACATTTGGGAATTAGATACTCGTATAAATTAGACACTTTAGACCGTGAGATATTGAGGTACTAAGTTTCCAGATACTTTTAAAATGTAGAAACTCTGGAGGCTAAAATATTTAGAGGTAACGGCCCCGCTGCGCGGGGCCGAGTCGAAATATTTAGAACTTCTTGGAATGTGAAAGCTTTAAAGCCGACTTTGGAAGAATTTATACTGTAGTTATTTTGAGGTAATCGAACGAATTTAAGAACGTCTTAAAGGTTTCAAGAATTAGAAAAAATAAAATTATGTTTGATGTAATTGGCAATTTCAAAAAACTATTGTTTAGGTTGCTAAGTTGCGAACTCTCTAGAAGCTAACAGCATTTCAGTACTACAACTTACGTACTTAGTACTACATTTAAGTACTAACAACATTTTAATACTACATTCATGAGTACGCCGGCGATTACGTGTAAGTACCACATTTAATTACAGTACTGTACTACAACCTAACCATAAGTAAAGTACTACTACACTGCCACATTTAAGTACTACAACGTGTAAGTACTAACAACCCTTAAGTACTACAACTTTTAAAAATTTTTTTAGAACTTCTCCAAAACTTAAGATTTTTTTAAAGATAGAGGTAGGAACGTTTATGCGATGCTCTATTTTATAAAATTAATAACTTATTGAAAAAATCAATATTGATTTAGGAGATAATTTCCAAAACTAACAACCTTTAAGTACCAACATCCCTTAAGTACTACAACTTTTAAAATTTTTTTAGACCCTCTCCAAAACTTAGGATTTTTTTAAACGTAAAGGTAGGAACGTTTGTGCGATGCTTTATTTTATAAAATTATCAACTTATTGAAAAAATCAATCTTCATTTAGGAGATAATTTCCAAAAAATGAGGACGTAAGGATATATGAATCTATTGATAATGACGGTTGTAGTTAACTACAAAGGACATACCAAAAGTAAGTTTCCCTATTTTATAACTTCCGATGGAAAACGGCCAGCTGTGAGTGTGATACATCAGTGTCGAGAATGGTCAGTGGTGTAATGACTCATACACTTTGGGCAAGCCTGCTACCCACTGGCTATTTATCGCATTTATTTTTCGCCAGTCACTGTTGCAAAGCCTCGCACTCGCATGTATTTCGACATGCCATTTACCAAAGAGCATATTCGGGCAGTTACAATGTACGACAAAAAGAGGTTGAACCGATCAGTCGGTCCGCGGCTCAAAATAACCTCGCAAGCGTCCAAGTTTTAGTGGTGGCGTGTCGTTGCGAGGTTATTTTGAACCGCGGACCGACTGATCGGTTCAACCTCTTTTTGTCGTACATTGTATATTTTCTGAATTTTGCCTCGGTAATGACTGTAACGTTTGTTTTGAAAAAATTAGTAAGGTTTTTGGACAGTGTTGTCCTTCGATACAGGCGGTTAGAACTTGGTATAGAAAGTTCCGTGATGGAAGAAAAATTGTGGAAGATGGACGACGCCTGGGAAGACCACGGACAGCGGTCAGTGCTGCAAACATTGCTCGTGTTCGCGACATCGTCCATCAAAATCCCCGAATAACCGTTTCCCAGATTATGTACGATCTGGGGATTGGAGCACACGCCGTGACGACCATCCTGCATGATCATCTGAATTTGAGAAAAATTGTGTCCAAATTTGTGCCTCACATGCTCACAGAAAGTCAGAAACGGGCTCGTGTTGATTTTTGTCGAGATCTGCTCAAGCGTTGTCGGAATCATCCTCAACGCTATTTATCTAACATCTTTACTGGGGACGAGACCTGGGTTTACCATTGGGATCCGCTTACGAAGCGACAGTCGAGGGAATAGACGGAGAGAGGGAAGAAGGGACCAGTGCAGGTACGCCGTGATCGCTACACTGAGAAGACCATGTTCTCTGTTTTCTTCAATGCCAGAGGCGTAATAAGCGTGACGCGTGTACCCGAAGGAAGGACAGTGACGGCCCAATTCTACGTTCGAAAATGTTTGCGCAAGACCCTGGCTAAGCTGCGTAAAGATGTCGGAAAGAAGAAAATGCGCCACCAGCTCCTGCATCACGATAATGCGAGGCCTCACACCGCATCACTGACTAAAATTTTTTTGAAATCACGGAAGGTTAAACTCTTTCCGCACCCCCCCTACAGTCCTGACCTCAGTCCGTGCGATTTTTATCTGTTCTGGAAAATGAAGGATTTGCTCAGAGGAAAGCACTATAAAAGTGCAACGGAAGCTGAAGCTGCCGTGAGAGGCGCTCTGCGAAGACTTTCAATTAACGGTTTTTCTGCTGTTTTCGATGATTGGTTAAGCCGGTGTGAAAAGTGTATTAAATATAAGGGTGATTACTTTGAATAAATAAATTATAAAAACTGGCCGATCATATATGGATCAGAAGATATAAAATAGGGAAACTTACTTTTGGTATGCCCTTTGTATTTACGCGAAATGGAAACATAAAGCTGTTAATGTTATAATGTACAACAATATATATGCAGGCAGCACGTGCGAATTTCGTGGTAGGAGTCCTAGGTCACGCAGCGCTGCGTTTGTTTACAACACGACTATTATCTGCGTCAGCGCTAGTAAAGAATACAATTATTTCTATTTCTCTAGTTAACTTAATTAATTAATAACAACATTAAAGCGGCATTCAAGCTAACATATGCTTTACGCGCGTCACATACCTGGGTGTGTACGAGTGAATCTTAAACGTACAGTATTAACATTTGAAACCGGATGAGCACTAATTAAACGGTTGAACACTAGCTACGGTTTCCCTCCGTGCTTTGATCGCCGCTGACCTGAATTGCAACACACTCGCAGTATGAAAAATCCTCTAATTAATATAAAAAATTTGTTAGTAAATATTAACCGGCTTAATTGACGGGTATGGAAAATTTTCCCAGCACACTGGAAGAATTTGCTTCGGAATGCGTGCTAATAGTGGAGATTATTAAACGCAACGGCCTTCCATACGTCGATATCAAGCTATATAGTATACTATTTAAAAAACCGTATACATAAATTGATGTACTATTTATATGTTTATATGAAATTAGTATTATTCTTATCTTTGTACTTGTGCACATAACAAACGGGATAATGCATTCAAGCCCGTATCTATATAGTGTATCGCCCATATATGAATGTTAATGACCTTTGCCCCGTATACGCACTACATATTATAATGTCCCATTACTTAATAATCATATCGATTTTAGCTTTGTACTTTACACGCATTCTCATGTACGTACGTGCTGCTTAATTTATAATGGCTACATGAGTCCATGGCTACAGCCTTAACGCACGTCCCAAGATCATGCGTGACACTAACGATTTCAGATGTTTTTTAATGTTTAAAAATTTGATGCTTTTAATTAGTGTAAACCTGCGCAGGCGATTTCTTATGTATGCTGGCCGAAGCCGAATAAAATCATGGACATTAATATGACAAAGTTGTACGCATGTGATTATTATAATAATTATTGTATGTTTGTGTACTACATATTGTGGATATACGCACTACAGCTGACAGAGTACAGTCGTACACAGGGTATAGCACCGTACTCTGTCAGCTGTAGCGTATAAAATAATGATGTATCCCTAGTCCCTACTACCCACTCCCCTATCCAGAGTTAAGTTGTGAAGCAAGCCGTAGCCGCTTTATCGATCGACATGGTCCCGTCAGTAATGTTCCTATCGCACGTACTGAACGGCTCGGAAGAATTTTATTCAGTGAACAATTTTTTTGTTATTAGTTATTTGCGCGTACGGTCCACATGCGGATGTAAAAATGCATCGAGTCACAGATTTATCCGTTATTTGGGTAATTTTCTTTAAGTGTGCAGAAAGCCGAACTCTTTTTGTTAAATGCAGCTGCAAGCCGTACAGACGCTCTTAAAAGCCCCCGTTCAGCAAAACTAAATCTGTATTTTCTGTACAAAGCCTTGTGCCTTCTCTGTTAACGGAAGTCAGTGAAATCTACATGTGCTAGTTCGAATCTTTCGCCTTCGAGTCTCCGGTCGCCTGCTCCCGATGTTCCTAACATCCGTTCTGACGTATGGTTCCGATGAGCAGATGATCAATCTAAACTAATCCGGTGTTTTCCCTTCCACCGTGCCATTCTGGCAGCTCAAAGCACCTGCTTCCGCTCTATGTTGGCGTTTGCAGATGAAAAAAGCGCACGAAAGAGCACATCCAGAGCCAGAATATTCCCCGTGAAATTCTAGACCAATGGATAAATAGCGATTGACGAGGCAGAAGTGTATGAACCATAAACCAAGCATAATAAAGACGTAACGAATATCCATCGTTAACGCCATTATTATGGTTGGTTTTTTGTGTTAATCCAGGAAAGCCAGCTACCAGATGGAATGCGAATTCAGACTGAAAAATTTGTAGTTTCGGTCTCTCGAATAAAGTAAGTCAGTAAAGAAGAAAATATTTTTTTCAAAATTTTAGTGACCATAGGTCAAGCCGACCATGTCGAAATAAATCGCATGGTAACCATGTTTGCACCGAATGTTATACATTACCTTTTATAGCAATTGACAACACACTCAGACAGAACATGTCAATAGCTCGACCGATAGATCTCAAGAAGCTCTTTGATACAGATGCACTGGTCATCGAGATAACCAGTGGTCAAGAAAACCTAAAACGCACAAAAACATTAATGTGAACCGGTATACATGAGATATTGCACGAAATGGTGAGCAACGTTGCCAAAAAAAGTTAAAGCCCATTTCTTTATGAAACAAGCACTATTAGTATGAGTTTGCATCATATTATGCAAGTTGTACACTAGTAGCGTGCAATGCGTGGACTGTTAATATGACAAAGCTACAATTATTCATTATGCATTCTGTAGTCCCTGTTTGATGTATCTACTCCACAGTGTACATAATTACAGAGTTGCAGAGCAAGCGTGGCCGCTTTGAAAAATATCGATCGCCACGGTTCCGTACCAGTAGATAACGCACAGACTGATCGGCCTGAAGGACATTATATGGATATTTGCTTGTTATAGCTCACGCGCTTACTCAGTTCCAGTAATAACATTTACATCGAATCTTTATTTGGGCAAATCGCCATTTTGGTAATTTTTTCAGTGTGAAAGGCCGAACTTATTCGTGCAGCATTACCAGCAACCGTACACCTTGCACCGATTGGTGGTACTTTGGCTTTCGATCAGAGTGCCAGTACATCCAAATAAATTAACAATGCCCATGGAGCCTATTAGCTCAAAACTTTCCTCTCCGAATTTTCTGCAACCTGATGCGGTTAGTCCAAACGTTCGTTCCGATGTGTCGCTCAGGGGAGCGGACGAACAGTCCAAACCAATCCAGTGGATTCCCTGCCACCGTGCCATTCTGGCGGCCAAAAGTACCTACTTCCGCTCCATGTTCGCGTCGCAGATGAAAGAATCTCATGAAGAACAGATCCAGCTGCAGGATATGCCTCATGACATCTTAGACCAGTAAGTGTCCATCGACCTGAAGAAATGAATTATAGCCAATGCTGCTTTGGCCAGTTCGGTTTTAAAAGAGCGTCCAATGAACTTTTTAAGCATCGGACTATATTTAGGTAAAATGTTAAACCTCGCGCTGCAAAAGCTAGTGTGAAAATTCATTTAAATTTTTAAACTGCCTATACGGATAATCACTGAGCGTGTTTATAATTACAGGGTTGTCCGGTACATATATACGGCAAAAATCTATTTGGATGCCAGCAATGTTCTTTTACTACTTGAATTTGCAATATTCCTCGATGTGTCCGAGATCGTCCGCGCATGTACAGAATTTTTAGAAGGCAACATGAACACCGGAAACTGGTTGACCGTGCAGCGCACGGCGGAATTCCTGTCCTGCCGCGATATAATCAAAATATGCAAAGAATTTGTCGTCAGGAATTTTTCAGCTGTTTCGCGATGTGATGATTTTCTACAGATTGGCGAATCTCAGGTGAAAGCGAAGACACAAAACAGGAATAAGTAATGGCGTCTAATAACAATGCAATCTTGCAGATGATCGAACTTATTGCTTCTGACGATTTGTATGCAAAGAGCGAAGACGAAGTGGCAGATGCTGTGATACGCTGGTTAAACAGAGATCCAGCTCAGCGGATTCTCTGCGTTGGCGAAATTCTACCGCTTATTCGAGCGCCGTTTCTGAGTGCTGAGCATGCCAAATAAGTTCGTAGCATCTACATGGATCCAGAAAAAGCGCCTGTTGAACAGTTCTAAAAGGTCACGGATGGTATAATCCGGCATACGCCATATCAACACCGCAGATCATACGGTGAGATTTTTTCATGCATACCGTACATGAAATACTGACATTGCTCAGATTCCGACATTCGGGTATCTTCCAGCGCCTATGTAGGTTTTTTGTGCATTATGCACAGTAGAAACAACTGGTAACGTGTGTCATCACGATCCGGAGCTTATCTACGCTCTGAATGGTCAAAACAACTATACCGCACGTATTCGAGATACCGCGCTGCAGAGCTCCGTTTTTTAACATACCCGTTCTTATCTCTATGAATCATAGCTTATGCACCATGGTGCGCTGCACTGGCCGTATTCCAGCCAACAGAGAAAGATGTCTGACTCTTCGTAATTACGGTATTTAGGATGTACCGTTTGCTGCTTTGTAGAGCCGATCTTACTTGCTGTGGGTGGCGATTACAGACCAAAATGCGTTCATCGTTTTAATCCAGTTACCAAGGAATGATTTCTCGTGCGAATGCTGCCTCCATCGCAGAAAAAGCAAACCGGAAATTTACCAGTTATCGTCTCACCGAGTGGTAGTGTACTTATCTACGAACTGATATATGATGATGCCATCGCCCGTAGCTGCGTGTGGCGGTATGATTCCGATTCGGACCAATGGGAGCGCTTGACCCCGCTGCCCGTCGGACGGTGCGAGGGTCCGCTAGTGGCCAGTGAAAAGGTGTATGTCCTTGTTAGTGGCGACCGATCGCAGACCTTCGTATGCTATAATGAAAATTCCAAGGAAAGGGAGATAATGGAAACGGAAACGTCTTATTGTCATCGGCGATGACGGTAGATGATAACGGTTGTATTTATACGTTTGGCGGCCATGACCTTTCGTATAAGGTTCATAAGGAAGGGCGTCTTTCGGACGACGCTTATTGCTTCAATCCGCGCCACAAGACGATAAAAACGTTGCCGAAAATGCCGTCCAAACGATACCAAAGCTGTGTCGCTGTTAGTCCCGATGGCCTGATATATGTCATTGGTATAAGACGTAGACTTTTTACTCCCGGCTTTTTAATAATACTGTGTTTGATTTTGGTTTGTTTAGGTGGAATAGGTTCGGAGCATAAACGAAAGTTTAAAGAGTTCTTTGTGGACTGTTTTGAGGCGTACAATCCGAGGACCAATCAATGGCAGGCAAAACGTGAGTTGTGCACTTTCATCGATGATCGGTCGAATATGGCGTTGAGCTTGACAGCACACTGAATTATTTAGATGCAAAGCCATTGGCTGTATCATCCGACTGCTCTCGGTTGCTTACGTTTGATGGGAGGATCCATCTATTCAGGAATATAATAACGTAATACGATGCAATCCAGGACAGCTGGGTCCATTTCGCAAGCCGTACCCCGCCGATCGGTAAATGTTTTGGTTACGGGTTGGTTCCACAACATGTTGTCCAGAAATGGATGCTGCAACCCGGCTCATGTGTGCACCTGAAGTGTCCCAGGGGTTGCTCAGAAAACCATTCTTAGTTCCAAACAGTTACCGGTAATTGTGCCAACGTAGGCGCAGCATGGCGACCAGCTGCGTTCGGTTTTCAGCCAAGTTTTGTCTGTGAATTGTGTGTCTGGCCCAGTCTGGGAATGGTCTCTTCCAGACTTTTTTGTAGCTACTTTTTCTGCTGTAAATACAGATACGAGTATAGTATATAAACCAAAAATCGTTTGGAATTTGGTATATGTCATGATGTTCAGGATCTTAATGTTCAGGATTCACCTGCTTGTTTTCTTTCACTGCTTTCGAAAATGGTTTGCGTAGTCATCCAAACAACCACAAAGTATTTCAAATTTTGATGCTGGAAAATCAGCATTTATTGGTTTCTTAAACCCACGTTTCTTCGAATACGCTGATGTCGCGACCTGACTTCGGGTCTGTCATTTACCGAACGACAAAGTAGTCATTTGGTATTCCTGAGATTCATAATAAAAACAATGAATATTAGAAAAACGCTATCTGTACTTATACGTGTGATTTATTGATAACGTCCCTTTGTCGATTGTTTGTGTTCTGCAGTTTTGTGTTGTGAGCCGCACCTCACTGTGTCTTACGCAGGCGCTGCACTGTTGAAGGTCGTGATGTCGGTCGGTCGAAACGTGATGTCGGTCGGTTGAAACGGGCAAGCCTGTATATGATGTATGGCAGACGTAGTCTGTCTATATATTATATAGTATCCAGCGTGTAATTGAAAGGTCAGAAAGATTCTCTCTAACTGAAAGGTCAGAATGATTCTGTCTGCACTCAGCTTTTGCGTCTGCCTATCCTCTAACGGCGAAAAGATGGAAAGCTAAAGGTTAGCCTGGTCCTGCCTGTTCAGCTGCCGAACCTCTGTCAGATTCCCTTTGGCGTCGCAAAAAACACAATAAAAAAATTTCAATTTTTTTCCCGCAGTTTTTTCTAATCAATCCCCGCGACTGCGCAAGGTTTCCGTAGGAAACGTTCCGAAGGAGTTTTTCTTTTAGAACGCACAGGAGCAATCTTGAGAGTCATTTGCCGTAGGCATTCAGTAGAGTATACAGATGAATAATCTACTGAACGCATACGCCTAATTTACGTAGCAACAGTTTTGTCTGTTAAATTTAATTCTGTTGGCAAGCAAAAAAATTAGCAGAGGTTATTTACTACGTAAAATATTAAACAATTGTCTGCATTTGCTAATCGTTAGCAAACAGCATGCACTGACCATCAGAACCGAAACTGGGCAGTCCTGAAAAGCCAGTGATACCGAGAGTCGAAGGATAACCTCACGCGCGCAGCGATGGCAGACAGTATTTTGTTCATTTTATTCAGGCAATAGCCAATTAACATAACAAACAAGCCCGCGATGATAGGCACTAATAAAAAGACAGGTTCATACATTAAAGAAACAACCATAATCGTTGCTGTCATTTCCAACTTTCAATGTGCCCAGACAGTATTTTTCAAAATCTGTTCCGTAACTGGATTGCGATAACGGATGTACAAGTAAACTTCGCATCATGATGTTAATATATTTGATGGTTGAATTTTTTTATGGTCTACGAGTAACGATCAACTTTGCAACCGTCAACGTATTCCGATAGACGCACAAATGGCAGCAGTGGAACTTTTATGTGCTTCCAAAATTAACATCAAAATTTGCCTTATAACAGGGTAAAGTGACATAGACTACATGTACCGTTTATATACTGTACGAATGCCGAAGCACATGTACTCCACCGTAGAGTTGTTACAAACGAGCCGTGGCCGCTCTGAGAATTATCGATCCGTTTATAATATTTCCTGTGGGTAATATATCAGTCGTGATCCGCCTGCAAGATGTTAGGTCAACGTTGTTTGTATGTAATTCAAATACAACTAGTACACGCGCTACGGATGTGCAATTATGTGGATTTTATCTGTATGAAATCACGTTATCTTTCCGTTAAGTTATTCAGTTCGGCTTTCCCAATCTGCAAATCGCCCAACTAAAATTATTAATTTTTGTGCTACTACAGGACTGCTACTACATGACAAGCCTTGTACCGTCTTTTTATTAAAATTCTAGTATAGCAACCTGTATGAATTTCGGAACGTTGATATGGAACCTTTCAACTCAGAATCTCGATCTTCGAGTTCCTTGCAACCTGTTGTGTATGCCGCAAACGTTAGTTCTGATGTATCGCTGCGAGGAGCGGATGATCAGTCCAAACCAATCCAGTGGATTCCCTGTCACCGTGCTGTTCTGGCAGCTCAGAGTACTTACTTCCGCTCTATGTTCGCTTCGCAGATGAAAGAAGCGCATGAAAAGCAGATCCAGCTCAAGGATATCCCCCACGAGATCTTAGACCAGTAAGTAGATATCCAAAGAAAGAAAACATCAAGTGTTGCTTTGGTGTAAGGGAACGGACCACGTGGATTCTCTATTTGCACCAGTACTAAGATGTTGCGCAAAAGATTTAATAAATACGGCCGTAGTTTGCCACGCTGCATTTACAATTATTAATTTACTCATTTTAACCATAAATTATAAAAATCCGCCACTGCAAAGGCTCGTGTAAAAGTAAATTTCAGTGTATTTTTTAAAGCAGCTTAAAAGATTCTCACTGTGTGTGGTTGTTCGCAGGATTGTCCGGTACATGTATTCCTCCAGAATCTCTTTGGAAGCCAACTACGTTTTGTTACTGTTGGAATCTGCATTATTCCTTGAAGTGATCGAAATCGTCGGTGAATGCCAGAAATTTTTAAAGAATATCATGAATACCGGAAATTGGTTGACTATACAACGCACGGCGGAATTCCTTTCATGCAGCGACTTAATAAACATCTGCGACGAATTTGTGGTCAAGAATTTTTCAGCTCTTTCTAAGTGTGACGATTTTTTAGAGATTAACGAATCGAAGGTGAGCGATCGACCTATACTAGTTACTGCTTCTATCCATACTCAACAGAATCGTATTCAAGCGTAATATTTCACCATAATTCATTATTCTGCAGATGGTGGAACTTATTGCATCGGACGATTTGTACGCGGAGAGCGAGGACGAAGTAGCGGACGCCGTGATTCGCTGGTTGAATAGTAATCCGGATCAACGGCTATCTCACACCGGCGAGATTTTGCCACTGATTCGAGCGCCCTTTTTGAGTGCGGAACGATACAAATTAATTCGTAGCATCTATATGGATCCAGACCAGGTATCTGTTGAACAGTTCCGAAAGGTCACAGATGACATAATCCAACACACGCCGTATCAGCACCGTAAATCATACAGTAAGTCTAAATTTCCGCACGCACAGATACTCTGTTCGCCACGATCGGTGTTCTACGGTTAAGTCTTTGCAGAGCCGATCCTGGTAGGCGTTGGCGGGGAACAGAGACCAAAGTTTGTTTACCGTTTCGAACCAAGTATCGAGCAATGGATCCCAGTGCGCCTTCTGCCGCAATCACCGAAAAGCAGATCTGCTTATTTACCGATTGTCGCAACGTTAAGCGGCAGTGTCCGTATTTTCGATCTGATTCACGGTGATGGCACAGCGCGCAGCTGTGTGTGGCGCTTTGAATCCGATACGGACCAATGGGAGCGATTGGCCCCGCTGCCCGTCGGACGGTGCGAGGGTCCGCTGGTGGTCAACGAAAAGGTTTATGTCCTTGTTAGCGGTGACGAATCGCAGAGCTTCCTGTGCTATAATGAACACTCCAAAGAATGGGACAAATGCGCGACGGTTCCCAAGATTTCCCTGTCATCCGCGATGACGGTACACGATAGCGGTTGCATCTACATGTTTGGCGGCCACGACGTGTCGTACAAGGTTGACAAAAAAGGCCGTCTCGCGGACTCCGCGTACTGCTTCAATCCACGCGACAAGACCGTCAAATCGTTGGCAAAAATGCCGACAAAACGATACAACAGCAGCGCTGGTGTTGGTCCCGATGGGCTGATCTATGTCATGGGTACGGATATATGGCACTGATTGATTCTACTACCGGTTCTTGCGTAATTGATTTTTACTGTCTTTTTCTCCGTCCGCATTTTTAGGTGGAATAGGTGCTGAGCATAAGCGCAGGTTCCGCGAATTCTTTGTCGACTGTCTGGAGGTGTATGATCCGAAAACTAACGAATGGGAGATGAAGGGTGCGTGTCACACACTACCGCTGCATTTGACGCCCAGAATGAAAATGTAAACACTTTAATTGTGCAGATGTGGAGAAATATGATATACCGTTTAGTGCGGCTCGAATGTTTGAGTTCAACGGGAAGCTCCACTGTGTTGGTGGATGTCAATCAATGGCTTACTATGATGCACCTCGGGACCGATGGATGTCCGTCGATGGCAATTTACCGCACCAACTGAGTGGATGTTCCGGTTATGCGGCAATTCCACAACACATTGTCCGGAAATGGACGCAACAACCCGGGTCGTGTGCGCACCTGAAGTGTTCTAGCGGTTGCTCAGAAGATCACTGGTAGTTCGCAAAGAAATTAAACTTGTAAGAAGTTATGCGGACTCAACGACCAGATGTTGTCGGCTGTCGACCAAATGTGTTCCATAATTTGTATAAGGGATTTCTTACTTTTTTTCTTCCTTTTGTTGTATAGTGGCTACTTTCTATCACAGTAGCAAAATAGGTGTTTATATGACTTTTAGAAGACGAGGATTTATGTGGTAGTCGTGGTCATGGTTATGCGGTAGTCACGATTGTCGAGATAGCGAGAAGCGAATAAAGATCTGGCTTCACGACGTGATAGTAAGGAAAACTCCTCCTGCGTTTTTTAAACTTATTTGCTCCAGAAACAGATTGATATTTGAACGAATAATAGTATACATTTTGGTAGAACGTTAACAGTACTGCGATGTGACGCTATTTGAGAAAATCCAAGCAAAACACCAGACAAACTGACAAACTCTAAACTTTTAATTCGCTTCAATATATATTCGATGGCTGCTCATTTTAAGGTCGACGATGACGTTGCGCTACATTTCAACCAGACACCTGTGTGGCGGTAGAGATACTTCCAAATTTAATAACAGTATTTCACGCCGGCTGTTGCATTTACTTTTGCGCTGACCATTATAATTTACACGCTTTCCAGTTCTCGTGGAGTTTGGGATTCGTAGCCGCTACTAGAGGGCTACATAGATTATAATAGTGAGCAGTCATATTTATATTGTCATAACAATGCGCGCGCGACTGATGGGCAAATCATCGGGGTTAATGAAAAAAAAAATAAGATTTGTATGTATGTAGTTGTAGCGCTGTACATTGTATCTGTACAAGTGGTAAATACAAGCTGCCGGTTTACTCGGTTATTGGGCTATAAATAAACGTACATATGCGCAGCCGTAACGCATGTACCGATTCCACTTCACAGCACAGTCAATAAGCTTTAGCCGCTCTAAGGCATCGATCCACAGGGTTCCGTGTATGTATTAACACAAATGATGTTCCACAGGGAAGATATTACGAGAACATTTAACTTGTTAAAATTTATGTGCGAGTATTCGGAGTCTGTATCCACATTTTTACTGAACCAAGAGAATTTATCTATCTGTTTTTAAATACCATTTTTCTCAATGTGCAAGGAGCGTGGCCTGTTACGTGGAATATGTTGTGGAACGTACAACAATCGCGAGCTTTACACGAATGCTGTTAGTTAGCGTTCCAGTTTAGCAAATAAAATCGGTCATTCTACATGAACTTTTGCTTCCCGCTTTACGACGTCAATGGATTCTGTTACCTCTAAAATGTCGTTTTCCCGTTCCTTGTCTCCTGTTTTAGATGTTCTAAACAGTTCGGACGTGTTGCTCAGAGGAGCGGACGGCCAGTCCAAACCAAACGAGTGGATTCCCTGCCACCGTGCCATTCTGGCGGCTCGAAGTACCTACTTCCGCTCCATGTTTGCTTCGCAGATGAAAGAATCGCATGAAGAACAAATCCAGCTCAAGGATATCCCTCATGAAATTTTAGAGCGGTGAGTAAATACCGGATAGAGATACAAGTCGGGTGGTTTAGTGAGATACACCTATGATATAGAAACCATATACGTGCTTATGATGACAATGACGAATTCTGTAGCGAGCTGCGAAACAGTGAAAACTATGAAAAAAAGCTTGCGTAAAATTCCACTATCCAAACGCGCACATTTAATAGTCACTGAGCGGTTTCATTTCCAGAATTGTTCAGTATATGTACACTACGCAAATCTCTTTGGACGCCAACAATGTCCTGTTACTGCTGGAATCGGCATTATTCCTCGATGTGACCGAGATCGTCAGCGCGTGTACGGAATTTTTGCACCGCAACATAAGCATCGAAAACTGGTTGCCCGTACAACACACGGCGGAATTCCTCTCCTGCAGCGATTTAATTAAAATCTGCGACGAATTTCTGGTCAAGAATTTTTCAGCTGTTTTAAACTGCGACGATTTTCTAGAGATTAGCGAATCAAAGGTAAGTATCGTACGATCATGTTCTTCAATGCGCAAAAGCGTAGTACTTCTTTGTGGAACGAGTTGTAATTTTACAGATGAGGGAACTGATTGCGCTGGACGATTTGTACGTGAAGAGTGAGGACGAAGTGGCGGATGCCGTCATTCGCTGGCTGAACAAGGATCCAGCTCGAATGCGCAGCATCGGCGAAATTCTACCCCTTGTTCGAGCGCCGTTTTTAAGTGCTGAAAAATTCCAGTTAGTTCGCAACATCTGTATGAATCCAGAAAGAGCCTGTGTGGAAGATTTTCGGAAGGTTACGGACGGGATAATCCACCGCACGCCATATCAACACCGCGAATCGTACAGTACGCTGGGCGCTCGTATCTGTACACGAAAATATATCGCGACGATCACCGTTAACGTTTTTGTAGAGCCGATCCTGGTTGCTGTTGGCGGTGATCACCGGCTAAAGTGTGTCTACCGCTTTGATCCGACTACCAAGAAATGGATTCCGGTGCGACTTCTGCCTCAGTCGCCCAAAAACACATGCGGCGATTTACCAATTGTCGTCACTTCGAGCGGTCGTACACGGATACACGATTTGATATACGACGAAGCTATCGCACGCAGCTGTGTGTGGCGGTACGATTCCGATACGGACCAATGGGAACGCTTGACCCCGCTGCCCGTGGGGCGGTGCGAAGGTCCGCTAGTGGGCAATGAGAAGGTGTATGTCCTTGTTAGCGGCGACCCATCGCAGTGCTTCATGTGCTATAATGAAACTTCCAAAGAATGGGAGACAGTGGCCGCTGTGCCTGGGAAGGTGCTACTGTCATCCGCGCTGACAGTTGACTATAACGGGTGTATATTCAAGTTTGGCGGGCACGACGTGTCTTATAAGGTTGACAAAAAAGGTCGTCTCTCGGGCGCTGCTTATTGTTTCAATCCACGCGACAAGACGGTCAAAGTGTTGAGAAAAATGCCGACGAAACGCTACAAATGCAGTGTCGGCGTTGGTCCCGATGGGCTGATATATGTTGCTGGTACGAAACTCAAAGTTTTGTTTTGATTATTCGTTGTTAAATGTGGTTTTCCAATGGTGTTTTTAGGTGGCATAAGTAGAAACCGTAAGCATAAATCTGATGAATTCCTTGTCGACTATTTTGAGGTCTACGACCCGAAAACCAACCAATGGCAGAGAAAGCGTGAGTTGTGTTCTTCTACATTTGAATCTGATGTTAAATCTGAAGTTATTTGCAGTTTCCATTATATTTTCAGATGCAGAGAAATGGGGTGTAACGTCTGACAGTGCGCGGTTGTTTACATTGAACGGAAACTCCATCTGCTGCCGGCTGCCACCTATCCAATGGTTTACTATGATGCAGCTCAGGACAAATGGACTGAAGCTGGAGGCGTGACCCCTGCATTAGGTCAATGTTATGGCTGTGCGCTGATTCCACAACATATCATCCGGAAATGGATGCAACAACCCGGCTCGTGTGTGGGGTTAGAATGTGCCGGTACTCGCGCATTGCAGGCACAGATGTATCTCGATAGCTATTTGTACGATCTCATACGTACTAAGTCCAATGATTTCGACTTCCAGCCCATATACCCACAGATGTCTTCCTGCTTTTTGTACGGTCAAAACTCGACCTTTTAAAATAGAAATGTGTGTTATTGTTGGTTAATTGTCATATGGTGTAGCAATTAAGCTGCAGAGCTTTGTTTTAAAAGCCGGATTTTGTATATAAAGTGGTTGTACAAAATTATATTGCTCCTTGTCGGTTAAACGTTCTGCAGTATGCGGTACTATTCTAATCATAGTTTCACAACTGAATATGAGAATCCAATAATTAGTTCGTTCCTTAATGTTCTTTAGTGATGTACAGTCAAAAACAACAGCATCGCAGGCGCGTCCCTAATGAATAGGTTTTTTGCAAGTTAAAAGTTTTATTGTGCTGCATCAAGATGATTTATCGCAGCAGCTCCCCCTGAGAAGTGATTCCACATTTACGCGGTGCATCCGATCGTCTTGTTCTCGCTGAAATCCGGTGTCTTGCCGAAGAAGCAAGTCCTAGAATGCATAAAATAATCAAATCTTGGCACGACACGAGATAAGGTGAGCAGGCGTCTTTTTAATAAATTTCACGGCTATAATCGTATATAAATTTTAATTTGAATTATAGTTGTTTTTGCTTGAATTGCTTCCATTTTCAGAACGAAAAAGCCTCGCCAACTTCGCGGGAAGGCTAACGAACACTGCTCGGTATTCGGAATATCCTATCACGGCCATGTACAGTGTACATGGCATTGAGCGGAATTTCCGAATGCCGAGAGTGTACAGTAGCCAGTGCACTACAGCCCACTTTCCCCATTATACGAAGCCTATGGCATGCCACCTCGGTTTTTGAGGTGGACGTGTACAGTACATGTGTTCTATCTTTAATGTTAAGTGACTTTTATTGATGAGCGTTACATGTGTTACATTTATAACTTTGCATTAATGTGAAAACATTTTAATGTTTACAATTAATGGCTGCGCCTGCATAGGCATCATCATTTTAGGAATGTCGATGCACAGTATGCACTAGTGTTACTTTTCAGTCGTATTAAATATGGAATAATAATATATAGAATAGTAGTAATAATTATGTACTGACAGTATGTACAATACTGCGCGTGCATTGCCTGCACAACTTGCGTGCGGTGTTATAATAGTCTATGATCTATTAATACTCGATTATTCGTACAAGAATTTATGTAAGCTGTTCATGCGGCGTTGCTCATGTGTCCCTCCTCCAATGTGCGCATTATCAAACAAGCCGTGGCCGTTCTGTTGGTAAAATTAATATCGATCCAAACAACCGTACACAATAAAGCTGTACAGCGTACACACATCCATCCTGATCCGCCTGCAGCTTCTTATGGGAACATGTGCTTGTTATTATGCGGTTTATACCCATACTCATAGACATGTGCACAGCTTGCGTATTTATTACATCAGTATCGCACACTGAATACGCGACCTAAAATTCTGAATAATTTTGGTTGTTTCGTTAATGTTCAATTCAGTCATTAAATTTAATAGTGTCTACCAGCGCTGAGTTTTTTATAATGTATGGCAATAAAAGTTTCGAGTATTGTACGTGTATGCTGCGGGAATAATCTGTATCGCAGTTATTTGGACCAGTTTCCTTACAATATGCAACCTGCCTGCCTAACTTACATATTTGCGTTGCCTTTTCAACAACGGCCAGTCTTGCACAACCGTTTGCAATTAAAATCCCCGTTTAGCAACATTCGTTCTGTACTTCATAGTGTTCATACATGATTTTTTTGCACTGGGAAATGGCAGCCAAACCTGCTATCTGCAGGTCCGAACAGCCGTCTCATAGTTTCTTGCCGCCTACTCAGAACGTTTTATATATCAGTTCAGATGTGGCGATCAGAGGAGCAGACGATCAAAATCATCAGACCAATCCAGTACAGTGGATTTCCTGCCGCCGCGCCATTCTGGCGGCTCGAAGCAGCTACTTCCGTTCCATGTTTACTTCGCAGATGAAAGAGGCACACGAAAAACAGATTTACCTCAAGAACATTCCGCACAAAATTCTTCACCAGTGAGTACCATATGTAGTGTATGTACAGTCTGGATTTCGCAGCATTGAATTTTATTTTCCTTTCAAGCCGCAGATCCTTACTTATTAAATGCGCTTAATTGCAGGATTATCCAGTATACGTACTATGGTAAAATCTCTTTGGACGCCGATAATGTTCTGCTACTCCTGGAATCAGCACTATTTCTCGGTGTGCTCGAATTAGTCAACGCATGTAAAGAATTTTTGAAGCGTAACATGAACGCCCGGAATTGGTTGACCGTGCAGCAAGCGGCGGAATTCCTGTCATGGAGCGATGTAGTGCAACTTTGTGAAGAGTTTGTCGTCAAGAATTTTTCCACTGTTTCGCGATGCGATGATTTCTTAAAGATTAGCGATTCCAAGGTGAGTACCACATTTACAGCCAAAGCACAGAAGGCCCTCTTTTTAAATCCGTAAGTTGTCAATTTGTAGATGATGGAATTTGTTGCATCGGATGATTTATTTGTGAAGTGCGAGGACGAAGTAGCGGATGCTGTGATTCGCTGGTTGAATAGCGATCCAGATCAGCGAATGCGCAACGTCGGCGAATTTTTACCGCTGGTTCGAGCGCCGTTCTTGAGTGCTGAACGCTCCAAATTAATTCGTGGCATTTATATAGATCCAGAGAAAGTACCAATTGAACAATTTCGAATGATTACGGACGGTATAATACAACACACGCCATATAAACACCGCAAATCATACAGTAAGTTTAGCCGAAAATGTCGACAAAACGATATAACTGCAGCGCCGGTGTGGGTCCCGACGGACTGATACACGTCATTGGTACGGAACGAGACTGTTCGAATTTATTTTTTCAAAGCAATACTTTTTTATTGAATAATAATTAAACTTAATTAGATTTTACCGTTCTGGACGCTTACTTTAGGGGGGAGTATAGCGCAAAATGTCCCCGAGTTACCGGAAGTCTTTGTCGGCTGTCATGAGGCCTACAATCCGAGAACAAACCAGTGGCTAAGAAAATGTGAGTCGTAAGCTTGTAAGACTGAATTGGACGTTGAAGTTGAAAGCTTTCTTGTTTAGTTGCAAATAACTGGGATATTGAGTCTGGTTCTGCTCGACTGTTTACATTCGATGGAAAACTTCACCTAGTGCCTGGTGGATGCGGTGCAATGAAGTATTACGATGCAATCAGGGACCGATGGATAGAAGTCGCAAGACAGACACCCCAACTCGGTAGATCTTCCGGTTGTGCGCTAGTGCCACATCATGTTGTCCGAAAATGGATGCAGCAGATAGGCTCATGTGTAGATTTGGACGGTTCTAGTGTTTGAGAGAATGAAAATGGCAGTCCGCAATAAATACTTGTATCGTCTGTACACTCTGAAGGGACCAATCGTTTTGTCCAGCTTAATTCGTTCGTATGATTTAATTATGGGCATGCCACTAAGAGTTCTGCCTTTTTTGCGGTACGCCGGAGATTGACCGTTATTGGCATACAGTGCGGTGGCGTTCTTTTGGAGCTCAGCTTTACGACCCTAGGCGGCCTGGTGTACATTAATAATTTCTTTCCGAGTTATTGCTCTTTGGTACTGGAAAGCTCACAAACTCAGCACGCAGCAAGCACAAATACTGTGCACGCAAACTCAGCTTTAATTTACGTAAACAGGCACTAACAATCGATTTGATGTTTCGTTAGTTACTTAATGTTTTTGGCAGCGGAATGTGGGGCCGCTGCAGGTCGTTTGCCTGACTGCTAGTAGGACTGAACGTCCTCATAGCGGACACTGAAAAGAACTGCCGTTTATATCATAATGATACAGAAGCATAGTCTATTACGCAGTACAAGCCCGGCAATTTATTTCTGGCGTAAAGGTTTAGCGAGAAATACGTGTAGACGTTAATAGTTTAGTTATCTGGCGCCATTTGAGAGATTCCAAGCAAACTCCCCATAACCTCTAAAGTTTTTACTTCGCTCCAATTATATTAATTCTAATGGCTGCTTATTTTAAGGTCAACGTTACGCTGCATTTCAACAAAAAATTCGTGTCAGTGTGGCAGTGGAGAGAGTGTCAGGAGCTTTGAAAATTGATTTATTAACAGTATTTCGCGCCTCCTCGATCCAGCATTTTGCGCTGACCATTGCGATTTACACGCGTGTCGATGCTCGTCGAGTTGGCACTGAGCGTCAGTTCGGCACCTTTAGACTGAATACGCTAACATATTGTCGTAATAACGAGCGCGCGATTAATATTCAAATCATCGGGCTTATTGAAAACAATATTATTGAGATTTACCGGTATATGTGTACAGCAGTATTGGAATATTAAAAAATGTACAAGTACATGCTCAGCCTTAGCGCAAGTATCCCTCCCCAGGCCAAGGTCAAAAGAGGAAGGAATAAATAAAGGAAGGAATGTTTTTCGGTCAAAAAGAGGAAGGAATAATTAAAGGAAGGAATGTTTTTTTGGTGAAAACAGGAAAAAATGTCGATGGTCAAAAAGGAAGGAAATTTTTTGTGTGGTGAAAAACTCTAACGTAAGTCATAGTAAGCAGAAATGGCACAACGGTTTTTGAAAATCTTCTGGGATAGCGAAGAACACGGAATGCAGAATTGCAGGCTGCCTCTTTCAGAAATACTACTGTAAATTCTGTTTCTAATTTCTAAAAAATCGCCGGTACTGGTACTGCAGAACGGTTTTCGAAAGTATGATTGTATTCTCGTATAAGCACATTTGAGCGCCGCGTTTTACAGTGTAAAAATTTGTATTAAGAGGTGTTGTACATCCAGACTCCATAGATTACAATAGTAATTAACAATAATACAATAGTAGTTAACCATGTCACTAATTAGTAAAGTAATGATTACAATACAGTACTCCTATAATAATTAGTAATAATTCTAGCATCATACTACTGACCAGGGAACATTTCGCGGCTATAATTCAGAAAAATCTCGATTTTTGCAGAATGGTAGAAAAAAATATGTAGGATGCATAAAAAATTTATTTTGGGTGCAATGGCCAAAGGGCTTGGCCAAAACAAAATTTAAAAGTTAATTCTACACTGTGCTGTAGACTGGACAATGCACCGCATCATACGTTATACCGCTATCGAATAATTTTTACGAGGACATATAAAGGAGCAGATATCGACCCATTTCCTAAAAAAAGTCAGTGTAAACTGGCTGTACCATCTCCAGAAGCGGTGAACAATGATTACTCACCATAAGCTAGTAGATACCGGGTGGCCGAACAAAAGATACCGAGCACAGATACGGTAAAAGTCAAACTAACCTCGTACAGATTGTTCGATAGCGGTATACGTACGATGCGGTGCGTTGCCCTTAGGCTACAGCAGAGTGTAGAATTAACTTTCAAATTTTGTTTTGGCCACGCCCATTGGCCATGGTACCCAAAATAAATTTTTTATGCATCCTACATATTTTTTCTACTTTTCTGAAAAAACGAGATTTTTCTGAATTTATAGCCGCGAAATGTTCCCTGGTGAGTATTATTAGTATTATTCTAGTATTATTCCTCTGTAGTATTAGCTAACTACTATATTATTTTGTTGATTAAATCCTTATCATGAGTACTTCCACGCAATCTAGTTAAAATAATTGCTACAATAATTATTATGATTGCTCATTAACAAGGTGGTCGTAGCGTTTTGTAGCAGTTGCATGAGAATGAGGTTTATGACCAAGTGAACTTTTTGTTTCTGCTACCATGCATAATGCGTCACAAGATTGCTTTAAAAATGACTGCTAGTTACCTAATATAATTAATTAATTAGTATCAATATTTAGCTAATTAACTGGCGAACGGTGTGTTTAATAAATTAAAATTAGCTGTCAGCTTAGTAAATACTCTTACGATGGACTGAACTGGGACCGGTAACTTTTCACTGGGACTGCACTTTAAAGTTTAAAGATTAAACGGTAAAGAGCAGTAACCTTTGGCGCTTTCCGATTAGTCCGCTCGATGCAAATAATTATAATGATGTCTTCCTTGATAATTGATACGGCCATTTCCTATTCACAATAGTTCGGCTCATGCTGAAACGTGTAAAAATCATTAAAAGATAAACTCATGTACAGACTGTATCTGTGAAGCAAGCAGAAAAAAACTGAACTTTCAACTTCGTGAGATACCAAATCCATACATAGTTGCACGCCATTGATGCATCGCATATTTGCATCGAGCGGGCTATTCGGGAAGCACCAAAGCGTACTATAGTACTGACTACTGACCCTTACGGTTTAACGTGCAGTCTGTACATTATTAACGTGAAAAGTGCTGGTCACAGTTCAGTACCTCATACGAGTATTTACCAAGCTCATAACGAGTATCTGTATTTACAAGTATTTGTCAAGCTCACATTTCAGTTTAATAGATTAGCCGTTCGTCAGTTAATCAGCCAAACGTTGGAACTAATTAATTAATTAATTAACAAGTAATTTACTTTTACGCCAACAGTATCATGTGACGGATGATAGTAGAAACTTCACCTGGTCAGAAACCTTATGCACTTGTAACTGCTAGCTACAAGACGCTGCGACAATTTTGTTAATTTTGTTTGTTTGTTTACTCAGCAGTCTCAGTCTCAGTCTCAGCTTAACGCCTACAACGATCAGGAATATCCTGCATAAGGTAGCATCTGTATACTACCGTTAAAGAATGTGCTGCCGCAGCGACAGCTCAGAAAACACAAACAAAAGAAAACCATTATGAAATATGCGGTAATAAGTGTCAGAGCAAGCATTTAAGATCTTTATGAATAAAATGAGCAATCGTAATTATAGTAATTACCTTAATTAGCTTGCGTGGAAGTGCGCAAGTTAAGCAGTTAGTCAATAAAATAATATGATAGTTAGCTAATAATTAATGGAATAATAGTACTGTAGAATTATTAATTAATAATATAACAGTGCATTAATATAATTATTACTGTGCTCGTACTAATAAGTGACATTGATAAGTAATATTATATTGTTGTTAATTATATTGTAATTTACGGAACCTGGATGTGTACTTCATACAAACTATTTCACTGTAAAGCGCGGCGCTGAAATGAGCTTATACGGGAATACATATTTGGAAAAACCATTATGTATTCGCAGTACCAGCGACTTTCAGAAGCAAATTTACTATAATCATAGTGTTTCAGAAAAATCCATTAAACCGACAGTCTGCATATTGTGTTCTTTCGCTATCTCAGAAAAGTTTTTCAAAAACCATTGTGCCATTTCTGCTTCCTATGAACCACGTTTGCGTTTTTAACCACACAAAATTTCCTTCCTTTTTTGACCATCGAAATTTCCTCCCTCTATTTGACTACAAAAGTTCCTTTCTTTAAAAATTCCTTCCTCTTTTTGACCTCAAAGATTTCCTTCCTTTAGAAATTCCTTCCTCTTTTTGACCAAAAAAATTTCCTTCCCTTATTTATTCCTCCCTCTTTTTGACCTTGGCCGATCCCCACGCCACAGCACAGTTATTAAGCTTTAGCCGCTCTCAGACTGATATTGATTCACAGGGTCCCTGTTTTGCATGTGAAGATTTAGCTTGTTAAAATTTTTATGCGAGTACAAAGTTTTATGCGAGTACTCAGAGTCTGTACCTCTATCCACATTTATAGCGAATCAGCCGAATTTGTTAATCTCGTTCTATATATGCCATTTTTCCCAATCTACAAGGAAATCATATAAGAAACACGATTTGTTCACGTTGAATCCTGCAAAAACACCGAATCATCATCTGCCGAAGAACGTAGGGACACCAATGTGCCCAACAGCCCAAGTGCAATTGCGTTCTGTTTTCCTCCGACGTGAACACTTACCAACTGAGCGCGTTTAATCACCAGATTTTTCAGTACATGTTACTCCAGTAAAATCTCTTTGGACAATGGATACCAACAATGTCCTGTTACTGCTGATCGCTGGAAACTGCATTATTCCTCGATGTGCCGAGATCGTCAGCGCGTGCACAGAATTTTCAGAGGGCAACATATGCAACGCAAACAAGAACCCTGTCTGGGGTGGTACGGGCAACTTGCCCGTACACACATGACGGAATTCCTGTTCTGCAGCGATGTAATTAATATCTGCCATTAATTTTTTGTGAAAAGTTTTTCCACGGTGTAAAGGTGATGATTTTCTAGAGATTAGCGAATCTGAAGTTACAGTAGTAAGTATAGTACGAGCATTTGCTTCAAGGCACAAGAGTGTAGTACTTTTTTGTTAGACGAATATTAATTTTGCAGATTGCTAGGTGCTGGTTGCGCTGGACAATTTGCACGTGAAGAGCGAGGAAGCGGCGCTTGGCGTTGTTCGCTGGTTGAACAGAGATCCAAATAGGCGACTGCGTCACATCGACGAAATTGGATCCTACGGTCAAGAAACGGATCCTTTTCCTCATCATGGGATCCATTTCTCGGACACGGACGACTGTTTTACCAACAAACGACTCTGTTGCTGGCCACCACAAAGCAAATCAGAATATTACGATTAGTCCATTGGCGTTTTAGTCGGTTACAGCTGTGCCGTTCAGTTATACGAATCAGGGTCTGAACGCGCGATATCGATCGCATCATTCCCAGGAAAACTCACCAGCTTTAGGTAATTAGCAGAACTTCCCCGGCGGGTATTTGAGTCATATATTCACAACGGCCTTAGAGCAATTTTGGCCAAATGGGAGAGGAATGGACGAAATGAAATTCCGAAAAGATAACATAGACCGCTGCACAGGAAACAACTTCGTGTGAGCGAAGCAGTTTTGCACATAAGTAATGGAAAGACTGTTTTACCAACAAACGAAGCTTCCCCGTTTTTGTAATTGTAAAATAACAGTTTTTCAATAATAGTACAACTTTCGAATAGACCGCGGTATCAACGCTTTACCGGCGCTTACGGAGATGGACAATTCAAATGGAAATGCAATTTAAATTCAATTCTGACACAAAGCAAATGCACTTTACCTGATATTTGCAAAACCATCATTGACATTTTTATTTTATATTATATTATTCAAGACTTTCAAGTTAAGCTTGAAATCGTAAACAAATGCCGCGAACCGGGTCTCTGTTCAGATCATCTTCTTGGTTGTATTACCTTACTAATAAAAACATATCCAGATAGGCTACAAATCGCTTTGGCACCTGGTTTCGAACTTACAAAATCCCCCTAGTTTTACGAAAACCTGTTACCAGTGACCAGTGTAGTCTATGAGTTGGATTTCATGAGTGGAAATGAAACTAAGTTATTACATTTAACAACGATCACTATTTCCTTGCTCTGTTGAGAAATCAAGAACCAGTGGGTGATCAACTGGTGGAAACATACATGCAGACTGCACTCGATTACTCTGCAGTGACTGCAGAGTAATCGAAATATGAAAACAATCAAGGTACAAAATTACCGGAACAAGTAGCATACAGAGTACTTTCCGTTGGCCATATTCCCGATGAATAGAAAAGCGAAAAAAGAACAGTTTTTTATCGCCAAGATACGGATAACAATGGTTCATTGCTCGGCATCATCGAACGGCATAGTTGTGCGATGTCGTCCTGGGCGGATTCTGGACCCCAGTTCTGCATGAAGCGCCATAAGGCGGACAGGCAGAAGCGGTTCAATTGGTCCACGCTCACACCGGCCACACTGTCCAGTGTCCACGCGTGATTTCGGTAGCACGCTGAAGGACGCGGATCACCGGCTTGATAATCCCGTAGAATCTGCCAAACAATGCTCAGCAGTTTACACACATACCGGTATAACCAGCGCACTGCTGCGCTGCACTTGTCACTACCGGGTGACCCGGCATTCCGCCGGCGAAAATCCGTCAACCATCACGTCAACCATCACTTCGAACAGACACGATGTCAACCCGTCATGACGTCGAACTAGCGTTCAGCTAAACAAACTCGGTTTTCTAAGGCTTTCTTCGGTTTTCTTAGATTTTATAATTTTCTTAGGTTTCTTTAGCTTTCTTAATTTTGTTAGTTTCTTAGGTTTTCTTGAATTTCTTAACTTTCTTAGGTTTTTTTAGCCGTCGCCCTCCGAGGCGCCGGTCGACGCAGTGCAGTCGACGTTGTGTCGATCGACGAAGTGTTAGTCGACGAAATGGCGGTCAGCCGCAGTACAGTGTTTACGGTTAAATTCGGCGCGGTACATAGGCACCAGGTTTACTTATACCAACCATATTGCGATTGGATATAAACGGCAGTTAATAGTGATTGTTGAGTTAGCCTTTGCCATCCGTTTGTATCGATGGCAGTGGCTGTACTGTCGCCTGTACATGACAATACTGCTGCACTGTACCTCCATCACTTTCCTGGCTTTCCTTTCACTGTCGATCCGCGTGGCAAATGCCTGGGCCATGCAGTGCACATCCAACGGCAGTCCCTCGCAGTGCAGATGCTGCTCCAGCAACTTGACCACGTCCATCGCGTCGACCTGGCCCGCCATGACAACGACGGCGGGAATGCGGAACTCGATCAACGGCTGGCCTCTCTTGTTCAACACTTCCAAGGCAAACTTATCCAGAATCAAACGCTGGTAACCGGACGCCAGCTTGTCCAGCATCGTGGTCACGTCGGTGCACAGCGCGCTCAGTGTCCACGGATTGCCGATGCTGGCCTCCATGAGTTCGATGGAGCGCCGCGACAGGATTAAAAGGTCCAGCCGGATGCCGGCGACGCCGAGAAAGATATTCAACAGGTTCACCGCTTCCTCGGTCTCCCGCATCGTCCAGTGGGTGCACACATGCGCGCCGGTATCCCGGATGCAGACGGTGCGAATGGCGGGGGTGATATGTTTGATGAGGCAGCCGTACATGCCGTAGTTACCGCCCCACTGCGGCGTGAACGATAGATAGGCGGGTTCCTGCTGCCGCACGACACGCACCACCCGACACAGCTCCGGCGACATCGATAGGCGGTCCCACAGGTGACAGATGCGGCGGCAGCGCACACGGTCGACGGTGTCCAGAGACTGGAAGATTTCCGTCAGCACGGGCAACGGCAACGCCAAGCCGGGTCCCTCTACCGTCAGCGGTTGCAGCCGCTGCGGCTCCACAGATGATGCGTCGGTTTTCTCGGATAAGTGACGGTAATATGTATATGGATAACTTGTTTTACCCTTTTCGAATTCATCCGCCTAGGGCAAAATCAATTAAAAACTATCGCTGAAATACCATCCCAAACAGTTACACGGAGAAGTTTGTGAATGATTTCGAGGACGATACACAAGCGTATAAGTATTCATAGAAGTGAACCGCTTGCCAATTGGTCCGCACTTCGAAAAGTTAATATTTTTTTATTAATAAAAGCGATCATTTCTAAATTTTTGGTGGCGACTAGGAATTAGGATATCGAATCGCACCAGAGAGGAATTTTGTAATAATAAAAACGATTACTTCAAAAATTTCGTTACGATTAGAAATTAGGATCTGTCGTGTACGTTGCTTTCCTAGCAACTACTGTTTTACTTCTTACTTCTTTCTGCTGTACTTTCTGTCATTCTACCTGCTGCGCAGTTGCTGTACACATCATTAATTATGTAGTATTAATTAACTATTAAAGTATTACTTATACAATACTTCACAGGATCTATGGGTGATTAATTTAGGAAAACGTATTCGTAAAGTGGGACAAAAAGGCGAAGTGTTTGAAAAACTGTTCACAGTTCATTCACCCTTGTTCATGGTTTGGAAGTTCTCCTTAATGTTCTAAATTACGAGAATTACCACCCGAATGATGTTCATTATGCAAGATTTCACGATTTGGGAGTGTTCACAAACGAAAGTTTCTCAGATTGCCCTAAAGCGTATATGTAGTCACCAGTAGTAGTCACTAACATAAGACTTACCACATCTTCATCCTCCAAAAGCGCACCGCTTCTCTTTCGCACGTAGTACATCCTCCGACCAAGCACCTTGACAAATCGCAGGTGCAGCGCTCGTTCCACTGGTCCGAGCAGCACCGCCGAGGTGGACCGCGGCAGCGACCAGTAACCATGCGGTACACTGCACGTCTGCATGACGTAGTCCCCCGCAGCAACGAGCGCTCGCGGTACTGTGTCCCTCGGCGGATCGCGAACCTGTAGCCGCGGCAGCAGTTCGCGACGACGCTTTCCGCCCATCACGCACTCCACCAACGCCATCTCGTGCAGCTGCTGGAACCGGGACAGCATCATGGTCCCCGGATACCATCTCCACGGTCGACCGGGGAGGTCGCGCAGCACCTCCACGGGCTGCCGGCTGGCCTGCGCGCGCCGTGCTACCTAGGTTTGGAGCACAGCTAAAGACCGTCCCGTATTCCACCAGTATCGCCCGCTGCGTCGGACATCCGAAGTTGACGATCAGACGCGGCGGAGTGCTGCCGTTGTTGTCTTCCAGACTGATGACATGGGCGTCTGTAGGACGCCGTCAATCTCCACATCCACGGCGTTCTAGTTGTACAGAAAGTGTTCAGGACTGGAATACAGGTACATTTTTATCTGGCTGACTAGGAAACAGAAAATTATTTGTGTGCTGTGACAAGGGGTTGAAAGACTGTTCCGTAAGTACTTTTCTCCAACAACGTCAAGAAAGAGAAACGTTACATATTTGTAAAATGAGCCACAGCGCCAAATCGGAAAGCATCGTTTGCTGATTGCTCATACTTTAATCACGCATCGTGATCGTAAGCCAACGACAGAAAGCCGCTCTGTAACCATGGACTGTGCGCCATGACTTACGTCTCAGCTTCGACTTTCATTAATTTGAGTTGCGTCAGGCGGAAACTCGTGGGCCCGTGGCCTCCTTTTCATAACTGCCTACGTAACTGCTATTTCTCGAAGTGGTCACTTACTTTATCGTTTAACCTTATGCCAGTCTTTGCACCCACAATCCGTTTTCCAAAAATTTGTTTGCTGAATGACATTTTTGTAACCCGTTCCAAGCATTAATTTGAATAATCTTTGTGACTCTTGTCTTGCACAATACATTTAATTTTAATTCGATACGATAATCGTCAACAAATGTCAATCGAAATATGGGAAAGTAGAATATAATGCAAAACTGTGTTGATGACACTTTACTCTGATCTGCTATAGTAACAATATGCAAATCAGCGAGCACCACTCAACAAAAACAAATCTAATGAAGAATTTCTCCCAGTTGACATGAGAAGGGACTGTGCACAGTAGGCACCAGACTTGGCCCATTTCTCAATTTCTCACCTTCACCTCACCTCCATCTGCCTTTTATTTTCCCCACCTCAGCCCACCTCCAGCCGCGCAAAATCTCATCCCGGCTCACCTAACGTACCCCATTTTCACCCCCACTTTTCATTTTTTTAAAAACTTTTAAAAGTGCTCGATTTGAGTGCTAAATGCAGAATTTTACTTAAATGCGGATGACCTATTGTGCATTTGACCTAACAAAGAAGTGTATCTTACATCTACGCTGTATCTGCAGACATTTTATTACCGGCTACCGAGAAATCTCATCACTGGTTCGCTTATCACCACGCTGCTTTAGATCACGATTCAGACTGCAAAACAATAGTGTTTCGAAATTGTAATCCGTCGTACGAAGTCTACGTTCAGAAAGCAAGTATCCGGCGACACTAAAAATCCGCTCCACTCCTGCTGTCGTTGCGGGAGCGCACAGTATTTGTTGAGCAATCCGGGATAAACGTTTGTATTTATCAGCTTTAGATTTCCAGTAGACAAGAGGATTCACTTCGACGCCGAAAGACTGATCGATTTCGCACATATACATCTCATACTCTGCAATCACGCTGAGGACTTGACCGGCAGAAGTTTGTAAAGTTGCAGATAATTTCGGCTTTTTCAAAACGGAGAACAGGTTTGACGATGTTGACGGCAGTGGCACAGGCTCTTCCACAGGCGAAATATTCAAGTTCACTCGCTCCATCATGCCAATCACTACCGCTTTCATCTCGGTCGCCGTTAACGTCCCAAACCCACAATCGCACAGTTCAGCTTTATAATTCGGATCCAGGAATAATGCCGCAATATAAACACTGTCACTTTCAGTATTACAGAATCGAGTATTAACTTCGGTGAGTAGATCGCGAGCATACAACTTCAGCAGGCTAGCCGGATTATCAGCATATGTCTGAAAGTAAATTAGATAAAAATTAAAATAGTTAGAGCGTATTCCATGAAATAAAAATACACTGTTTTTATAATAGTAGTACTAATACATGAAGTTACACAGTGTACGAACTACGAACAGTATTTATGATTTACGTCATGTATTATTTAACCATTGTGAATTACCTGAAGATTTCTGCGCAGAAGGTAAACGGCCGGAATAACTTGACATACGGTGGGATAACTCGCGCTCTGCAGTTTAAGAAACAACTGCTCAAATGTGCTCGTCACGTTGATAAAATCTTGCAGAATTCGCACATCTTCAGTAGTGAGTCGGTGCTTTTCTTTAAATATCAGTCCATCTTTTTCCCAGTTGTACTTCACTGCAACCTGAACCATCTTGTAGTTAGTGTTCCACCGGGTAACGCAGCGGCTGGTGAATTCACGTCCAAAGACTTTCACAATCTGCTCCGTTTGCTGCGGAGACTTCTTCGCGGAACTAACGATCTTTGCGAGTTTCTCAATTACGGCGTTCAACTTTCCACAATTTTTTACTGGGTTTTTCAAACACAGCTGCATGGTATGGGCGACACATCGCAACTGCAAATAATTAAAATATCCCTGTTACGCAATACACAGTACAGCGACAAACTACAAAGTAATAAGTATTAACTATTAACTACTACTTAACTACTACATCTTAGTATTAACTATTAAGTATCAAGTTCCCCTTCTCGGTAACGTATTAAAACTGCTATTTATTTGATAGTTTTTACACAGCAAAATTTCGCTGTACATCAGCGTTTCAGTTTCAGCAGATACGTTCCGTTTTAGCATTAACTAAACACTCGTACGCTTCTATTTAATTACGATTCCGTTTCCTCTAATTTACACTGGTTTCTGTACCTGAATCGATCTACCGTTGATAACACACTCTTGCTCTAGCAGACCGCATACATCCTTCGCTAAAGTGGAATCCGAATCCAAATCCTCGGGACTAAGGTAGTCGATATCGTGCTCCTCATTGCCTACTGCTTCAATGGGACCATCGTCCGTATTATTCTCATCACAGAACCCTTCCATAAAACCAGGCATCCAGTCTTCAAAAGCTTTTACAACGTTGCCACCATTATCAGTGCCCACGTAAATCACTTTTTTTCGAATATTAAATTTCTCCAGTATTTCAATCACCAGTTTGAAAATTTCCTCCGCTCCGTGTTTTCCTTCAAAGCGCGTGCACGCAAGTAAATGATTCCGCAAGTTCCACGACGAGTCAATAAAATGAACAGTCACGCCCAGGTAGCCGCGCTGTTTCTTGCTACTCCAGATATCGCAGTTGATGGCCACAAAATCGACGAACTCTAGCTCTTTCTTCAGCAGATCCACGTATACGCGATCGTATTCCGGTATCATATGGCGAGCAATGTATTTTCGTGTTGGCCACTATAAAATAAATGAAACTTCATTAGAAACTACAAGTCACCAATACACAATTATTGTTGCGCATTACAGCACGTAAAGCAGTAGAACAACAATATCCCCAGCCGTTTACATCTCGTATTGTAATTATACCTATTACTCACATGTAGTCGTTCGTCGAAATTCTTCACCAGCCTGTCCCAGCACGGATTTGTAATGGCGTTCACAGAAATCAGGGTAGAAAAAGGCAGTCCGCCACACATTCTCGTTTAGAAGTCGTTGCTGGCGGTGGTCGTTACTGTACGGCGTGACTTTCTTTTCTACGCACTTGAGACTGTCGATCTTTGGTTGCGCTAAGTCAGACGTGGATTTCCCATGAGCAGTTATAAAATCTTCTACAACCTAAAGCAAAAAGTATAAGATATTCCACTAGTTTACGGGCATTTCGTTTGCTGTACCAAAGTGTTTAACTTTCTTGCGATATTAATGCAGAAAGTTATGACAGAACGTCATGTAAAGCACAGTACTCGTACAAAAATTACGCACGTTACGAAATTTTTATGGAAAGATTGAAAAATGACATCTAAAACGGTTTACTTACTGGCTCCCGTGCGTGATGAGAAACAACGTGGATCCTAAACTTTCCGTACGATTCAAAGTCCTTAACAATCTTCCCTTTGGCCTTCTTGCAGAACTTGCATTTCGCGCTGTGCAGCTGCCCCGTTCGTGAGTTTCTTGTTTCTTTTATGGACGAATGGCCTTCGTAAAGATGCAGGTAGAACAGCTTCGGGGATATAGTATCAGCCAGCGGATGGGATTTTTTGGAATTCGCAGGTTTCTTCGGATCTCCTTCGTCATCGGAGCTCAGCAGTTCCACAGTGTCTGTCGATTTGGACATGCTCCGTGCTGCCAGATGATCGCACGAAACTGGTAGCGGTCGGCGGAGGTTTCAGAAATGTGGATTTAAGTAAGAACAATCATTTCTCTTCCAAATGACAAGTTACGAAACTAATCTATATCACCCAGAAATCACAGTCCAAAGCTGCAGTTCTGAAACTGCAGCTTGCTTTGTGAGGTGCTCGGCCTCGCACTGCACCGAATATACTCAACCACTGACACAGTGCCAGTGCCATTGGAACAGCTGCTTCGAGCGGGCTTACGAAATATCAGTGTTCGATCGCATACCAGTGTAAAGTTGTAAACGTTGTCTTGACTGAGTGGATTTGTTAAGATTTCACACTTGGAATTGGAATTTCTGTTAGCGTATTCGTTAATTCTTACGCCGGAAACAAATTGATTAACTGCTGATAATAATTACAATTTTATTTTATTACGAAGCAACCCAGCCCATTCTCAGCCCATTTCCATAAAAGATTTTCATCCCATTTTTTAAAAATTCAGCCCATCTCACCTCATCTACGGCTCTTTCCCACCTCATCCTCATCTTCACCTAAAAGATGAGGTGGGCTGGGAAAAATGGGAAAAATTTTCACCTCACCTGAAAGATGGGCCAAGTCTGGTAGGCACACTCATAGGGAGTCCTAGCCATAATCTCCAAAGTCCAAACTTAACCGTTGAAACAAGAAACAAGTTGAACAACTCTCGCCCGTCCTCAAAATCAAGTTCTTACCAATTTTCCTTAAGAAGACAACTGAGCCATCAAAATAAGTGTCAAATGTCTCACATGTAATGAGGACAAAATTACATCGATCAGTAAGCATGTACTTTCCCATCTTGACGGTGAATGTGTCGCATGACTAAGTCCTCCCCTAGGGCACCCTATGAGCCCTATATGAAAAGGTCAGCGATGACCTGGACCTATGTGTACCTATGGTGAACGACTAGGCAGCACCTGTGTGACCATGACCTTTATTCGGTAAAACGCTTGCCCACTAGGGCCACTACAACTACTCTATAGCTAAGCAGCTAGGCTGCTGCTGAAGAACGGACTGACTGGCTGGCAGTCGGAAGGCCTCCGTATATATGAGGATGGCCGGCTAGGAGGGGGTGGGGCTTTTGTGGTGACTGGCTCGATGACGGCGGTATGACAGGAAGTGACGTAAGGGTAATGTCATATGATGTAATCGACCGCTGACTGACCTTGACGGTATGACGCATGTCGTGACTCCGTCACAAATGCAAGTTCGACGGCGGCGCCCGCACACTTTGAGGTTGCATCGATGTACGAATACGCCATCGTATACCTGCATATCACGTCCCAAACTAGCGGTTGTCCGCGGTTCGCGTAGCTCCATCTGGCCGCTTTCCGTTTTCTCTCAAAAAATTCCACTGGCTCTGGTCTCTGGATACGATTCAATGCCGGCATTGCATAAAGTTCGCAATATTATATCGTTAATACCGTTATGCCGAAACACACACTTTACTTGAAACACACAATCATTATGGGTGCTTAAGCCTTGCACTTCAAATTGAACCTGATCAGTTCTTTTACATCCGAGAGTTCAAGTTTAACTTAAGAACCTATGTGATAATATTATCACATAGGTTCAATATTATCACACACTCCGTGACATAAAGCGTAACATTAATGTTACGCTTTATGTCACGGAGTGCATTCCGCGTAGGTATGATTTACGCTTTATGGAGGCCAAAGTATTTGGGCCTAGGTGAAAATTCACGGGCTGACGGGGTTCATGGTGAACTATTACCGTAAATAAATTTATCGGTCACAGTTTTAGACCGGGGAATAATATACTGACGCCAGGATATAGGAGTTGGGAATGATCTACTATTGCACACATGGTTGTTTGAATATCTTAGTTGGCTACATACGGATGTCAAAATCTGCTTTTTGCGCAGCTGATTATAATTCATTAGGGATCGGGTGGTCTTAACCCTTAACAGAGAAAATGAATTGTGCATGTGCAGAGTCCGTGAGTCACCTTGTCGGACTGCATAGTCAATTTGGCAGACAGCATTGTGTCTCTATTTTTGGAACCGTTTTGAGAAAACTGTATGACCTATTGCACCTGCGGTGAGAAAAATTAACCACACGATACGATGGTGAGCTAACACATAACATTTACGTAGAATCTCTCATTCTCTTATTTCAGTTCCTTTCAAAGCCCCTCTTGAAATCTGAGCTACTTAGTCTGATAGAGTGCAGAGGCGTTCGTTAAGCAGATGAAATGCGCACGAACATCAGGCATATAAATTAGATTCTGCAGCCCGAAAACTGCAGCCCGAAAACTCGCAGTGCATAGTAACTGAAATTTGTACATTTCTCAGAAAGAATCTGAATTGTGCGTTCGCAATTCTGAAGGTCCTGCTACTTTCTATTTCCGCGCAGAGGTTACAATGCTATCGAATAACAGTTCTGGAAATTTTTTTACCTTTGACAACTTATCATTGCTGTTGAAAAACATCTCTAACCAGACGAGTACGGATCACGGCTCATCGGCAACACTGATCAGTATGACAACCGCCACGCTGATCCTAAATTTCGGTGTTCTGATCTTGCTGATTAAGGAGAAGGCTCTCCGTACTCCGTTCAATGTGTACGTGATTGTCTTACTGTGCAGCAACATTCTGTATGTCGGGTTAAACAACATCACGATGATTATGACGCCGGTGGGACATTGGTGGATTGGCGATGGAGCGTGTACGGTACAGTTGTACTGCCGGTACATTGTGATCACCATCATCACCCACAGTCACGTGCTGATCAGCATTAACCGCGCCTGGGCACTGTACTGGCCGGTGTCGTACAAAAACAACCACACTTCTACTGTCGCGTGGCTGCTGTGTTTCGGAATGGTGGTCTATGTCCATGTCTGCCAGCTGCCTGGACTTATCATGGACGCACTGTACTACCGTATTCCAGTTCAGGTAAATAATATTTCGTTTGTTTTGCGGTACATTCACAGTTCGAAGAGACGTTGTGCGGTTTTTCGACAGAAGTTTATTTTTTGTCTTAGACTTCTAAAATTTGCCGGATGAATAGACAAGCGCAGCTGACCTTTGCCATGTTCTCGTCCATCTGGGTGTTCGATATACCCAAGATCTTCATTCCGATCTGTTACCCATTCCTGCTATGGAAATTCTTGCGAAGAAGCAACGCCATTCGCGGCCGCCAGGCAACTGTCACCCAAACCGAGCTGCCTCGCCGACGCGACCATGTGACGCGACCTTTCATCCTGCTGACTTTCATTACAGGTAGTGCAGCAGTCTGCTGGATACCAATCATGGTTTATTATTTCATTGTGGATTATGTGGGCACGATGCGATCACATCGACTGGAAACAGCGCTAATACTTCTCTATTCCGTTGAACCTATACTGGATCCCGTGTTTTTCATTTTAAGTATCAGCAATTTGTACGATCATGTTGCTGTATTGTGGAGAACCCGAGTTACCAGAATCCATCGCATCGGGAGGGCAACAAATACCGTGGAACTTTTCAGCGTTTAATTATGAAGTAAACTATTCATTATTTGCACATGAAGTTTGGTGTTATTGCGTTCTGACACCACGTGCAGAACATATCATGCACATTCTGTGGAACTCAGTGGAAGTAACCGGCTAAATTGGCGTAATTCTTGTTAACCAAAAAATAGTAAAGACCTCAACCATACTGGCCGATGTACGAAAACAAATGCTGACTGCTTTGATGGAATATGTTTTACCGAATGAAGTTATTGATGGCGGTACGCAGTTAATTATGTATATCGGCATATAAAAAAACTGAACTAGCGGTCAATAACACAGAAAAAGCCAGCAAAATTTTATTATTTCACAGTAGCAAAAATGAACTATCTATAGAGTAGAAAAATAGCACAATAGCTTGATATACGAGTACGTACGTACTGTATATGAACAACTGAAGCTGACGTTACATGTGCAGAAGTTTTCCCGGAGTAAGAAAAGCGAATGGACGATAAGTCTATGATGCGCTGGAAATCTGGAATTCGTTCACATTGAAGTAAACAGTTTGTAATAGGGTCTGTCCGTTTTTATATGGCTGTAGACATTCTTGATGACTGGAAGTACACAAGTTCTAGCGAAGGATGTAGCGTTCGCCTTACCGCATGCAATATCTAGCAGCGATTTTAATAATGTGGGTGCCGTTTAACGAAATTTCCCATAGCCGTCCACAATCTGTTGGGCCATCCTTTTCTGCTATAACAGAGGCAGCCATAAGTCGGCTGTCCGTGATGATCTCAGCGAGGGAGGGCGGTCAGATGAAGATCCTGTCTGTTGAGGAAATTCCGAAAAATGGCGATGGAGCGGAATCGAACCGCTGGCTACCGAGTGAGATCCACGTAGCACAGCCACTGTGCCATCGCCGCTGTTGGCGAAGATCAAGATATTTGTGCTTGAGCTTGAGCCAACCAGGTAGGCGGCGGATGGGCGGCTGCTGTGTGTAAAGAGGATTCTCCTCTTACACTGCCATCCGGTGAAGGCGGTCTTCTTGGCGCTGGCTCCGCGGGTGGTTGTGCCCGGGTTGTGGCGATGGATATTGCTCTTGCGGACCTCCGTAACCGTAAGGATAATAAGTGTCGGTATGGTGGGGAGCAGAGTAAGAAGGAGGTTGCCGATTACGATTAGGCGGCGCCTCCCGCCAGGGGTTGTTTGAATGGTATTCATGCCGGTAATCATGACTGTTATGAAACTCCTGCATGGCTTTGTAGTTGTACTGTGTATACCTGATGTTTTACCCATACTTGGGTGCATACAGCGTTTCCTGGCTTCGTACTTGCTGCTTACGAACACCTTGGATCATTTCCACAAAATTCTGAATCTTCTTGCCATTAATTGGCAGATTGTACAGTGACTGGATAGCGTCCATAATGTTTTTGGCCGTAATGTGGTGGTCTTTGTCGCTTCCCTGCATGGATTTTTCGAGAAGCTGCTTCTCCTCCCGGTATCCTTGTAGCATTTTCTCGTATCCTTGGAGACCCTCTCTGCCACAACCTGGAGCAATTTTCTCCTTTTCCGCCCCGATCAAGTAGTGTAGGTACTCCTCCATGGCGCCATTTAACAGAATCATGGCGTTATTTTTTAAATAGCAGCCAAATGTTGCGAATTTCCTTCTTATCATAGGCCAGGTCTTGTTTCCGCTGGTTGAGTTCTTTCAGAAAGATCCCCACCGCATTGAGCTCGCCGTCTTTCTGATGTAATACATAATTTTTGCACTCTCTGGTCCATTTCATTCACTACTGCATTTCGTACTAGATGTGCATATGATTTTCCCATGAACATCGTTCACAAAACAGTCCGCCCGACGCTACCATAGCTTGACATTTCTGCAGTCCTGGATTCGGATATTGCTTCTGTTGACTCCCTTGCAGAAGACAATGCTCATGACACCACGTAATGTAATCCACCTTCTTGTACATGATTTGGATTCGACGTTGAACTTGACAGTAAACTTTGGCTTTTCAAATGGAAAGCGTTGGTCTGGAGCGTCCGACTCTTCTCGATTGCTAACGTTTAATGGAAAACTTCATCTGTTCAGCCACATATATGTAATGGTGTACTACGATGCAGCGCGGGACAGTTGGCTCCATTACGCAAGCCGAGAGCCACCGTTCGACAAATGTTTCGGTTATGGGCTAGTTCCACAACCTGTTGTCGGCAAATGGATGCAACAACCCGGCTCATGCGCGCACCTGAAGTGTGAGAGAGGATCAGGGGTTGCTCAGAAGACCATTGGTAGTTTTGAAAAAAAATTGTTTGTAGTGATTTGTGTGTACGGGAATGGTGAGAAGATTTCTCCTAAACCTTTTTGTAGCTTATTTTTTCGATACAAATAATTTGGGCAAATTTGATTGTTCATCTGCCGCAAACGCTCAGTATGTAGAGCATACAATTACAAATAAACCAGTCAAACGGAAGAAGCTGATGCTATCTAAAATATCAGAAGTAAAGCAACTGTATACAGAGTTATACTCGTACCGCGTGTTACCGCATTTCTTAGGTAGCGAGTTACACTTTAGAGTAACGTTAAACCTCAATGAATCGAAAAGAACTCGCGGTAATCTAAACGATTAAAAACAACAGCCCCCGTGTCACTTTCCAGGTTTGAAATAGACTACTGGTATTAATGCACTTGTAACGTTTATGTACTAGTAGCACATGTACTAGTAGCCGTAGCACACGTACTCCACCGTAGAGTTGTTATAGACGAGCCGTGGCCGCTCTGAGAATTATCGATCCGTTCACAATATTTCCTGTAGTTAATCTAACAATGTGAATCCTGATCCGCCTGCAAGATGTTAGGTCGGCTTGTGCTGGTGTACTTCTATAATTCATAATTTTTTATGCAACTACTAAACGCGCTACGGATGTGTATTTATGCGCAATTTCGTTTGTATCAAATCACGTTATCTTTCTGTTAAGTTATTCAGTTCGGTTTCACAGTCTGTAAATCGCCCAACTGATATTGTTAGTTTTTGTGCGATACCAACTACAGGGCGGCAAAGTCCTGTACCGTCATTAGATTAAAATTCTAGTGTAGGTTGCTCGATTAAATCTACTTCTGTACGAAGTTTTGCTTCCGAACGCCACTATGGAGCCTTTCAACTCAGAATCTCCATCTTCGAGTTCCTTGCAACCTGCTGTGTATGCAGCAACCGTTAGTTCTGATGTATCGCTCCGAGGAGCGGACGATCAGTCTAAACCCATCCAGTGGATTCCCTGCCATCGTGCTGTTCTGGCAGCTCAGAGCACTTACTTCCGCTCTATGTTCGCTTCGCAAATGAAGGAAGCGAATGAAAAGCAGATTCAGCTCAAGGATATCCCCCATGAAATCTTAGACCAGTCAGTATAATACAAGTATATGTCCATAGAGAGAAAACAGAAAGTGTTGCTTTAATGTAAGAGAACGGACCACGTGGCATGTAGCCGGCAGAACTGTTAACATGTTAACGGTTAACGCATTAACACGTTTGCCGGGCGAGGATGTTAACGTTAACATTCCCGCCGGGCCCAGATGTTAACGACCGAAATCGTACACGTTGTAGATGGATTTAATGATTCATGTTATGGATACAAATCCTACAATGTATGTAATAATAATTACCTATAGAAGTATCGAATTTAATTATTAATTTTTAGCTATCCTTTAAAAAACGTTTCTGCAAGAAACGTTTTTTAAAGGGTCGTAAAACAGGGTTTGCAAAATTGCGGGCGGAAGGGGTCTAAAACGGAAAGAAAAACGCATGACTGAGGTGCCTGATGCGAAACCACCTCTCAACTGTGGGAACAAGAAGATAACATAACAAATAGTACAGGAGTAGCGGTACCTGGCTTATGTTTTGACTAACCGTTTTCAGTTATAACTAAAATTTTTCAAAAACACATCATCGGTTTTTGTTAATCAGTATTTAACGATTTAAACTAAAGGTCTGTTTTGACTCAAAATTTCTACACCTTCTTTTTGCTTATAATTTACTTACCAATGCGCCTGTCTGCGCTCGGCTGCTGAACTTGTTGGGCAGACAGACAGCCAGCAAACAGGCTGCAGCACACATGCTGAGGCGCTGTATATTCAAGTAAAACAGACCTTCGACGGCTCGTCAGTGGTATCAAATTACACCGTTAACATTCTAGCCGGGCCACTGGGCCAGAATGTTAACGCCTTAACATGGGTCTTATTTTCCAGTTCAAGTCTTTTACTTCGAAACGTGTTTTCTTTTTACAAATGCTGTCTGAAGAATCGTGTAAACACCATTGTTGTGCAATTAATGCCATGCAAATTCACTAATTAACTAATTTGTGAGAATTACTATCGCATCTAATGAGAATTACTATCGCATCTAATAAGCACTAACATCCCTGCCGGTACGTGTGTTAGCGTTAACATCGCCCGCCCGGCAGCAATGGTAATGTTTGGTTAATGTGATAACGCTTGATAACAGCCGCAATTACGTACGTATAAGCAAATTCAGTGGCTGTGAATATATGTATGTACCATACACCTGATGTTTGCCATGGTTTGTCATGCCCGGCACTTGCCGCACAAAAGCACAGAAACATCATGCAAGATTCGCTGGCAAAATAATGCAAAAGTTTCTTCCCGCCAAAAGTGGTACCAAATTTGGGTACATGCACGAAAGCATTCACTTTCGCGTACTTCCAAAATTCACAAACTGTGCCATAAGGCACAGTTCTTATGACATTTATGTAGCAGAGTGATTTGTGTACATTGGCTTGTTTGCGCACGCGAATTACGGTTAGAAAATTATGGCTGAAAGAAAATTCCAAAAGTTTAAACCCGGTTAGGTGCGCGAGTATGGAAAATCTCGTTATGGACAGATTATCTTCGAATTTTGCGCAAAAGGTCATATAAAGCTCAATCTTGTTTGAACACGAACGAATTTTGAGGAACTTCGGGGTTTTTACGATTTTAAAAGAAGGTGAAATGCCAAAGTTTTTTGTGAATGTACGCGAATTAGGTACTATGTACCGGTTACTTAAGTAAAATAAAAATCGTTGAATGAAATGTCGAATTGTATGTAGGGTGCACAATCAGTCTGCGCAGGTAAGAACAAGCTCGCCGGGCTAGAATGTAAACGGCGTTAACATTTGGGCCCGGCGGGAATGTTAAGTAAATAGTTTATAGTTAATTGTACAGCTATGTTTCGAATCATGTGTTTCACGATTTTTAATTTTGTATACATATATGCTGAATGTTGATTTTACAGTTTTTTGTAGATCATTTGAAGCACTGCATCATAGTCAACACTGCATTAAATTATTATCGTAAAAAGTAAATATCCGGCATTCCAGTCAAAACCGCTTGTTAACGCCCGGTTAACATTTGAGCCTGCAAATGTTATAACGCCGTTAACATTTGAGCCGGCACATCTTATAGCGCCGTCAACATTTGAGCCTGCACATGCTATAACGCCGTTAACATTTCAGCCGGCACATGTTATAACGCCGTTAACATTTCAGCCGGCATGCGTTATAACGCCTTTAACATTTCAGCCGGCATGCGTTATAACGCCTTTAACATTTCAGCCGGCACATGCTATAACGCCGTTAACATTTCAGCCGGCACATGTTATAACGCCGTTAACATTTCAGCCGGCACGCGTTATAACGGCTTAAGAGATATGGCCCGGTACATGGCACAAAATACGTGTACATGCACGAAAACTCAGTTTTGGACATTCCGATATACTCCATTGCTTTGTTTAATGACATCCTGTGGCCAGATGATATGTATTAACAGGTGTCAAAACAGTTTTGGCGCGTGCAGCGCGCAACATCCGGTTCGGGAGCTATAGCTTTTATAAAAATCCAAAAGGTTTAAGTGCACTGAGGCGAACCAAAGTCCCATTATGGACCGATCCCCTTCAAATCTTCCACGTATAATTGCACATAACCATGAAGATCGTTATACGGATCCAGACATCCACGATTTTTTTCGAATTTTAAGATGAATTTATGAATTTTCGAAATTTAGTTTAGAAGTTGAAAAACATGCTAGAACAGTGGATCGGTATAAGAACGATTTTCATGGTTATGCGCATTTACATGCAAAGTTTAAAGAAGATTGGTCCATAGTGACTTTTGGTATACCGGAATGCATTTAAACTTTTTGGAATTTTGTTACCATTATACCTCAAAACCGGATGCTGCACGTGCAAACGGATTTCACACCTACGTATACAATTCGTTTGGCTGCAAAATACTATGAATAAAATAATACAAAAAATGTGTGGGGTGTGTGCAGCAGCGAAAGTTCCCGTGGATGTACAGAAATTTGCTGCTATGTACCGGGCCAAATCCCTTAACTTTCCAGCCCGGTGAGCTTTTTGATGCTTTCTTTAATCAAAATTAATAGTTCGTGTTCACCACCTTCCCCAATAATCTATTAACAGTTGCTCTTTGCGCTGTGTTTACAAGAAGGTTATAATTATATCAAAAACTCTTAGCAAAACCAACCAATGTGCTCACGATAACGCCGGTATTGGTAAAATCAAAACTGTCTACAATTAAATTTAAAACGCTCAGCGTTATATCATGTTTGCTATACGTAGTTGATGTCTTTGCGCCATAAAAAGATTTCAGAAAGGATTTTTTTAGATTTTTGACAAATGACCGACATAGATTCAGACTGCATGTTGACAATTTACGTATTGCTACAACTATTACAGCTTTTACCATAAGTATGGACTGTATAATAATTATTAAGGAGCCGCACGTAATGTTTACTGTATCTACTTTCTTCCACCCTATAATACACAAACAAGCTAAGTATTTTTATTACTATCCCAGGGAATAGGAGCAGCCAACTCTTACGATCCACGGCCCGTAAATTGCGATTACTGTAGTTTGTTACGGAGATTGAACGAACAGCTTGCATGATTATTTTCTGCGTTAACATTTGGGCCCGGCTGGAATGTTAACGTTAACATTCTCGCCCGGCTCACATGTTAATGCGTTAACCGTTAACATGTTAACTGTTTTGCCGGCTACACATGTAGATTCTCTATTGGCAATTTTTTACCAGTGCTTAAAATGTCGCGCAAAAGATTGAATAAATACGGCAGTAGTTTGTCTGGCTGTAAACTGTATTCTAATTAATTTACTAACTTCAAAAATAAATAATAAAAATCGGGCGCTGCAAAATTTCACTGTATTTTTTAAGCAGCTTACAGGGATTCTTACTACTCCGTATGCGTGTTGGTTCACAGGATTGTCCGGCACATGTATTCGTCAAAAATCTCTTTGGATGCCAACAACGTTTTGTTGCTCCTGGAATCTGCATTATTCCTTGATGTGATTGAAATCGTCGGTGCGTGCCAGGAATTTTTAAAGCGCAACTTGAACACCGGAAACTGGTTAACTATACATCGCACGGCGGAATTCCTGTCTTGCAGCGACTTAATAAAAATCTGCGATGAATTTATGGTCAAGAATTTTTCAGCTGTTTCGAAGTGTGACGATTTTCTAGAAATTAACGAAACTCAGGTGAGTGCAATCTTTACTAATCACTGTTTCGGTTTTCCTCATATTTCGGTCACTTCAAGTATACGTTTTCATATGTCGGCGGGTGCAATGTGAACAAACCGTTCGCAGGTGAAAGTTTCAGGAATTTCAAAACCGTTTTGTCAGAAGACAAGCCTTCCCTTATTTTGTTGTGATGACAACCAACCAGTGAAAAGCGAATCGAAAGCACGTTGTGCAGTAAGCAGCTATTCTTGTAGCGTGACCGGTGACCAAAATATGAAACCGTATGCTTGAAGTGGCCGAAATATGAGAAAAATCGAATTAACCAGATTCCAACAAAATCGTTTTCCAGCGAAATGTTTCTCTACAATAAATTATTCAACAGATGATGGAACTTATTGCATCAGACGATTTGTTCGTGAAGAGCGAGGACGAAGTAGCAGATGCCGTGATTCGCTGGTTGAATAACAATTCAGCTCAACGGTTACATCACATTGGCGAGATTTTGCCGCTGGTTCGAACGCCCTTTCTAAGTGCTGAGCGACACAAATTAATTCATGGCATCTATATGAATCCAGAACAGGTATCCCGTGAACAGTTCCGAAAGGTCACAGACGGCATAATCCAACACACGCCGTATCAGCACCGTAAATCATGCAGTAAGCCTTAACCTGCGAACAGACTGCGTACTCGATACGGCTGCTTAGACTAACGTTTCCGTCTGTGCAGAGCCGGTCTTGGTAGCCATTGGCGGGGAACAGAGGCTGAAGTTCGTCTACCGTTTCGAACCAAGTACCGAGAAATGGATCCCAGTGCGCCTGCTGCCTCAGTCGCCGAAAAGTCAATCTGCATATCTACCCATTGTCGTAACGTCCAGCGTATTTTCGATCCAGGTAGTGTGCGTATTTTCGATCTGATTCACGATGATGGCATCGCTCGTAGCTGTGTATGGCAGTATGATTCCGATACGGACCAATGGGAGCGCTTGACTCCGCTGCCCGACGGACGGTGCGAGGGTCCGTTAGTGGCCAATGAAAAGACTTATGTTCTTGTTAGCGGTGACGAATCGCAGAGCTTCCTGTGCTATAATGAACACTCCAAAGAATGGGACAAATGCGCGACGGTTCCCGGCAAGATTTGCCTGTCTTCCGCGATGACGGTACACGATAATGGCTGCATCTACATGTTTGGCGGCCACGACGTATCTTATAAGGTGGACAAAAAAGGCCGTCACTCGGGCTCCGCTTACTGTTTCAATACACGCGACAAGACGATTAAACCGTTGGCAAAAATGCCGACAAAGCGATACAACTGCAGTGCCGGTGTGGGCCCCAATGGGCTGATATATGTCATGGGTACACATATAAGGCACTGATTAGATTTTAAATAACTAAATTAATATTGTCTTTTTAATTTCTCCATCCGTATGTTCAGGTGGAATTGCTGCTGAGCACAAGCGCGGGTTCCGCGAAATTTTTGTCTACTGTTTGGAGGTTTATGATCCGAAAACTAACGAATGGGAGGTAGAGGGTGAGTGTAACGTTACTCATCTTTCCGTTGTTTTCGACGCCGAAAATGACAATGTAAGCACTAAGCACTTTAATTGTGCAGATGTGGAGAAATATGATATAACGTTTAGCGCGGCTCGAATGTTTACGTTCGGTGGAAAGCTGCACTGTGTGCCTGGGGGGTGTCAGTCAATGGCACACTATGATGCACTGCGGGACCGATGGATGTCCGTCAAAAGCGATTTACCGCACCAATTGAGTGGGTGCTCCGGTTATGCGGTAATTCCACAACACATTGTGCGGAAATGGACGCAACAACCCGGTTCCTGTGCGCACTTGGAGTGTGCTAGCGGTTGCTCAGAAGAGCACTGGTAGTGGCAGTTCTCAAAGAAATTTAGACCTGTAAGAAGTTATGCAGACTGATGCGACTGGATGCTGTCGGCTGCGCCGATTAGATGTGTTCCATAATTTGAATAAGGGATAAGTAAGAAAGTTTCTGATAAGTAAGACGTTGGGAGTATTTGGCCCCGCTTTCAGTGAATTGTTGCATTTCATGGGCCGTAAAATTCGAGACTTAACTGGAGAAGCACGTTCTACTGCTTTCATTAAGCAACGTTTTAGTCTCGCCGTTGTAAAAGGAAATGCTACGGCTGTTTTGAGCACGTTACCTTTTAACCCACGAGAAGATCGAGATTTTGGTTGTTTTTTTAATGTTTAAATTTTAACTATTAAGTAGTGTACCGGCGCTTGCAGTTATTGTTATCGTGGTGGCTATTGCCCATTAAAGATCAGCTATAGATACAGGACTGTAAAGAAAGTTTCTTCCTATTGTAGTGCAGTGGCTGTGCTCTACCACAGCGCGTACCAAATTATGTTTGTATGACCTTAGAAGACGAGGATGTATGTGATTATCGTGGTCGTGGTTATGCGGTAGTCTGTAGTCTCGATTGTCGAGGTTAGCGAGAAGCAATAAAGATCTGGCTGGCTTCACGACGTGACAGTAAGAAAATTTCTTCCTGCGCTTTTAGCTAATTTACTCCGGAAACAAATTGGTATGGGAACGAATAATCGTTTGCGGTTTGGTGCAGCCGGCCCAACCAGGTGATCGATGTTTGTGGCGTGATAGACAGTAAAACGCTGTACCATAAGCAGCTCAACGGCCCTCAAAGCCAAACACAAAATTCTTCTGCTGGTGTGTTGCTCAAAACAGGAAAAGGTCAAATGCACGGAAACACACTCACAATTTAAGGCCCGCAATTCTGCTTCATTAATAAACACGCAATGCAACCCTGATTAACCTTCAACACGTAAGACGGATGAGAACCGGATAAAACCAAATCATTTGTGAACTCCAACGTCGCACCATTTTATTTTAAAGCATATTAATCAGCGATTTAACGGTAGATTACCAGATACGTCCGCATGGTGGTTGTTGTAGGCTTTAATAGCCACAAAAATAACCACAGCGTAACCGCATCCACACAAGTTGACAGTTGTTTCGCTCGCTCAAATTGTTTTTGCCTTTCGGCTCAGTCCGACCACGGGAATGTTTACGAATTTCTGCCGGTTGTTTTTTTTAACTTTGATCTGACAATGAAGCTTTGCTTACAGAAGTCACGCTGGCTTCTTCAGTAACTGGTTCTGACACCTCACACCTGATTTTTAACAGTTTCTGCAGACCTTCAAATTTTAAGACGTAATTATAATCTGATTGTGTTTAACAGCAGCACTTCCAGCCGGCTCTTGCATTTGATATTGCGCTGACTATTACAATTTGCACGCGTTTCAGTGTTCCTGAGTTTGTAACACTCGGCATCGTATCCGCTACTAAACAGTTACGTAGATTATAATAGCAGTAATTGGCGCTCACATATTGTCGTAATAATGAGCGCGCGATTAACACTCAAATCAACGGGCTTATTGGAAAAAATCAAGTTTTTATATGTACGAGTTGTCTGCAGTACAATAGTCAAGCTTGCTAATGCTCATGCGATTGTTTTTCTTCGTAGATTACTGTAGCGGCTCGATCAAGTGCATTTTCTTCGGATATTACAGCGGTCAGCGTGGCACCACGTTTTGGTGTACGAGATGAGCACATGCAGCGTGTACTGCTCATGCGTTTTGCAAGCATGACAGTGCACTCGCTGCACATGCTGATTTCATACACAGACTGTGTGCATGCTCATATGATCAGCACGTATATGTGAATTAACATGCTCATGTGTGAGCAAAAAGGCTCATGTATGGATTTGGACTGTTCGACTGAGTAGTGCTTGCAACAACGCACCAGTCCGTTCGCAACGAAGTATTTGAACTTTTCATGCCCTCTACAATGACCAAATGTTTTGGCTCATGTAGATTATGACGTAATAATATTATTAATGGTTTTGAGCCTTGTTTGTAGCGATTTGACGATTGATGGTCAGTTTCATGCGGTACGTACAGATGCAACAGTCCATGTCAATGTAAGTCGAGCATTCGATGTTATAACGATCACGATTAACGTCATTCAAAATTTACTTTTTGATCTCATGCAATGGGGCACTGGCTTAAAGCAGTTCTTCTGCCGGAGTACTAGAGAACCGCGTATTTAACAGGTCAACGGACAGCAAGAGTAGAACCGCGGGTTATGTCATAATTCCTACGAATTAATAGTGGCGTTGGGACAAGAAACATACAGAAATACAGATACGGGCAGTAGATTCCGCTAGGGTGCCACCGTCACTAGGCAGCAAATTCTCCATCCACTGTAACTTCGTTGTTAGAAAACCTTTGGCTTCCCGAAACAATCGGCTTCACGGTGTCCAGCACCTCCGCAAAGTGCACAAGCCTGCCTATCGTCTCCATAGAGATCCCAACGGAAACTGTCTCGACCACTGTTTCTCTCTGCAGCAATGCATCTGAGTAGTGCTACCAGCGTTTCTGTTATGGTACGCTGGAACCCACCATAGTTGCCACGATGGAAACCGCGTCCGCGATGGCTGCGGCCGGGCGTTGTGGTCGAAGCAGACATACTTTGCTGCAGTTTTATCTGACGTTGAACTTCCTTTTGTACAGCAGCCTGGAACGCTTCACGTGTCGTGTTGTTTTCAGATGCAGTGGCTTTTTTCTGCATGCTCACTTCTGTAGGGACTTGCGCTAAAATAAGCCATATTCTGGTCAAGAACTATTGTCACTAGGATTTTGGCCAAGATTAAACCACTTTTATTGGGCCAGGGTCAAAAAGAGGGAGGAATTTTGAGAGGGAGGAATTTCTGCGTGGTCAAAAAGAGGGAGGAATTTTTGAAGCGAGGGAGGGAGGAATTTTGAAATGGTCAAAAAGAGGGAGGAATTTTTTCGAAGTTCAAATGAAGTACTCGGAGACCTCGAACCCGGGTCCCCGAGGTCGCCACCGAGATTTCCTTACCAAGAGGAATCGCTTGGCTCGCCCTCGTGCCTAATTCAAGACATGTTGAGGGTTCGATGAAACAGAAGCACCAGTGACCTTTAGGTCGCCACGTGACCTTTGGGTCGCCACCGATTTTCATAGTGATTCCTATACATTTTGACATGCTGAGTCGAACTGAAGTACTCGGGGACCTCGAACTGGGTCCCGAGGTCGTTATTACGACATGTACCACATATACACAGTTTGCTGTGCTGGGTCGAACTGAAGTTCTGGGGGTTCTCGGACCCACGTCCCCCAAGTCGCCACCACGATTTATATTTTATATGCATAGTTTGATGTGCTTTATCAAGCCACTGCTGGGGGACGTAGAAACCGGGAATATTTCTAAAAATTTTTAATTGTTTCTAAATATTTTCACTAATATTTCTTATTATATTTCTACATATTCCTAAATATATTTTTAAATATTCTAGACATTTTTCGACATATCCTTAACTATATTTCAACATATTTTTTGATAGTTATAAATATACTTCTATCTGTAATTATGTCTTAACACATTATGAATATACTTTTGATTATTTTAGAATTAAGTTTTCTGATATTTCTGTACAGATGCATATCTCCACAAATTCGAAATATTTCTCAATATTTAGAAATATTTTCAATATTTCCAACTATTTCTCAATATTTTGGATGTCTCCAAGTACGGGCTAATGCTTTATAAGTATTACCGTTTTACGACTAGTAAGTACAAGATAACAACTAAATGAGAAGCACAACATCTAAACCACAGCAACAGGAAATAACGGACAGGTGCTAAGTCATCCTTTGTATCGTGACTTTCGTGATATGTCAATAATCTCGTGATATGCAAATATAATACAATTTCTAAATACTTTTAACTATTTGGTAATTTTTCTCAATATTTCTAAATATTTTTTTCAATATTTCCTATGATTTCTGTGAATATTTTTCATAATATTTCTACATTTTTCTAAATTTTAGATATTAAATATATTTCTAGATATCTTTGAATATACTTAGTGGTATTTTTCGATACGTTCAAATATATTTAATTATTTCTTGATACATTTCTGCATATATTTTGAAGATTCTAAATACTTTTTTTAATTATTTATCGCATTTCTACATATATTTTTTAATAATTCTACCTCAATAGCTCTACCAGTTTGTATCACGTAAACCGTAAACGTAAAATTTCTGATTACAGTGTTTGAGTAGATCTGAAAAATAAAATACCGTAAATTTTAAACTGTTTAATAAAACAAGGTTATTGAAAACTGGCATTTTACTTTAAAATACCTAAATATTTAAGTATCAAAATACTTAACATGCAGAATTTTATTTAACTGGAACCTCTACGTTTTTGTCCCTGCTGATTATGTTCTAATCAAATTGCTTTATGTAATGCTACTGTAGAGTTAAATCCGAACAGTACTTTCAAATCAATTTTCTTAACGGTTACCGCAAGCTTTGGATCATAAATTCATATTATAATTTGATATAATCTTTTATATTTAATCTTTGTTTGGATTCTAAAATTGTAGTTGGAATGCGACGTCTTGCTAGGACGGCATTAAATATTTGAAACAGTGATTTTTTAAAGCAAATCTACAATGCATTTCCTTTATCTGCGGATGACACATTGCAACTCAACGACACAAGACACAATGTTTCATAACGAGACTTTTTGATGTACCGGTTTGTTTCAAAACGTTCGCGCTAATTTAATGTACGGATGACCTATAATTTTCACAATGTTTTTAAATTACTTTAAAGAATTATGGAAAAACGACTGACATCTCCTTGTATAACTTCAGTACACAGCATCATCAAAGTTTTGTTGTCGGAATTTGCATACATCGTACTTTCTTCCCAGCATCGCGTGTTTCTAATTTAATTTGACTATAGTGTTTTGCTGCAGGGACGACGTATATATTCGTACACACAGTACGACTGCCCTGTAGACGATTACGTCGTCACGCCGTTGGCCATCACGGATATGGGCCAGAAGTGTGTTCTGTTCGTTATGCATGGCTGGCATTTCGGTTGTTAGCAGAGCCAGAGACTCCGCATATTTTTCGTATATTTTTCAATGCATGCAGCATCTGTGGTATATTGTGCACACCCCGAATAAAACGTTCATTTTATTCCTCGTGTTTGTCTCGCATTCGTTCCTTATAGCGGGATCAGACTTGGGCGAATTTTTGCGGAGCGGGAAATTCTCCGCCGTTTCCGCCCCTCCTAGCTTTTTTAAAGGACGGGAGCGGGCGGAAGTTTTGGGTTTGGAGGGGCGGGGCGGGGAGGAAAAAGTGTGAGCGGGCGGGAGCGGTATTATTTCCAAGGCGGACGGAGATCAAGCATAGAACAAAATTTAGGATCGTTTACCGAAAGATTCATATTTTTTTTATAGAATTTCTAACGCTTTTGCAGCGAATTTTTTTTATAGAATTTCTAACGCTTTTGCAGCGAAATCGGTTGCTGGCTTCGCGCTCCACGCGAAAATTGAATTTCTGAAGAAGAGAAAACATGAACACTGTTTTCAAAACCACATCTACGTACATCTAAAAATGTGGTTTCTCCCATAAACGGAAGAAACATAAAAAGCACCGAAAAAACTTATGCACATATTTCATGATATGTATTTGGCGGGGGGGGGTAACGGAAGATTAAGCAATGGCGGGCGGAAGTGCAAAATTTTTTGTTGCGGCGGGGCGGAGCGGGGCGGAAAATTTTTAGTAAGAGCGGGAAAGCGGAAAGCGGAGATCTTGAAGGCGGCGCAAGTCTAATCAAGGTACGTAGGTCTACTACGTATTTTTTGCATTACTAATGATTATTGAATAACCCAGATGCTGAATTATAATCCAAAAAATAATACAAAATTAATTTTAATTTCTGTTTTGAACATTGACTGCATAGTGCTTTCAAAATAATTGTTTTCAAGTCTACCAGAAAAGTTTTGGAATCCATTCGAAAGTGCAAATTTAAATTTAAATTGAAAGTGTAAATAAAAATTTTTTAAACAAAATTTCAGTAAAAATGATTTTTCTTTAGGCAGTAATTGGCAGGTTAATAGAAATAATATAATATCCGTTTGAAAATTCATGAATTACTTTAAAATTTCGGATTTTTAAAATACAAAATAATTAAGCAGCCAGAAAAATTTTAAAATTTGTGTTTCATTCGATTCGACTGAGATTTATCTCATGTTTTATTCAGCACTTAACAGAGGCAGTTAAGTTGTGTTGCGAATCGCTTTTCATCATTGTGTAAGTCATCCTGTGCAGATGGATGTACAGATATACGAAAGTCGAAATATATAGGAAGATAAATTTATTGGAACTAATGTATCCGTGTTTTGAGCAAAATTGTCGTTAACCAAATTAATGCCTCAGATAATATTCGTTCTGAGTTTTGGCTATTGTACCCGACCAGTGCTGAAGTGGATTTCGGGTAACTACTTAGATTTAACTTTAGATACTGTGCTTTCTTTTGGATTTCAGATGGTAGTATCTGTTGGTAAATCGAGATTAGGCCCATTACTTACTTCGAACTAAGGCATTTTGAGATAATTAAATCTACACATCTCAGGTAATCTGGCATCTGTTTTGAACTGTTCAGATGTCTTGATATTTGTTGAGGCACGGACCTTGAAATTCTGGTGTTCCAAGACTCAGTTAACTATGTAGCTGTTAAGTTGTTTTGCTGTTTAATAGGTTTTTAAAATTTAATACGTCTTTAAAAAATTTAGAATTAATTAGATTAGAAATTGTAGAGATATGTACAGAAAGATCAAAAAACGCAATTTTAGAATAATCAGAAATATATAGAAATCTTGAAAATTAAATAGTGGTCTGTAGGAAGGTGATAACTGACTACCGTACTAACTGTACTAACGAACCAACTCAGACACATCCGCAGTTGTTCATTCAGTGATGTGCACAAGATGTTCAAAGATGTTCTGTGCAACACTCGCTTATATAGCACAGTTGGTAACTTAACACCCATACATTAGTCAGCACTTCACCCAGAAGTCTGATCATCATTAGGGATAGGTGTACTGAGTGGACGTTATGCTCACTGATCAGCTATGAAGATAGTACAGTCATAGATCAGTTACGGATTACGCACACGTAACACATTTCCAATTCTAACAAGAAATGTGTTAAAACAGAACAGAGTAGATTCGAAGGACGCGGTTCCGAGGCCCCGGAGCACTTCAACAGCAATCAGTGCATATATGCTATATACCGTGGTGGCGACCTCAAGACCCGGTTTCGATGGTCCCCGAGTACTTCAGTTCGTGTCAGCCCATCAATTTATGCATATAAAATGTATATCGTGGTGGCGACTTGGGGGACGCGGGTCCGAGAACTCAGCACTTCAGTTCGACTCAGCACAGCAAACTGTGTATATGTGGTACATGTCGTAATAACGACCTCGGGACCCAGTTCGAGGTCCCCGAGTACTTCAGTTCGATTCAGCATGTCAAACTGTATAGGAATCACTATGAAAATCGGTGGCGACCCAAAGGTCACGTGGCGACCTAAAGGTCACTGGTGCTTCTGTTTCATCGAACCCTCAACATGTCTTGAATTAGGCACGAAGGCGAGCCAAGCGATTCCTCCTGATAAGGGAATCTCGGTGGCGACCTCGGGGACCCGGGTTCGAGGTCCCCGAGTACTTCCGTTCGACTCAGCCCTTCAGACTGTGTATATAATGAGAGAATCTTGGGGGCGACTTCGGAGACCTGGGTTCGAGGGCACTAAGTACTTCATTTGAACTTCAAAAAAATTCCTCCCTCTTTTTGACCATTTCAAAATTCCTCCCTCCCTCGCTTCAAAAATTCCTCCCTCTTTTTGACCACGCAGAAATTCCTCCCTCTCAAAATTCCTCCCTCTTTTTGACCCTGGCCCTTTTATGGTCTGGATCCGATGCTTCAATATCCACCACGATATCCGCTTTATGCGTTGTACCCATTATGCCGGCTATTTCGATCCCCTTGCTGAAGAATTGCAACGAATCGACACTTCTACAGATAAAAAGTTTTTATAGCTTTTTAAGTTTCTTCAATCCGGATCATTTGGTTGACAGGGACTGTTGCTGAATATTTGAAGCGGTTGGTGCAAACTAGCAATAGTTTAGTGCAGGATGCACAACGTTAATTTCATGCCTGCACCCGGTATTTGCGTACACGTGCCTAAAATACGTAACGGAAGCCTGTAGACTTTTTTTCCCGTGATAGACTTTTCCAGTCGGTCGATATCTTTATTTGCTGGTTGTAATGCAATTCTTTGAATAACTTACCTATAAAATTCCTTTCTTTTAAAATATTTTTCGGCGTTGTAGTACATGTCATTGAAGGTACTTGCTGAATGTCGGCCGTTTTCGCACACACCCAGTGCAAGGCAGTTGCTGTGAGACATCTGATTGTACGGGACCGACCACATGACGACAATAGACGCGGTCGTTCCTTCGATGTTCCATGAAACCGTTTCCGATGTACCTGAAACGTTTGCCTGGCCTCAATTAACTTTCTGTAAATTTCAGTAGCGGTTTATGTTATAGCGAAAACCAGACATATAACCCGGGTTAGGTAGACGGTATTGTCTCCAGTGTTTTGCACACGAAAAGACGGTGAGTAATTATGACGCCGTTTTACCGGTTGGCGAATAACCACTTTTATGCATCCTCATAATGCCGCACTGTCCCGGTTGAACAACATTGATCACGGATTCAATGTGACCATAGTTAGGCAGACAGCGTTCCAGTCGGAGAACACATTTCGTATGATTGTTCAACCGGATGGTAGCCGCCACATCGTAAGGTGACTGGCTGGCGCTCACCCAAAGCGGATCTCCGCTAGCGCTGAAGCTACTGAAACACGATTCTCCTGTCTGAAAATACATTATGCACTGTAGTTGTTATCCAAAAACCACCCTGCAACACACAACGGCTGAACCGCGTAAGGTGCTTCTCGGGCTTAACAAATCCGATCGCAATCACATGCTGCGCTTGCTATACCAGCGGCAAAAGCTTGTATAATTAAAATTCCTCATCGCTCATTCCGTTGTTTTGCTGCTCAGTTCCACATTGTAACAAGTTTGCTGCTGTTCATATGATTGCTTCCGGGCAGATGCATAATGTTATTAGCCCACAATTGCGCAGTAGTTGCAAGTATGCTCAATCGTTACTTACTATCTGAATGAGTAGCAAGCACCACGACTTATTATAAATTCCTAAAAAGGTTTACGCGTTCTAACTACAAACAGTTCTAGTTACAAACAGAGTTCAAGCGGATACGGTGTTCTAAATGTTGTTTTCCGCTTTAGCATCTTTATTCCTAAAAACTCAGCTCGGCAACCAATTCAGTTTTTTTAAGCAGTTTCTCTACTGGCTAGAAGTTTTGGTTAATGCCAGCAGAATTGCATACATCGACACGAGACATAATACAGTTATTATTTGCACCTTACGGGAAAAACAGGACTTACCGCGTTCCACATTTAAAATAAGTGGTAGGATAGGTGACAATTTCAAAAGGATACATAAACAATTTAGACTTAACACAATAGCTGCACAGAGACAACACCTACAGCTGTTCGATGCGTGGTGACACTGTAGCATAATAATACATCGTTATAGGATTGCAAAATGCAACCTGAGACCACTTGCAAAACACCTATTGTTGCAGTCGGCCCATGCTGACTGGCCGTTTCCGCACGCTTACAGCTCTTGAGAACGGCTGTATTGCTTAGTCTGTTGATGTTTATTTCGCTACGTCTGTATTTACTTCATTTCTGTCCGAGTACGTACGTACTTTACCGGATTGCTTATATACAATGTAGGACTAAATGGTCGCATAGCCCCATACCCAGCATTCTGTACGCAAGCGGTGCAGTGCACTTGTACGAAACGGATATTTTGAACTCAGTCGTACACTGCACTGCGCTGCATTCGTGCTGAATGTGGAGATGTTGGGTATGCGACCATTTTGTCCTAAGCTGTATTATCAGTTTTAAGGCAACTACCGGGGCTAATAATGGTATTACTGCAACAAAAAATGCTATCACAGGGCGCTTTATTTGTCTGCTGGATTGATGACGGGAAGACTGTTGATAACATGACACACGGCTTGCAGGGAACTTAAATGTTGTGCTGCAAACTAGTTTGATTGCAGGTCTTTGGGATTACCGGATCGACAAAGATCGCCGGTACATTGGAATGCGGGAGACAATTCTGAATCTCTGATCAAGCGAAAAAATGAGCTGAATTGCTGAACTCTTTCAAATCACAGCTTGTTTTCACGAAGGCCTATTAGAGATAGTTATGAGTAAATTGTTTGTTTATGACCTATTACAGTAAAACCTGTGACTTTGAACACTCGCGTAAATTGAACACGGGTGTACAATGAACGGTCATTACGGAACCGGCGCGTCTCGTAGACTATAACACAGGCGGGACCTCGCGTATATTGAACATCTCTCTAAAGTGAACATTGAACAAATTAGGTGGAACGGAGCTAATTATTTACTAATATTTAGCCCTTTCGAAAATGAACAAAGCGCCAGAATCTGGTTTTGGGAGCAAAAAAAAACACAAGAAAAGCGCTCAACGGACCAGATTTCATAGCAATTCGCTTGTTCCAACCTTAACACCACACGGTTTTTGATTTGTTATTCGCGAAAAAAGCATAAAAAAGGCTTGGTAAGGGGGTTGTCCCCATTGAGGCGGCGTCCGTTCGCCCTCAGGAGCAGCTTTAGTGCACAGAACCACTGCCCCCAGGGGAGGGCCCCTTGGGGCAGCTGTTCTGTACATTGAACAGGCGTCTACATTGAACGAAAAAATTGGGACCGCAGGTGTTCAATGTACGCAGATTTTACTGTAGTGATAGTTCATGTTTGTGACCTATTAGCGATACCTGAATCACAAATTTAATAAGTTTTTACTCGCACCAACGATCGCTTCGTGCTTGCTAGGCTGAAAATGTAAAACAAGCGGCTGCTCAACTGGAGAAAACCACGCAGATTAATCGAAATACGAAAAAATCAAGGCACAAAATCACCGGAACAAGTGGCATACCTTCCGCTGGCCATATTTCCGATCCATTGAAATGCGAAACAGTGATAAAGGAAAGAGTCTCAAACTAGACCAAACCAGACAACGAAGCAGTCTAAACAAAAAACGAATAAAAGCGGAGCTTATACAAAACTAACACCGAGCTAAGGCTACGATAAGCGGGTTCCTCGAGGTCTTCATTTGATATCTGTACAGACAACCGTTCGCCTAAATTTGTACAAGCTTGTCCCGTAATTTCTATCGAAAAGAATGAACAACTCTTCTCGAACGATTAAATTTTGTATTCAATAGCCTGGAAAATAAGGTATGTAACAAAAAATACACCGCTTGCGTATCAGCTAGAATGGCAAACAGGTAAAATAGGGAAAAAAACTTTTGGAAAGCCCTTTGTAATTTAGATCGGTATTTGGCGTGCATCAGTCTGCCAAATGCATGTAAAGGGTAAAATCAGTGGCGTACCGCCGTAGTAAATGGCGTTTGGCCTAACCCGTGGCCGTGTATTTGTATTACTGTATTTAGTCGCTATTGATGCGATTACTGTTCTGCTCTTGATGGTACTTAGTAAACGCATCAGCAATCTTCACCATTTCTTCCACTTTCTACTCCTCGACGACGTCCTCGGACTGACAGTTGCTTGATTCGTTGCCGTTAGGTTCATTGCTGGGCATCATCGAATGGTATAGTTGAGCGATGTCGTCCTGGGCGGATTCTGGACCCCAGTTCTGCATGAAGCGCCATAAGGCGGACAGGCAGAAACGGTTCAGCTGGTCCACGTTCACGCCGGCCACATTGCCCAGTGTCCACACGTGATTTCGGTAACACGCTGAAGGACGCGGGTCACCGGCTTGATAATCCCGTAGAATCTGCCAAACAATGCTCAGCTTCCACGCACATAAATACTGTACTGCTACACTGCACTTGTCACTACAGGGTGACCCAGCATTTCGTTGACGAAAATTCGTCAACCGTCACTTCGTCGAACAGACACAATGTCGTACCTGTCACGATGTCGAACTTGCGTTTAGCTAAACCATCTCGGTTTCTTTAGTTTTCTTAAGCTTCTTAGGTTTCTTAGTTTTCCTAATCGTCGCCCTCGTGACGGTTGACGCAGTGCAGTCGACGCGTTGTGTCGATCGATGAAGTGTTCAGTCGATATTGTGGCGATCGACGAAACGTTAGTCGACGAAATGCTGGTGAGCCGCAGTACAGTACGTATGGCTAAATTGGGCGCGTTACATAAGCATCGTGTTTACTTTATACCATCATATTGCGGTTCGGTATGAACTTTATACCTAACCGCAGTATGATGTTATAAAGTAACTATAAACGGCAGTTATTAGAAACTGCTAGATCAGCCTTTGCCATCGGTTGGTATCGATGGCTATGTATGACAACACTGCTGCACTGTACCTCCATCACTTTCCTGGCTTTCCTTTCACTGTCGATCCGCGTGGCAAATGCCTGGGCCATGCAGTGCACATCCAACGGCAGTCCCTCGCAGTGCAGATGCTGCTCCAGCAACTTGACCACGTCCATCGCGTCGACCTGGCCCGCCATGACAACGACGGCGGGAATGCGGAACTCGATCAACGGCTGGCCTCTCTTGTTCAACACTTCCAAGGCAAACTTATCCAGAATCAAACGCTGGTAACCGGACGCCAGCTTGTCCAGCATCGTGGTCACGTCGGTGCACAGCGCGCTCAGTGTCCACGGATTGCCGATGCTGGCCTCCATGAGTTCGATGGAGCGCCGCGACAGGATTAAAAGGTCCAGCCGGATGCCGGCGACGCCGAGAAAGATATTCAACAGGTTCACCGCTTCCTCGGTCTCCCGCATCGTCCAGTGGGTGCACACATGCGCGCCGGTATCCCGGATGCAGACGGTGCGAATGGCGGGGGTGATATGTTTGATGAGGCAGCCGTACATGCCGTAGTTACCGCCCCACTGCGGCGTGAACGATAGATAGGCGGGTTCCTGCTGCCGCACGACACGCACCACCGACACAGCTCCGGCGACATCGATAGGCGGTCCCACAGGTGACAGATGCGGCGGCAGCGCACACGGTCGACGGTGTCCAGAGACTGGAAGATTTCCGTCAGCACGGGCAACGGCAACGCCAAGCCGGGTCCCTCTACCGTCAGCGGTTGCAGCCGCTGCGGCTCCACAGATGATGCGTCGGTTTTCTCGGATAAGTGACGGTAATATGTATATGGATAACTTGTTTTACCCTTTTCGAATTCATCCGCCTAGGGCAAAATCAATTAAAAACTATCGCTGAAATACCATCCCAAACAGTTACACGGAGAAGTTTGTGAATGATTACGAGGACAATAAACAAGCGTTTAAGTATCAAGTATTAGAGAAGTAAACCGCTAGCCATTTGGTCCGTGCTTCGAAAAGTTTTTTTAGTGATAAAAGCGATAATTTTTAAATTTTTGGTGGCGATTAGAAATTAGGATATCGAATCGAACCCGAGCGGAATTTTGTAATAATAAAAACGATTACCGTAAAACCCGATATTAACCCCCCCCCCGAAATTAACGCCCCGTGCGGTTTTAAACGCCCCCTCCCGAGGCTCTCGAAAAAATAAACGCCCAGGGCGTTAATATCGGATTTTACGGTATTTCAAAAATTTCGTTACGATTAGAAATTAGGATCTATGGGTAATCAATTTACGAAAACGTAAAGTGGGACAAAAAGGCGAAGTGTTTGAAAACTGTTCACAGTTCATTCACCTTTGTTCATGGTTTGGAAGTCCCCCCAGTGTTATAAATAATAAATTACGAGAATTACCACCCGAATGATGTTCATGACGCAAGATTTCACGATTTGGGAGTGTTTACAAACGAAAGTTTCTCATATTGCCTTTAAGCGTATGTGTAGTCACCAGTAGTAGTCACTAACATAAGACTTACCACATCTTCATCCTCCAAAAGCGCACCGCTTCTCTTTCGCACGTAGTACATCCTCCGACCAAGCACCTTGACAAATCGCAGGTGCAGCGCTCGTTCCACTGGTCCGAGCAGCACCGCCGAGGTGGACCGCGGCAGCGACCAGTAACCATGCGGTACACTGCACGTCTGCATGACGTAGTCCCCCGCTGCAACGAGCGCTCGCGGTACTGTGTCCCTCGGCGGATCGCGAACCTGTAGCCGCGGCAGCAGTTCGCGACGACGCTTTCCGCCCATCACGCACTCCACCAACGCCATCTCGTGCAGCTGCTGGAACCGGGACAGCATCATGGTCCCCGGATACCATCTCCACGGTCGACCGGGGAGGTCGCGCAGCAGCACCTCCACGGGCTGGCCTGCACGTGCCGTGCTGACTAGATTCGGGGGACAGCTGAAGACGGTCCCGTATTCCACCAATACAGCTCGCTGCGTCGGACATCCGAAATCGACGATCAGACGCGCAGTGCTGCCGTTGTGGTCCTCCAGGCCGATGACATGGCCGTGCTGTAGGACGCCGTCAAACTCCACATCCACGGCGTTCCAGTTGTACAGAAAGTGTTCAGGATTGGAGTACAGGTACATTTTTATCTGGCTGACTAGGAAACAGAAAATAATGCGTGTGCTATGATAAGAGTTGAAAGAATATTCCGTAAGTACTTTGCTGCCCAACAACGTTCAGAAAGAAAAAAAGCAATTTTGTAAAATGAGTCAACGCCAAATCGGGAACCATCGTTGTGCGCTGCTTTTATTTAATCATGCATCGTGAACTTATGCCAGCGACAGAAAGCCGCTCTCTAACCATGGACTGTGCGTTCATTTTTGCGTTGCGGCAGGCGCGAACTCATGGCTTCCTTTCCATAATTGCATACGTATTAACTGGTGTTTCTCGAAGTGGCTGCTTACTTTATCGGGCCTACTTTGGCCCAGCTTACTTACTTTATCAAGCTGCTTATCATCTTATGCAGGTTTACACAAAAAATTTTGTTTGCAGGAACATCAGGTGTCACGGGTGGATATATGATCCCCGTATGTTTCTACTACCGGAAAAACACAGGACTTCCTACTTTTGTACACTTTATTAATAAAACAAATGGCTAATCATAAAAAGATACAAAAATAGCAAAAAATGGAAGGAAGAAACACTGAACTATCATTTTCCATTTCCGTCTGCACGCTTCATCCAGTCAGCGCGGTAACCGCCACCCGGTGCTCTCACGTATATGAGCGTGCGTGACACAACCCCCGCCCCTGAGAAGGGCTGCCCTCAGCCCTTTGGGCATGTCAAAACCAAACAACCATGAATCAATACTAATACAGGAAATAAGCCTTAAAACAACAGTACGTCGGCTCGTTATAGTAAACAAAAGCAAAACAAAAGTTATAGTAGACAAAAGAACAATAACAGACAAGAGACTACTTCTCCTCGGTATCCGGCGAAATGCCTCCGCTGGCATTTTCACCCCGTTCAGCATCCTCCCATGCCGCGTACTCCATCACATCCAGCCCCTCAAGGACGTCCCGATCTTCATCCACGCTAGCCGGAATGGCAGGTTCCACCATTTGTTCGCCAGCTTTTCGGGACCATCAACCACGCGCAAGGACTGAGCGGTCGTGTCAACCACTAGAGTGCCGCCAGCGTCTTCTCGATCATGCTGCTGACTCGGTGGAACCCAGGCCGGCGGCAACGGGGCATCCGCCCGTGCCGCTGGAATCCACCCCGAAGGAATGTGGTATCCCAGTCGAGCAGCTAGTTCTCCAACCGTTTCCCCGGTGTAGGCGTGGGGAAGACTTAAACGGCAGTGAATCGCCCGTTTCAATACGGTGTGGTTGTACCGTAGAAAAGCCGTAAGGCTTTTTCGCAGTTGGAAAAACCGCCGGGCGACGATGTAAAAGGTTTAAGAGCTGGCCCCGCTGCTCTTCTGACAGCTCTGATTTAATCCGTAAAGATTCAAGAGTTTCATTAAACTCTTTGTCCTCCTCCGCTGTATACGTGGTGGTCACGCCACTTCGAACTTCCGCTTCCGCAGTGGTTTCATCTTCATACCACTCGATTGTGCCGACCATTTTCGCAATGTCCGAGCTGTGGTTCATAATATAGTAAGAAAGCGTCCTTTCTTCACTGTCACTACTGCGTTAGGCATTTGAAGGTGAGTAGCCGCTGACGCTACTGCGCTGGGAAAAAACACGTACGTGCCATCCTCTGGCGCACGGTTTACTTTGAATTCAGCTATAACGCTGGACTTAGCCGGTACGGTGACCGACTGCAGTGCATATGCTTTCCAGAATTGTGGACGGCCGATGCGTGTAGTTTGCAGTTCCTCCGCTTCGGCGACACCTACAAAAGGGAGGCCCGTCTCACAAGTAGCCGGCTCTCCATCGTTACTTGATGTCGCCAGAAAATCCGCTGACACTGCAGGGACCGACGGGCGTTGCTGGTTGTGGATGCTCGAGACCGTTGAGTCGCCGCGCAGCGCCGTTTGTGCAAAGTCCCTTCTATCGACCGGTGCCGGGGCTGTTACCGGGATGGAGTGAAAGTTAAGGGACAATGGCTTTCCTCGCAGAAAATCCATTCCAAGTAGCACATTACTCCTTTCGCCGCCATCCTGCACGTATAGCGAATGGGTGTGCTCTTGCCCATTTATATGGATTTTGGCTCGACAAAACCAGGCGTCAAGCGGGAGGCGTCCGCCTGTAATGCCCACCACGCATATACCCTTGTGATACGATGGAAGCGGCCAGTATTGTATGCCGTTACTGTCGCAGCACTTCCACGAGACGATGGATATGTCAGCTCCGGTATCCAAAAGGGCAGTTGCGGGCACCCCGTTGATATGAATCCCAACAGTGAGGCCCGATGCAACCTTTGGAAGGTGATCCGTGGTGACGTCCGCCACAGATACATGGGGCTGTTTGGGAGTCGGGTGACGCCCACTTTGCTGTTCACGCCACTGCTGTCGTCTCGCTGCTTGGTGTTGCTGTATTGCCGGAGGCAGTTTAGGAAATGGTACATTATACCATTCACAAGACGTGCTGTAATGACCGTGATTTCCACATATTCAGCACGTTAAATCCGCACGGCCGCTTTCCAAAATCGGAGTGGCTGGCGCTGTGGGGCGCGATGATTGGCTTCCGTGGTCTGTAGTGTCGGGCTTAATTGCTGCCTGGCCGATGTTCGTTGATGCGGGAGGGCTGTGGCGCAGTTCTCGTCTTGGCGGCCTCTGCTCTGTGAAGGACACGGACCGCGGACCCTTATCAAAGAGTTTACCGCCCGCATCGGAAACTCTTTGGTCTGTTATACGCTTACAGTTTCGCGCCACTGTAAGGAATCCCGCGGCATTCTGTGGCATCATTGTCGCAACTAATGTATAAAGGTCCTGATGACCTGAAACGTTGTCGACGGAAGCGAATTATGATAAGCGCCGGGAGACACTTGCGTTAATGGCGCATAACCCGCCTGCGAGAGCATGGGCGCTATTCCTGCCTGGTTAGCCCACGGCTGAGGAAAAGCGTACTGCTGCAGCGGTTGACCCGCGTAATGAGCCTGCGGAGGGGCAGCCGCTTGTCGGATTGGGTGTCCTTGGTATACCGGCATGAAGCTAAGATCGCCCGGTCAGCCTAGAGGCGCTGGAGGTTGTTGCAGCAGAGGATGCAAAGGCGCCGGTGGGCACTGGATTACGTTTCCAGGAACTTGGGAAAAACTGGTACCGCCAGTGGTGGTGGTGAATGATGGGTGCCGACGGGTGGTTGAGTTCGGGTGGTGAGTGATGGGTGCCGACTGGTATGCCGGGTTAGTCATTGGAAAGGGGACCAGGTGGTTCGAATAAAAAGAGCCTGTGGAGCAGCCCATGTTTTGCACTGGTCGCCCTTGAAGAGGCAATTCCTCTCTTGGAGGCTGGACATGCCGCGGATGGTCGTACACTTGGACGGGGGCCCGACTTGGTTCGCTGTATCGGTGTACTGCGTGTCCCGGGTCGACTGCGGAACTCTGCCCCGTAATTACGAATGGGAGGGCGGGGCGACTGTCTTTTATCTCTCGCAGCGCGTCAGCCAGATGTCTCGTCCTCCAGTCAACCCGCACGGGTATTTCGGGCGATGGATCGGCCGACGGGACACCGGGAAGTACCGAGAACCATGGCGGCTGGTTCCGGAGGTGGAAGCCGGGCGATCGTCTACCCGATGGCCCGAGCGAAGCGAGTGATCACCCGCTAGCGGCAGGTGTGAGGATGGAGCATCCCGCGGCCGCATAGTGACTGAGTGGCTGGCATCGGCCGGCAATCCGTCATCACTGGGCCAATGTTCCTCAATCGGGGACAGGTTTACCGCTTGGCTACCTTCAAATCTTTGCAAATTACGCAATGATCTGTTGGGTGTACTGTGGGAAGGGTCGCAAAAACCCTTTGACTGCGCTGCTAAAGCCGGAAAGCCATGTGGGTCTTCGAGGTTTTTGTGAAAATTTTCGCGGTTCGTGGGGTCGCCAGCAGGCAGCAAAGGAACGGGATGATCAATCCCGTTAGTAACGGAAGAGAGGTGCTCCTCTCTGGACGTTACGTACCTCTGATCCTCTGGTTGGTAGGGAATTCCGCTGCGTAACGACATCTTCGTCGATGCCGGTAAAAACTCAAATTATCCGGCCGCTAAGCGTGGTACGCAATCGGCCGCAAACCGGAAAAGTGGTGATTACAAACAGGAGCGCCACGTGTCACGGGTGGATATATGATGCCCCGCTAATTCCTATGTTTCTACTACCGGAAAAACACAGGACTTCCTACTTTTGTACACTTTATTAATAAAACAAATGGCTAATCATAAAAAGATACAAAAATAGCAAAAATGGAAGGAAGAACACTGAACTATCATTTTCCATTTCCGTCTGCACGCTTCATCCAGTCAGCGCGGTAACCGCCACCCGGTGCTCTCACGTATATGAGCGTGCGTGACACAGGATTAAGTGTCTGTAACCCGTTCCAAGCAGTTAGTTGAATAGTCCTGTGAATCTCGTCTTGCACAATACGTTTTATTCAATTCGGTACGATAATCGTCAATATATGGGAAATTAGAATAGAAGGCAAAACGGTGTTCATGACACTTTACTTGGAACACAAAATCACTATGGGTAGCCTCGCCCATCGAACTGAACCTCTCTTTTACATCCGAGAGTTTAACTTAAGAACCTATTTGGTAATTTACTTTTATGGCAAGAGTACATTCGACAAAGATTTCGGCTAGATTTACGCTTTTATGAAGGCCCAGATATTTGGGTCTAGATGAAAACTTAAGGTGTAGATAGGGACACAAGTTTCTCATGCTACTGTAAACAAAGGTAGCGGCACACAGTTTTTGACCGGGGGATAATTTTCTGGCCCAGTATATTGGAGCTGGGAGTACTGTTTCAACATGGTCGTCCGGGCATGTTGGTGGGCTACATAGGCATACTAAAATCTGCTTTTGCGTAGGTATCATAATTCATTCAGGATCGGGTGATCTTAACATAGAAAATGAGCTGTGCATCTGCGGAGTCAGTGAGTCACCTTGACAGATGGCATTGGCCATTTGGCAGACAGCATTGTGTCTCTATTTGTGGAACCGTTTTGATAAAACTGTATGACCTATTGTACCTGCCGTTAGAAAAATTAACTACACGATACAATGGTGAGCCAGCGCACTGCATGACATTTGCGTAGAAAGGTCCATCTCTTATTTCTCTTCCTTTCAAAGCCCCTCTCTTGAAATCGGAGCTACTTAGTCAGATTCAGTGCAGGGGCGTTCGTTAAGCAGATGAAATGCGCACGAACATCAGACATATAAATTAAATTCTGCAGCCCGAAAACTCGCAATGCATAGTAACTGAAATTTATACATTTCTATAAGAGAGAATCTGAATTGTGCGTTCGCAATTCTGAAGGTCCTGCTGCTTCCTTTTTCCGCGCAGAGGTTACAATGCTATCGAACAAAAGTTCTGGAAATTTTTTTAACTTTGACAACTCTTCATTGCTTTTGAAAAACATTTCGAACCAGACTAGTACGGACCACGGCTCATCGGCAACACTGATCAGTATGACAGCCGCCCCGCTGATCCTGAACTGCGGAGTTCTGATCTTGCTGATTAAGGAGAAGGCTCTGCGTACTCCGTTCAATGTGTACGTGATTGTTTTATTATGCAGCAACATTCTGTATGTTGGGATAAACAACATCACGATGATTATGACGCCGGTGGGACATTGGTGGATTGGCGATGGAGCGTGTACGGTTCAGTTGTACTGCCGGTACATTGTCATCACCGTCATCACCCACAGTCACGTGCTGATCAGCATTAACCGCGCCTGGGCGCTGTACTGGCCGGTGTCGTACAAAAACAATCACACTTCTACCGTGGCCTGGCTGCTGTGTTTCGGGATGGTTGTCTATGTCCATGTCTGTCAGCTGCCTGGACTCGTGATGGACGCGCTGTACTACCGTATGCCAGTTCAGGTAAACATTTCGTTTGTTTTGCGGTACATTCACAGTTCGAAGAAACGTGGTACGGTTTTTCGACAGAAGTTTATTTTCTGCCTTAGATTTCAAAAATTTGCCGGATGAATACACAAGCACAGCTGACCTTTGCCATGTTCTCGTCCATCTGGGTGTTCGATATACCCAAGCTCTTTATTCCGGTCTGTTACCCATTCCTGCTATGGAAATTCTTGCGAAGAAGCAACGCCATTCGCGGCCGCCAGGCAATTGCCACCCAAACCGAGTTGCCTCGCCGACGCGACCTTGTGACGCGACCTTTCATTCTGCTGACTTTCATTACAGGGAGTGCCGCAGTCTGCTGGATACCAATCATGATTTATTATTTCATTGCGGATTATGTGGGAACGATGCGATCACATCGACTGGAAACAGCGCTTATACTTCTCTATTCCGTTCAACCTTTACTGGATCCCGTGTTTTTCATTTTAAGTATCAGCAATTTGTACAATCATGTTGCTGTTTTGTGGAGAACCCGAGTTACTAGGATCCGTCGCGTCGGGAGGGCAACCAATACCTTGGAAGTTTTCAGCGTTTAAGTTATGCAGTAAACAATCCATTATTGTGCATGGAGTTTCATGTTTTTTCTTCAGACACCACATGTAGAAAATGTCATGCACATTTCTGTGGAAGTAACCGGCAAAATGGCGGATAACGAAGGTCACGACCAAAATGGCCGGTGTGCGCAAATAAATGCTGGTTCTGTCTTGGTGGAATAAGCTGACTTTACCAAATAAAGTCACAGTACTTGTTTTGGCGGTGTGCTGATAAACTTGTCCGTCAGCTTAATTTATACAAAATTGAACTACCGGTCAATTACACAAAATTTTGTTACGAAAGATTTTAGATTTTGTTTTGTTAATTACACAAGATTTCACTAGCCAGCCATAAACCATTTGTTATTTCACAGTAGCCGAAATGAACTATCCTGTAGGGTAGAAAGAATACCACAATAACTAGATGCACGTACTGTATATGAACAATTTTTTTATGCTGACAATTGTGCTGACAATTTCCTTATTGTTGCATGTGTGTTCCCGGACATCGAAAAGCGAGCGTACGATAATGGGATAACTATGATGCGGTGGATTTGCATTTACGTGGTGTAAACGATTTTGTGGATGATCCTGCTCGTTTTCAGAGCTGTAGACATTTTCTTGGGAGGGCATGCTGGAGGCGCCTACACGGGATAAAAGTGTGATGAACATTGCCTGCACCAAGTCCACAATTCCTTGCCGAGGTTCTCCTTACCGTATGCCATACCGAGCAGCGATTTTAATGAGGCGGGTGCCCTTTAACGAAATTCCCCACAGCCGTCCACAATCTGGTTGGCCATCCAATTCTGCCATCCGGTGAAGGCGGTCGTCTTTGCGCTGGTCCCGTGGGTGGTTGTGGTGGTGGATATTGCTCTTGCGGACCTCCGTAACCATAAGGATAATAGGTGTCGGTATGGTGTGGAGCGGAGTAAGAAGGAGGTTGCCGATTACGATAGGGCGGCGCCTCTCGCCAGGGATTATTGGACTGGTAATCGTGCCGGTAATCATGGAACTCTTGCATGGCTTTGTACTGTGTATACCTGACATGTCGTCCATATTTCGGTGCATACAACGTTTCCTGACTTCGTACTTGCTGCTTACGAACACCCTGGATCATCTCCACAAAATTCTGAATCTTCTTCCCGTTAATGGGCAAATTGTACAGCGACTGGATAGCGCCCATAATGTTGTTGGCCGTAATTGGGTGGTCTTTGTCGCTTCCTTGCATGGATTCTTCCAGAAGCTGCTTCTCCTCCCGGTATCCTTGTAACATTCTCTCGTATCCTTCGAGACCATCTCGGCCACAGCCTAGAGCAATTTTCTCCTTTTCCGCCCCGATTAAGTAGTGCAGATATTCTTCCATGGCGTCATTGTACGGAATCATGGCGTTCTTTTTCAAAAAGCAGCCGAATTTCGCAGCTACCTTGCGGATTTCCTTCTCTTCATAGGCCAGGTCTTGTTTCCGCTGATTGAGTTCTTTCAGAAAGATTCCCACCGCATTGAGCTCGCCGTCCTTCTGATGCAACAATTTCTGCACTCTTTGGTCCATTTCATTCACTAGCACCTCCTGCATTTCGTACGAGATGTGCATATGCTTGTCCCAAGAACATCTGCAGCGTTCACAAGACAGTCCGCCTGATTTCATCATAGCTTGGCACTTCTGCAGTCCTGGATTCGGGTATTGCTCCTGCTGAATCCCTTGCAGAAGACAGTGCTCATGACACCGAGTAATATAATCCACCTTCTTGCCGACCACTCGTATACAGGACCGAGACGCGCAAACCGTTCGCGGGTACCCTAACGGCTTCGTCACTAGATCGATGACCGGCACGTAGAGCTGCTGGCTAAGCTGCGCTTTGGTATATTGCGCTTCACGGATTTCTTCTGCTTTTTCATCAGCCAGTTTCAAGTTTAACTGAATGTTCTTCGTGATTTGCGCTAGCGGTTCGGTGAAGGACAGTATCATCCGCCGCGCTTCGTTAAGAGACAGCGTGTTTTGCAGCGCATGCGGTTTTCTGGTCGACACGTGTTGCAGTAAACGTTCAGTCTCTTCCACAGATTTCTCCCAGCTCTTGAAGAAATTCTGGGTCTCCGTTTCGTCGAATTGTATCCCGGATTTCAGAGCGGCCATAAAACGGACCGCCTCACTATCGACACTGTATACCGTACTCTGGTTCAACGGAATGTCCACACCTTGTGACTCTTTTATCAGCTTTTGCAGAATCGGAAAGGTGTCGCCCGGTCGGTAGAAGGTGGACCGCGCATTGGTAAAGACAAACACGATATTGTGACAGGCGTCACGGTGCAAATGCGACAACAGCTCCTTGATGCAGAAACGAAACATGACCGTCAGACGCGAATTGTTCGGTTTCAGTAAGATACAGATTCCGTGAATGTTCTCGAAATTGGACAGATGCTGCATAATGAACTGGAAGTTTCGTTTATCCTGTTCCGTGCCACGAGTATCTCCGATCCCCGGTGTATCGATGAGCCGGACAATCATTCCTCCGCGTCGGATGGCGTAGCTTTTAGGCAGCTGGGTAGCTGACTGGCCAATAACATCGTTCTCGTTATCGCTGGAACCCATGGAAACAACCTTTTGCTCAAAATCTTTGTCCATTGTTGTGAAACGCGTCGGGATCAAATAAATCGGATCGGCTAAGGCTTCGTTCAGTGCGGAATAGGTCAAAAAGTTCGCGAAGCCGTTGATCCATGTTGACTTTCCCACACCGGTTTCTCCTACAAGTTCACACAAGAAAATTACCAGTAATTCCGTCTCAAAAATATCTCAAAATGACTCTTCTGGTCAGTAATCTTGATGTACTTGTAAAGTAAACTGGCTCGGCACAAGAAACTTTCGCTTTCACGGAACGTGAAATAATTCTACCCATAATTCATTTACACCTGATTCCATGCAGTGTTACAAAAAGAACTGATCGCAATCACAAATTCCCAAAAAATAATGTGGAAGCTCTACCAGTCCACTTCTCATAAGGTTACCGTTAAATATAAATAAACGTGTGAGTACTAACCGAGAACAAGTATATTCAGTTCCTTATATGGTTGAACTTCTTTCAACACCCACGTCAGATCGTTCTGTTCGAATCCCGTGTACTCCCATCCATGCTTGCGAAGACCACACCGGAATACAAAGGCTTCTACCGGCGTCTTCCCGCAAGTGCAGTAGAAATGACCGTCAAATCCATACTCCAAAATTTGCTCGCAGCTGGTGCATTTCCATTCAAACCGTTTCGTCATGGGACAGCATGCGAAAGGCTTGGATCCGGGACAGGGCAATTCAGCGAGTCCACACTTTTTTGGTTTTTCCGATCGCACCGGTACCACCAGGGCTTTAGCAGTAGGAGAAGGAATGTCCTCTTGATCACCATCCACAATTTGCGCCAGGATATCTCCACATTCTAATTGACCGTATCGAAAGTATTGCAGTGTCGTCTGCTCACTATCCGTCTCATTCGCTTTTCGTTTCAAGGATGGATCGACATAGACAAACAACCATTCGTTCGAATCACCAACTTTCGCCCGTGTATCCAGCATTTCGAGAAATATCCCTTTCGCAGTGGCAAATTTTTCCGGGTAGTCTGTGCGAGCTTTGTCACTTGTTGTCAGAATACAGGCGTTTGCAGCTTTTTTGATATCGCTCATCGTTTCTTTCGAAATTCCCTCCAGAACCCATACTGATCGCGACAGCAGTGCGTTCATTAGTTCTTGGTCCGATTCGGTTGCGTAAGCGCCCTCCACTTTGGAATCTAATTCGACCAATGTTTGCGTGGACAAGCGAATGCTGTTTTCCGCCATTTGATCAGCCAGTAAGGTCATCGTGGGTGTGACGGAAGTATCGATTTTCTAGTGAAATAATGATACCATACAGACACTGTACTCCTAATGTTTGCTGTGAGTATCTACCGTAATTATCGAATTTGAAGACCCTCCCGTAATTAGGGCCCATCCTAAGGTCGTTCGAAAGTCATAAGCCCCCCCCCCCCGAAATAGAGGCCCATGGGCTTAATCAAATACCGCAAAGCCCATATTAAAAAATGCCAAAAAGCTGGTTTGAAAAATTGCAGCCCCCCTAAATACAAGCCCATGCCCGTAACTGGAGCCCACCCCGTGGTTCATTTGAAATATTTGTAACCCTGGGCTTCTAATTCGATAATTACGGTATCTGAATCCAATACATCCAGCGATTAGTGCAAACTTCCTTACCATATTATCATTCGCAAATCCCGTAGCTCCATCGGTGGCTTGTGGAACTTCACTATTTTCTTTCCAGCTGTTGTCTGAGGCTTCTTGCTTCATAGACTAAAAATTTTTAATTAGTGTAGGAAGTAGGAACAACCTTTAGTCTAGTTGAGCGTGTACATAATACAGATTCTTATTTTAGCGTCTTTCTAATTAATTACGTCTCAATTTGCGTGATAAAGCATCTAATTTCCGAGCACATCTAGTTACCGTTTACGAAGTGGCTATTTTGCCGCAGTGTTTGCGGCTAAATAGCCAGTAGGCTATTTTGCCGCACTAGGGTGGGCGAAATAGCTTGTTGGCTATTTTACCGCACACTGCGTTAAAATAGCTGCTCAGCTATTTTTCCGCACTATGGTCGGCAAAATAGTCAGCTGGCTATTTTGCCACACCATTATTGCAGCCTGTCCCGCCGCGCACCTCAAGCGCAAGTGCCGGAAGCTCTATAAAACAGCGCTACTACTAAAGGTGAATTTCTACTCACATTACGCCATTTTAAATTATACAGGAATCGATAGAGAATTCATTTCTCTATCTACTGATGTGAATCAAGCTTTTATGAAAAAATTGTACACCGTTACCTATTTTAAAAACTATGATCGAGCAGAAACCTTTTACAAGGTTTTAATACTGCGCAGAAGAGGAGACATCTCTGTTCTGGCGGGATGGCAAGTTTGCCGACCACAAGCCACGAAATTATCAGCGGCAGCAAATGTTTGTACAAGAACCGGAAGATACGCGCGCTATCATAAATGATCAGGTAGAACAATGAAATTTATTGCCCTGTTTTCATCTCCATCTCCATTCACCACTGGCGCTGAGTGTCAGAGAGTCATTCCTGCTCAGCTGAAACAATACGTGACCCGAAGAGGCCGGGGCACAACAGGATGCGCAGCACTCGCACCAAGAATAGGCCTGCTGTCCAGCCTGATCTATACCGTTCACAAAAAAGTCATTTTCTCAAAATAGCAAATGTGGGGCAAATAATTCGGTGTTTTATCCGACTCCAAGTTTGATCGTTCCATCACATGGAGTAAATTCCCATACACATTCTGAACCAAAATGAAGCTGGTCAGATCTAAAATGACCAAGTTATAAGAGTTTAGAATTTTCGAAAATTCATTGGATCTTTGTTTTTTAAGATATCATCACCATAATGGTTCAGAATGTTCTTTAGATATAGATTTACCATAATGGTAAATTTTGTAGGAGTCGGATAGATAGGTGAATTATTTGACGCGTCCGAGTTTTTAAACTTTTTCCGGTGATAGTACAGCAGCCAGTTATTGCGCGCACATTTTGAGTTTAAATCGGAGAAGTTCAATGTTTTGAGCACCAAAAGCAGTAACGTACACTATGGAACTGTTTACGAGTCCGCAGTGGCGTTTTTGTTCTCGCAAGAGGGGTGCAAACGAGTAGAAACTCAGCTTAAAACAGCGTCCAGAGGTCCAGAGGTTCTCCCGGAGTTCTTCTTCGGTAAAGCCGGGTTATCCTCCGGCAATGTCGGTTTCCGGACCGGGAGAAGTTGGGTTAGTCACCGTTGACTTGCGTTATAAAATCGTCCTCTGGGACCGTGTAGTCGTTCTTCTGGTTGATGTCCGGCGTAAGTGTCCATGACACCCTGTGGGGGTGACACCAAGTCGTTCCAGTTTCGCGAAGCCGCGGCACTAGTTGATGCCTGGTGCAACATTCCGTCCCTGAAGAAAGCAGTTTACTGTGGCACCTATTGGGCGCTCAAGACCGGATTGAGGTTTCACAGGGTTCACCGCATTTTCGCCCAAAGAGCAAGGTTACCCCGGGCTCAGCTTTAATTGGCTCGGAGGAGGCTTTGTTCTGGCCTTCTGGGCGCCTTTGTAACTGTCAGATGGTTTAATCGGGTAGGTTAGTTCCTGGTCCTCAGGTTTTGTCCGTCGGGTCTGAACCGGTTTGCTATTCTGCTCTTCGCCTTGCCGTAGCTAAAAAAAATCGTCTCCATACCGCACTTTTCAGTGGCTTCCATCCTTGTCCATAGGAAGCCATGGGTTGTCGGAAAATACTCTTCGGCTTTTTCTTTACTGATGCCGATACCTCTAGCATCGGGATGGACTTTATCAACTATGACGGTTCGGGAACTAATGGGTTCTGGGCTTGTATTACCTTAACGGCGCTCTGTCCTGCACCGGTTCGATCTTGACAGGTTTGATGGTTTTCGCCAGTTTAACCGTACACATACTCTGCTGACTGCCTCTGGCATCGGGAAAGAGGTTACCATCCGATTGGAAGGATTTAAAGTCCGGTCGGCTGATTGTTCTGTCGTGGCCTACGTTTCTGCGCAACAAATCGGTTATGCTGGTGACCCACGGGACGGCTTGGGTTATGGCCTGCTCAATGGAATGTTTAGTAGCGCTCGGGCATTGCCGTTGGCGGGTTCCCTTCCAGGGGCCCGTGCGAGGCACCATGTCCGCGGTTATGCAGACGATTCATCCAAGGCTTTACCGGGAGACCCTTCCGCGGTTTTGACCAGAATTCTGTCCGGTGTTAACATGGTGAAGGGCCCAGAAGGTATAATTGCGTCCTGGGAAATCGTCCTGGGAAACCACGACGTCTGGTTGCCTTGACGATGTTTATGGCCACTTTGGTTTGGTCGAACCGGCGTCGCCATCGGCACCGGCTGGTCAGACGACGTTGACGGCAGGCGAGCCGCGAGTCACGGCGACGTCGGTGGCGTCGATCGATCTGGTGGCCTTATGATCACCCGGCACCCCCGCACCGTTATTGCTATCAGGCAACAGGACTCCATTTTGGGTACCGTGTTGTTCAGTTAAGATATTCTTATCATGTTGAGACGCACCAAAGCCTGTTTGAATTACCCTAGAGGATCTCTTCCTGTGCCGGGAACGGCACAGCCGGGAACGGCACAGCCGGGAACGGCACAGCCGGGAACGGCACAGCCGGGAACGGCACAGCCGGGAACGGCACAGCCGGGAACGGCACAGCCGGGAACGGCACAGCCGGGAACGGCACAACCGGAACGGCACAGCCGGGAACGGCACAGCCGGGAACGGCACAGCCGGGAACGGCACAGCCGGGAACGGCACAGCCGGAACGGCACAGCCGGGAACGGCACAGCCGGAACGGCACAGCCGGGAACGGCACAGCCGGGAACGGCACAGCCGGGAACGGCACAGCCGCGAACGGCACAGCCGGGAACGGCACAGCCGGGAACGGCACAGCCGGGAACGGCACAGCCGGGAACGGCACAGCCGGGAACGGCACAGCCGGGAACGGCACAGCCGGGAACGGCACAGCCGGGAACGGCACAGCCGGGAACGGCACAGCCGGGAACGGCACAGCCGGGAACGGCACAGCCGGAAACGGCACAGCCGGGAACGGCACAGCCGGGAACGGCACAGCCGGGAACGGCACAGCCGGAACGGCACAGCCGGGAACGGCACAGCCGGGAACGGCACAGCCGGGAACGGCACAGCCGGGAACGGCACAGCCGGGAACGGCACAGCCGGGAACGGCACAGCCGGGAACGGCACAGCCGGGAACGGCACAGCCGGGAACGGCACAGCCGGGAACGGCACAGCCGGGAACGGCACAGCCCGACTGGCCGAAATCCTCAGCCCGGTTGTATTCAATGCTGAAGTAGCTGCGGCTAGCCCAGCAGCATGAGCGCTCACCGCTGGAGACAGTTCGCCGTCACCACTGAAACTCTCTTCTTCGTGCCGAAGACGCAGAGAAGGGGCTTGTGATCAGTACACAGGGTAAACTCGCGCGGACAACTTGACCCTTCTGGAACAAGAGCTGGTACTCGCAGTACTTGGACCAAGGCCAGGGAACTCCCGTCTTCAGGTGGGGGTGGAAAGGGGCACACGTCCCGGAAAGGTCGCGGACGAACTTCCCGTAGTGGTTGACCAACCCCAGGAACGCGCGGTGTTCACTGATATCGGTCGGACGGGGCATTTCCTGGATAGCCTTCACTCGATCTTGGGAGATTTGGCGACCTTTGTGGCCCACCACGAACCCCAAGTACTCCAGGCAATCCTGCAGGAAGTGGCACTTGCTCCGTTTGAGCGTGGAACCGTGCTCGTCCAGACGCTAGAGAGCTCAGTGGCTTAGATTGTATGTACGTTTAGATGGATAGCGCAGCAATACCCGTACGTACAAGAGGTGCAGAACTATAGTCCGCTACAATCTGAATCGTCGATAGCAAAAAAAAGGGATTGTGTGATGTTACGCAAAATTTTCATAACTAAATGCGATACACCATCGAAGGTGCAGATAATTTATACATGGAATTTCCTGTGGTTAAAGTTGTACTGTATTTACACAAGTTTAAAAGTCACAAAAAAGTCCGGGTGCGCGCAGAATATCCGACGGCTTTCTGAACTTCAAAGAAGCCGCGCACTATTATTTACGGCTTCCGCCATTTTGGTGGCTTTTAAACTTGTGTAAATACAGTAGTATTTTGATAGATGTTCAATCGAGCACTCCTATCGTGTATTCTCAGCTGAAAATGAAAAACTATTAGGATATTTTTCGGACACCTAATAATAACATCAGTGCAGTAAGATTCTTACAAATTGGGATTGTCACAAAGAATCACGAAATTATGCGACTGTTTGCTAGTCGGATTGAACGGTTGTAGGAGTCAGACTGTGCGTGCAGCCAACCATTCACTCCTGCAAACAATCTGCAACAGCCCACAATCCTACAATCCGCAAAAGAATCGACGACTGTAACGGACTAATATATGTGCGTGCGCTGGCGCTGGGTACACCGGGAATAGCACACAGTCGTGAGTGCGTCTCACACTGTCGCTGTTGCCGCCTTTCCTTAAAGGGTTCTAAATTGATATTACTGCGGTATGATGTCCAGTTTCCAGTTCTTGGTTCCATCAATACTGCGCATAAAGAAGACTTCGGACAATACCGTACAGGCGACAAAGGGTGTTTTGGTTCTCTGACTTGTTTAATACCTCGTTAGTCGTTACAGTGTGGCAAAATAGCCAACGAGCTATTTTAACGCAGTGCGCGGTAAAATAGCCAATAAGCTATTTCGCTTACCATAGTGCGGCAAAATAGCCAACTGGCTATTCCGGCGCAGTGTGCGGCAAAATAGCCTGAGGGCTATTCAGACCCTTATTGTTATACTGCGGCAAAATAGCCATAGCCTAAAGTTTAAGAACTCTTATACACTGTATTTGGCAGACACGAGACATACGCAATAAAACGTACAGCAGTCGTCACGGTTGAGTCGCATTCTGAAACCGGACGAGTCCTAATTATTCTTTCATCACCATCCTCGATTAGATCGAATTCCGATGAGGATGAGGATTTTCTAGAGCTGAAAGAAAATAAAATTACCGTTACCAGATACCAGTCTTTACATTTGGGCAGATACGAACTCAACAAGTTGGTCTAGTCCGTGGAGACGGTGAACGGTAATATGTAGCGCTTATGAGAAACCGATATGATGGTTATTATTTTGTACGCAGTAATACCCGCTGTGGAATGGAACAAAATTAATAATAAACATTAGTCTCAATTAAACCTTTGCTTTACTCGAGGGGAACCCGGAGAACGTTCCCTTCGCGCTGCTTTTTTGCATGCACGCTGTGGTTTAACTAACAAGATTCGTCGCTATGTACGATATTTAGTCGCCAGAAGTTTACCCGATTGTTTATATTTTATTTGTTTATTGCCAATTTTATTAAGCTGAATAAAACGAACAAACAAACAAAATGCAGGCAAATAATCCATTCAGTGCTAAGTAAAATGAGAATCTAGCTTGGGAATTTGAACCTGGCTAATACCAGTGGTGAAGATCCTTAAGCAGATTTAAGCAAAAACCACTCAAAAGATAGTAGAAAAGGAAGAATATCAAGCAAAAGAACTGCGCTACGAAAAACAGCAAGAGACGGCTTCTACAAATGTCGTTCCCGGCCTGAATTATTTGGCTGATATAACTAGGCCTGGCTCCGATTACGTACGTAATACGAACTACATTCGCCAAATCATTCAGCAACCAAAAATTTTAAACAGATATATTTTTGCTTACGGAGTTTAGCTAAATTTGCCCATTTTTACAATTAGTTGCAATCAATAGAATTAAAGAATGAAGGCACATGCGTAATACATCGGCTGTAGAGGTACGAGTACTGTACAGTATTTGTGCAATAAACCGGTGCAACGAACACCATCCTTATTAATTAATAACGTTATCACCGATGAAATTATAGATTAGCAAATAAGACTCTCTACGTACAATTAGTGCACCACCTACCACGCACATAATGCGATGGAAAAATTATTATGCAACAATTACTTCACAGAAAATACTGTAATAAAGAAACAACTTTCCAAAAACATTTGAGACTGGTATTAGCAGATTGCCGATATATGGATACCGATAATGTACAATACTGTACCTGCGATAACTCAAACGTTTATGCAGTTATTAGTTGCTTACGACGTAGCCCGGTCGTTTTACAATAACCAAAAATTAATACGTAAGTTATTCAAAACAGTATTACAGATATTTGATGATTCGTCGATATACATGCTTCACAGTTAACACTATACCACAATTAGCAGAAAATTATTGCAGAGCATCAACAGCCAGAGGTAGGTCTGCACTGCACAACCTAACGGTTGCACTTTTTGCCAGTGCACAGTTAATGTGCTTTTTTTTAAAACACAGTAAAAATTAAAAGTGAATGTTATACCCGTAGACTCGTATTTACGAACTACACTATTATAGTTACAAGCTACGTACCGGGCGGCCATGTGTAAGTCGTTGAATTTTGAGTAACAACAAAGGATAACAAAGCAATTAAAACCTGAAGAATGAACAAGTGATACCGGCAGTACAGTAATTAATGTTGTATTATTTTAAAATTGTAGAAGCTGATACTGTGCTGAGACTGTAGAATGCTGTGGGTAGTACAGAAAACATTATTATAATGGACGCGGAAATTTGCGGTGAAACGCTCCAGACGACCTGAACGTGCCGACAGCACACATTTTTCCAGACTGATACTGCAGCCGACATTGTTTGGAGGGGGTGGAAGGAGGAAACTGCAAGTTTTCGCTCTATAAACTTCTTGTTTACGTTTGCAACTTGTAAGTGCCATGTACCGACAACAATATGACTGCACGTACCATTTGGTCTGTAAGTACGATTTGTCGGCTTTGTTGCATGGCTCGCTTTAGTACAACAATAATCAACACTGTTTTGCAAGTGCCATCTGACACCAGTAGGCACTAGGCAGCAACGCTAACTACGGTCGGTAGCTGGATTTGTTAACATTCTTTGGTTATCAAATGCGCGCCCAACCCATGAATTATCACGGTGCCAGTTGAAATCTGATTAAGCTGCTTTCTAGTTTCTAGTTCTTCCGTAGTTTTACCATTTACGACAGTGGAGGCACAAAATAAATGCAGTACTCGTATGCAGAAAATGTTGCAAATTCTTAATGCCGCATCATTTCACTAAATATACGTAACAGGTTAAATTTGAAACCGCCAGTTTTTCGCAGGGAACTGGCACCAAATCTGAGAGCGCAGCTTTGACTGGTTATATCTGAGTTGAATGCATAAGACCTAGCCAAAAAATACGATGAAAATTAATAGTGTTTTCCAAACTCAAAACTTCATTTCACAAACGCAGAAACTTTATCCCAATCGTGGTATTGTATTATAACTGCTGACACTTTTCTGCAACTTGAAAGATGTTTTTGTGTGGCGTACTACGCAAGCGATTCTTGTGGGTCATAAATTTATGCGGTCTGCATCATCAGTCACATACATATTGCTCAGATTCAGACATTCGGGTATCTTCCAACGCCTATGTAGGTTTTTTGTGCATAATGCGCAGTAGATAACGACGGGTAACGTGTGTCATCACGATCCAGAGCTTATCTGCGCTCCGAATGGTCAAAACAACTATACCGCACGTATTCAAGATACCGCGCTGCACAGCTCCGTTTTCTAACATACCCGTCCTTGTCTCTATGAATCATAACTTATGCACCATAGTGCGCTGCACTGGCCGTATACCAGCCAACAGAGAAAGATGTCTGAATTTTCGTATTGATAAGCATGACGCGCGTGCTTGAAATGGATACATCGCAAGGTACGGTTCGGTTATTGGAAGCAAAACGCTTTTCAAGTTTTACTGAAGTTTACAAAGGATGCCAAACATAGGTATATCAAACATCCGCAAATTTGAGCTGTATACAGATAGATAGTACATATTTTCGTTAACTACTGTCTAATGTTATGAGTATTTCAAAGTTATTGTGGGGTTTCAGCTGTATTTTCCGTTGTACTCTTTCACTGCAAAGTTACGAATTTGAAATTTCGTAAAACCACATGCTGCAATCAGCCAGTACGGCGTGCTCTAAGTACCGAAGAAATGTACCGAGGACGCATTTTTTACTACATTTATTAAATATAAAAATTTTAAAATATACAGTACATACAATTTTTTAATTTTTTTAAAATTTTTTTAAGACTTTTGGAACACAAACTTCTGATACGCATACGTACTTTCTGAATTGTCACCACGAGAAATCGCTCGCTGCAATACAACTACTGTACATTAGATTTAGTTCTTACTATTTTACTGGCAGTAGCCTGTAGCCACAGAAATAACAAAAACTGCAAGCGCTGGGACGTATCTGTACACTATATTTTGCGAACAAAAAAATTTTTAGCGAAAGCGTTTCTACCGCGAAAACGGAAAAGCCTCGAAGCCGTCATCTTGGGCAGCTATCAGGAGCCCTGTTCCTTAACCAGCTGCCGGCACGCCGGTAGCCATTACACTTGCCAAATCTTTCAGGCATTGCCATCCATAATGCCATGACTCATTCTGATCTACGTTTACAAAAAGTTAACATATCGAAAATCCGAATACGGTATGCAACGACTTTAAAATTTCACTATTATTACCCAACATGGGAACTTCTTTTTAGAGGCCTACCTAAAGGATTCCTACCTAAAGCAAGCCAGGAAGGTGTAAAATTTATTATTATCTGGGCTTACTCAATTTCGATGAGAGTTCCTAGTTCAAAGCTCGGCAGAACATGAGTCGGCTTGTTGCGCTTTGACAATATTGAGTATTCCGTTTAGAAATCGTCAGCTGATGTGAGTTTTAAAAAAGCGTTAACATAATGCTTATGCTAATGTTTTACAAATGATTAACAGTGCGATATTTCTTAGACTACGTAGTGCTTGTAATTCGGTGTACCGCAAATGCCTGCCCATATTTCCGGTACTATGTATGGTACTTTCAGTACGCTTCGATTCGCTCCTCTGGCGCAGTCACGCATGTTCCACCACACCACTGAGCAGCTAAAAACAGCCTGGTTTCCGGCTGCACTGTCACTAACGGTAAGACGTATAAAGCACGCCCTACACCTTCTACAAAGTTAACTACGATTTAGTAATGTCGTTCCAGGTGGACTGGGAGTACAGATTTCATCGTGGGCTTTAAACCCGTTACTGTCAAAAATTTTATTGCAGGAAATACCGTACACGGATACCGTCGCAAACCGCACATCATGCCGTCCATATCCAATCAGCAAACACTTTAAAGCCAGTAACGGTTTTTCACACCAAGACATCTTCCAGAAAGCGATAAAGCGCCTTGAAAAGATAACTGATGGATCGAAGATCCTTACCCATATGAACATTCGACAACTACAGGGCTTACTGTTTAGATCAGATAGCATAAACAGATTTGTATTACACTATTACTTAAAAGTTAAAAGTACACTAAAACACCTTTGTTGAAAAATGTATGTTTTGTTTTTCTGTTTCATGATTGTCTAAGGATTCAGTTAGGGCAGATCCGTAGATAATAATTAAGCGTTCCAGTAAATTCAGAACGTAGCCCAACTCTACCGACTGTGTGTGGTTGGTCGTTGTCGTGGAGCGACTTCCATAATTGTTCACTGGACTTTCCGTCCACAACGGATCTCAGCGGATCGCATATCGATCAGTGTTGTCTCAATAATTCACCATAATTGTGACTGACTGTTCCGGAACAGCCTACCATGAGGGTAGCACGATGCAACGGACTGATCGAAGGTTGATCCAATTGTATCTGAACATGGTTTCAGTTTTGGCTGTTCTTTCCTGCTTACGGGGCGATCTAATGCGATCTGGTCACACAATGATCCTGTGCTTTTCGATTCTGTTAATCGTTCGTGACCTCGCATCCTTTTCGAACCGTCACTATCGTTTGCTCCCTCGAGGCGCTATAGTGCTACATTATATCTATATTATCATTTTGTCTAAAGATTTTTTACAACTAATAGCATGATTTTATCATGTACAGCACCCGAAGTCGATAACTGATCAGTTAGTGACACATATCCAGCCATGAGTGGCAAGTAGTCAACAAATTTTGTAAATCGGCAATGTTTTAAGCTGCTACTGTAATACCGTAGAGGGTTATACATTTTAAGCAGCTGTGGGATGCGTCCATCAATCGGCATAACGCCTTACATTGTCACCTGTCAGTATCGGATTGCATTGTGATTAAGAAAAGATGTAATTGAAGAGCGACAGTACATAATGGCCGCCGCCGGTTTACATCTTTACATCTCTACACAGGGGAGAGCGGAGTGCGGTGCCGAACTTGTGCGATGTGTGAGCAAATTGTCGAGTGAGGCTCTTCAACGAGCGGTTAAGTAGTTGATTACACCGGCGATTGTTTATCCATTTTCTTCGCTTTAAAACACACATCACACAGACACACACATCATTTGACAATCTGAGCAGTGAGCATAAACAAGTGCAGCGCTGCGCACCCCCGCTCGTACAAGCACTACCATTAGGTAGCGTTATATGCAGCGTCCACCGGTGCATATTGTTATGAAGAGCGCCATACGGGTTCTCCTTGCTATTGACCCGTTAAGCACTTGCAAATTCCATTTAGTTAGTTTTCCGATCCAATCAGCTGTAGGTTTAAACGATTCGTTTAGCCGCGAAATTTCGCCGTTCGAAGGAAAAGCACTTGGCGGAGAGATGACCATTGGTCAAGGAAAATCATAATAACGAACTTGCCTAATGATAAACAGAAGTACTCTAACATGAATGTTTTCGCCGGGCTCCTTAATTAAAGCACTTCTTTACGACTGAAAAATTTGCTTGTCTTTTTTATAAAAAGGTGCCAGTTTTTTATATATGCACACAAATATTCGCTCAGAAATTCTGTGTTTTTAAAATCGGGAAAACATTTCGGTAAAAGCTCAACCGACGTAAAAATGAGATAATTATTTTATTTCATCTGTTGGGAAAAAACGAACAAGTTTTTGAAAAATGACGTTACTGCTTTTAAAAAATAATTTATTATTTCTGCTGCTGTAAAAAAAAATTGACATAATTATTTCTCCGCCGGAACCTGGAAGTTCAGACATCGGACGCCAGTGATCCGCTGCACACCCTATAATGACCAACGAACGCAATTAATTCGCCGCTAATTTCGAGTGCACACACACACACACACACTACCGGCCTATATATCCGCGTAACCAAATTTCTGTATCGAATAGCACCTCAACACAAATCCTCCTTTAAAGTTCAGAAGACACCGGCACGGCACTCGGAGATTGCAATTAGCGTCGTCGGATATTATTTAAAGCATCAATCGGCATAATTCTAGCGTCTCTCTTCCGGCAGCGTGACAGTATTTGACGGCTTGTTGAAAGCGCAGGTACTAAAGCCGATCGCGCGTCCGGCATCGATAGCCAATCAGCGCGTCCATCCAATGACCAGCGGTGTATATCGCATCGACGGACAAGTCGCTCTCTCTCTCCTTACCATCACTCTGGCCGTCCGCGCTATTATACTCGAACCAACTTAGCCATGCTCTAAATACATAGCACCATCTTCCGGCGTCTGTCTTCATTTCAGTGTAATTTATCGCGTGTAATTAGACGGTGCAGTGAGGTACTCGTCGCTCCCGTTATTCCAATTCTTTCGCTTCCGGGAAACTGGATCGTGGCGCGGACCGGTTGTGTATTAATCGCGCTGTGCAGACAACCCGGTTTGATACGCAGTAGTACGCGCGCCATTGGATTGGCTAGACGGTGATTTGTTTATGTTGCGTTGCAGAATGATGACCTGACCGGATTAAACGCGGCAACCGCTACACTAGCGGCTAGTACACCATTCGATGTTGTTTTAATTTGTAGTGTACACACAGACGCTCACACCGTGTCATGTCCTGATTAAACCGGTTGCACAGATACTCTTTTTTAAACTGCCGGAACATTTGCATTAACCGTGAGCGCTGTGCGCTGTGTGTGGATGCTGGTACGTCGGCGATTGCTGGGAAATTTGGTGCTCCCTTGTTTTTCCGGAAGATTGGCGCATCATCGCGGTGGAGTGGTATTGATTTATCATCAATCAACGTCATTTTGATCGCTTAATCAACCGGAAATATTTTGTTGCTCATTATTCTCGAATTTGGAAGGAAATTTCGGAATATTTTGGAATATGGAACTGAAAGGAATTTTTATATGATTATTTTTCTCCAGGTAGTCGACAGTTTGTAGTCGACAACGCAAGCATTTTTTAAAAAAAATCGTCTTTGTTATTTCTCATTAATTTATTTTTATTGGTATCCGTTTAATTGCAATAATTGGTTTTACTTGCATGGTAATAATTGAAGCAGTAATTATCGCACTGTTTTTTGAAAATTAAATGGAGCTATCTTGACTTAATAATTTGGTAGTTAATATGATTTTTGAAAAATTGCGTTCATTAATACAGTACACGAAATTCTGGCGACACAGTTCTGTATGAATTAAATAAACTACCAAAAATTTGCTGAACATTTCAAATATACTCGTATAATTTTTCTAACTTATAAAAGAAAATTTAATTTTTTTCCCGCGGACATTTCCCGTAGATTAGCCCAATGTACATAATAATAATAAATCCATTTGCTCTTCCGGATTAGCGGGATGCCGTTTGACCGCTTTAGGCGGCACTGCCGGGGGTGAGTATCTCGTTAATACCCGTGCGTCCAAAAACTTCCGATACACTTAGCACACACACGTATAATTGGCCCGGCTTAATCATAATTTCCATCCGCGTGTGATGCTGTGTGTGTACGTTGGTCAATATAGCCAAATTGACTACACCACCCACGCTCTAAAATGTAGAACAGGGCGTATATTTGACTGTGTATCAAGGTGGTAATGCGAATAATATACAAAAATCATTTCCCCATCCGCTGTGTTTGTACACTATATATTATAACGCGCTGTTAGCCGTGTACAAATATCCAGCGCCGTGTAGTCTCTCAGAGTCAGGTCAATGAGCGAAACAGCATCAGCTATAAAACTCAAATAATTTATTTCCAATCTGGATAATCTCTTTTCTCTCTGTGTGCCGGGTGTTCGAGCAGCGGCAGAAGCCAAATTTGAATTTTTATGATTTTTAAAAGATTACCCCAGTCCATCTGGTGTTCTTCGAGAAACCGGTAATTTTGTCTGTCGGTTTTCTTTGGATTTTAGCAGTGCTTGGGCCTTGGAATCTGTGCTAGTTTGTGCCCGCATTTTCTCAGTAATTCTTATCATCCGTTGGCCGTATCGAGTTTTAGGAAAATTACCAATCTACATTTTTTACGGTACGTTAAACAGGCTCTAAAAATTATAACATTTAGCATTTTTATTTTATAAGCCATCTGACTTTTTCCAGTTAGCGAAATTTGTCGCTGATCTTGTTTCCAGCAAATCAAACGGTTAATTTAGTTGGATAAATTTATCAGGGGTTTTAAATGAATGGTGCTAATCGCATAACATGTGAGCTTTCTCATTTGCAAAGTAAAATTGGCCTTTTTTTAAACGGAGTCTTCTTCTCGGCGCTGAATTTTTCCAGAGTTTTGTACATTTTTTGTTCGTTTTTTAGAGAGAGAATTACTGTGTAATACTAGTAATTTCCCCCGTGAAAATAGGCATATGTTATTGTAGCAAATGTGGTTATTCTTATATATACTCTTATATAAGCTTTTATACATGTATTTGTAAAAATAACTGTCTGGATTATTTTTATATGTATAAATGTTTGCAGGTGAAGATGTCCTGAAGCGCCGCACACTACCGGCACTCCGCTGACCAGTGTCCCTCCCTCGCACCGGGCAGCATGTTCCTCGCGCGAGCGTCACTCTTCCGGCGTGCGCGGCACTAGTGCCCATATAGCCGGCGCTCGCTCGTCTCGCTGCTCATTCTTACCGCTCGATCGGCATATTTACCCAGGACGTCCGCGGCCAATTCACGGTTGTTCCTTGCCAATCTCGCCTCCATACACCCCGACCCCGACCGGCGTCCGTCGCTTTTCTCTACAATGTCCTACCGGAAGTTCCGCCGCAAGACTGACCGCTGTGACGTCATCGTCGCACTTCTTCTCCTCATCGCCGGATTCCCCATCAACGCTGAGGTACGATTAAATTGTTTCGAAAATAAATTGTTTAAAGGTAAAAACAGCTAGAGAGAACAGGTTGGGTCGTTTGTCAAGAAAAAGATGCGTGCAGTGCTGGCCTGATTTTGAGGGAAAAAACGTTCCGAGGTGGATGTTGTTGGTTGTGTGTATGAGAGAGATTTGATAGGGGATACGGCTCATTGCGCAGTGTGAATGCCGTTGACTGACCGACTGACTGGATTACTTAATTATCGGTTCGGAACCATGGTGCTCTGCAGCTGAGAAATCTACCGGTGTAGGCAAATGTATGCGTGGAACAGCCATGTTCATTGTTTTACTTTTCAGTTTAGAAGTCTTTACCGTTTAAACCGGCATCCTTGATCATCGCCCTGAATTCATAAAATCCCACGCATTCATATATGCGCGCAAATTTTTATACGATCATGTATTATTCTTATGATTAATTTTATCTTTAGTTTGTTGCACCGGATGACAGCCATAATTTTCCAATTTAAAATGAGAAAAAATTAAAAAACTTATATCAGATCTTATTAAAAAAATAAAAGACAATAATAGACTGTAATTAATTTCCGGAATGCAACAAAAAATTTATAAATATTAGTTCACTAAGCATTACTTTAATAAAAATATCGAATCTGGAAAATAAAAAAAAGCTGACTGTGACTGCATTGCAAGACATTTATTTGCGATAAAGCAGAATTTAAAATTTTCATGCAGCTAATAAACAGGTTGTTTAATTTTAATAGCAAGAAAAATTAATTTGTTAGGTGTTTTAATTATTTTCGAATTGTGTATGGTTCAGTTATACTTGATAAAATATATTTAATAAGAAAACGGTTGGGCATTTATCGCTGTTTAACGCTGAGCTAATAATCCAAAGTCTAAATCGGTAACATTCAAGTGGTGCGCAGGTGCAAAGGCATATATCGACTTCCTACCCTTAGCCCTGACCAGGTAGCACCATTAATTTCCCGTTGATAACCAGCTTATAATGCGCTAAATTACCCTGTATACTTTATATATGTGTACATATACATTACACAGTAGTAGTCAAAAGTCAGACACATACTTCGCCATCGCCGGCACGCCCTTCTTTCAAACTCTACTTTCTTGGGCATTTTTTCCATTGGAAGCCATTTCCGTTGGACGTGCGAGGCAGCGTTGTATAATAAGCGGCCTTAATAAAAGGTGTCAACTGCCGTGACGCGATTAGCCGCGGCTGGTGTGTAATAACGTGTTATAACGTATTACTGACGCTGCTGTTGTGTGTATTGTGCAGATCCACAAGCGCATGACGCCGGAGCATTTACGGGAGATATTCTACGTTGACCATGCGCATCAAGGTATGTAAGTGCTCCCCATGGACCACAATGGCGCCGGCCAGTCAGGGATAATTGCCGGTTATGAATGATTCCTTTGAAAAACGTTTAACGAGATCTGCAGCAAAAAGCTGGGCAGTGATTTCAGTCCGGTTTTGAATCCATATTGCTGAACTCATCAGAAATGCCAGTTATACACGTATCGATCTAGTCATACTGTAAAAAATATAATATATAATATATATATTATATAATATTTATATATAAAATATATATGAATATAATATTATCTATTATTGTAAAAATAAAAAAATATATTATAAAAACAATATTATCTAGGCTTAAATTAATTTATGATTTTGTCTATTTTTATTTTCTATTTTTACGAGGTATATCGTTAGTTTTGCAGCAGCTTTGGGTTTGAAGAAAATTTAAAAACATTCAGATTTTGAAAGCATCGAGTATTTATTATTTTGCTAGGTTAATTACGTACTACTTTACAATAATATTTCAAAATACACGCAATTTTGAAAGTTTTCCATGAGCTCTTTTTCGGCATTTTGAGAAAAAACGAAAAAAGTTAAAGCAATCGAGATACAAAGCAGTTTTATTTATTTTAACTGCGCATGTTAGTGCAGCTGATTTTCAATAAATCGGCCGACAACTTGCGCCGTTGTTCTACAACTGTTCATGCGTCAGAACCGGCGTGCTGCATTTAGCGTGTCGGTTGCAGTACTTATTTTCTTAATCAAATAAATAAAAATACATAAGGTAGAAAGCAATAATAATACCGGCATATTTAAGAGGGACTACGTGAAGCGGGCTAAAATTCAGAATAATTCATACGGATAAAATTTAAAACCTAAATGCGCTCAGCAAACTTCAAAATCAATTAAACGGGCGATTTATTTGATTTATGTTATTTCTGCAGTGCCAAACTACGTGGTCGCCCCGGTGCACATCGATAACCATGACTTTCACCGTTTCAAACGGTCCACCGCCGACACCGTCGATCCGACAACCGACACGCCGCCCGCCTCGAACAGTAGTTCCTTCGATACGCCGGCCAACATCATCCAACTGCAGAACAGTCTGAAGCTCATCCTAGAAGCCTTTAACGAGAAATTCCATTTGAATCTGAAGAAGGCGCTACAGCTGCCGGCCACCCGACCACCTAAGGTGTTCTACGCCGACATGATCAACGGCGCACCGGTGCTGCAGGATGCCACACCGGAAGTAAGCGCGATGACCTTTGCAAACTGGGTTATATATACCAGATTGCTGAGTATAATTGGGAATAATGTTTTGCAGTTATCGTTGGCCTCGTTGCAAGATGCGTTGTACCAGGATATTGATAATATGGCTGCGTTGAGTATACGGACGTCCAAGGATAAAAATGATCTGCTACTTGTAAGGATTACCGATGCGCGTCGAAAATTTCAATAGGGAAATTGCGTCGAAAATTTCGATAGAGAGAACCTTATTGCTAACTTTTTCAAAACATATTCGATTTCCCATTTATATATATATATAAAAGTGATATAATTATTTTAAAATATTTAAAAAAACAATATTAAATTTATTTGCTGAATTTTATTCGCAATGATTTAAGAAAATAATAACTCTTTTGTGTATTACAAAGCCCGGCTGCCATGTTATCGTTTAAATTTTCTTCTCAACTAAGCACGACATACACAAATTTTATGGGCCAAAAATTGCGCTTAGTCCGAACGCGTTTTCTTGAATAATCATTAGCTTCACGTAACTTCACGCAACGCACTGACTAAATAAAATATTGCGTATTTTACGCTTGAAAAATATTGAGTTTAAATTCAAAAACATTATATTCAAATTTAAAAATAATAAATTCTAATTGAACTTTATATAAATTAGGAAATTCCAGTGCGTATTGAATTACTTTCCAACGGGTCTCCTTAATTTTCTGAGCTTGAAAAAATTTTACAACTTTCAGGACGGTGTCCTGGGCGACGAGTACGTAATCAAAGCCATCCCGAAAGAGCTGAAATTCGTCATTGCCGTCGACACCGCCGACGGGGCCTTCATCGGCGACGATCCCGATGACCGAGCCAACCTGAACGCCTCCAGCAGTACGACACCGCATTCCCTGGTGAATCTAACTACTGAGGAAGCCGGCAGTCAGAGCAACAGCACGGCGGAAACACTGCGCCGGCAGGACGATGCGGCATCCGCGGTGGACGCATTTACGACACACTACCACATTGTCTACAAACGGGCCACGAAGGATAAGAGTCCGAAACACGGCGACACGGTCATGAGCGAGGATGGGTTTATGATGAGCGAAAGCGAGAACCATCCCATTAGCGACTACGGTAAGCATTGACTTTACTATGGTTGCCGGTAAAAATATATACATTTTTGGCTTTATTATAAGCGCATTATAGACGTAAGAATAATCCTGTATTAATATCAGAGTTTTGGTCATTGATTTGAATTTGATTGAATTTTATCTGTATTTAGTATTCTTTATTTTTATGTACTATAATATTTATCGATTTTCGGTCTTCAGATCTTTCCATTTTTTTAGTAACATTTCTTAACAACATTATCTTTTTTTTGCCCATACTTTTACTTTTTTGTAAATATTTTTGCAAATTCCAGTTCTTTGCCTGAAACCACGCTTTCTTATAAACAGTAATGTTTTAAAAACATGTTACACTTGTAACTACGTGAAAAACATAATTACAAAATTGAAAGTATTAAAAATAATATAAAAAGTGTTGTTTTAAGCAAGATAATAGTTACTTTGAGTTTCCATTACTGTTAGCTTCATTCAGAATATTGCTGAGGCTGTGAGGCAGCGTTCTACGGAATAAAGTAAAATTTTTAATGCAACAACTGCAACGCGAGTAATTGATTTCGCTGAAGAATTACTTAATCAATTGCTGGTTACCCAACGCGGCGTCAAACTAGCCAGTAGCCACCGCAATCAGTGCGTAAAAAAGCCGGCATGTTTACAGCGCTGTTGTCGGAGTCGCTGTTTGTGGAATTACCGGCGGATCCGTACAGCGCGGCGGTGAACAGTAAATCAAGCGCGAAATCACTGCAGCGGCAGCGTTCGAAGCGCGCTCCATTTGGCGGCATGACGGTCTGGCCGGAAGTGCTGGTCTTGGTCGATTATGCCACCTTCAATCTGCACGGCGGCAACGAGAAGCGCATTACCAGCTACTTTGCTACCTTCTGGAACGCGGTAATTAAACCACTCTAACCAACCACCGTTTAAAACGAGCGTAATTACATCGAAAGAACCGGCTCAAGAACTGTTGTTGTGAGCGCATAATTTTGGTTAATTACTCGAAAACAACTGGATTGCGTAAAATCCGAGCGGAATCCTAAACAACTGTTTACGCAAACGGGAAAAACCAAAGCCGACAGTATTATATAACGGCCATTGCTAACAAATACTAATAATTTTCATATGCGATATGCGATTTGCGAATTAACCGAAGTGTTTTTTCCTTGAAGGTGGACCTGCGCTATCGTGTACTATCCGCTCCGGAAATTCACTTGCAATTATCGGGAATAATTATCAGCAGAGTACGTACCTTGGTGACCTTTTTAGACGTCATTTTTTTGCATTTGTACCGGTTTTTTTTATCTATTGATAAAGTTACTTATTATGGGCTCGATTTGACGACAAATGACCATCGTTCGGGCAAGCGCTTTATATGTTGTACAAAATTAATAGTATTTTATTAACAGAACGCTTTGCACTGATATTAGAATCCGGGATTTATGCCGTACATCGAGGAGAACCGTATGCCCAGTCCCGATGACGATTCCTTCGATTCCAAACAGGCACTATCCGATATGGCCAAGTATCTCTTCCAGCAGCAGGATATGTTACCCAAATTTGATTTAGCCATGGTAAGCCGTTGCAGTCAATTCTGTTTTCAGTACACACAGTTCCTTGTGCGTACACTGACGCTGTACAATCTTCTTTGTAGGTCATCACAAAATTAGGTAAGCATGCGCCACTGTTTAAGCGTTGATTGGTTAGTTTGGTTAACCGGCATTTCGTGGGTTCATGAAGATATGTGCCGGCGGAAGGACGACGAAGGACCTTGCGTCCGCGGTACCGCCGGATTTGCTTATGTGGGCGGAGCGTGTCACGTTGATGAGAGCCGACAAAAGCTGAATAAAGCCGGGATTGTGGAGGATAGCGGCGGTTTCAGCGGCGTAATTGTGGCCGCCCACGAAGTCGGTCATTTGTAAGTTGACAATTTTCTTCTCGCCTTCCCAAAATACTATGAATATTTTGCCATTGGGTGGCGATTTTTTTTAATATTACAAAACTCGGTATTCGAACAAGCGGCATGGCAATTGTGGGTTTTACGTCAGAACTACAACGTTTATATTACATTCTCGCATGTTTACTGTAATTTACTGCTTACTTCTATAGGTTGGGATGTGTTCATGACGGCACAGCGGCGCCCTCGTATCTGGGCGGGCCGGGCGCGGAAGCCTGCAGCTGGTACGATGGCTACATTATGAGCGATCTGCGCCACAACGTCAACGGCTTCAAATGGTCATCCTGCTCCATGGCCCAGTTTAAGCATTTTCTCTCGCGTCCACAAGCCGCCTGCTTGTTCGATGCACCAATGCCAGGACTGCGGTTGGGCAGCTCGCTCCCGGGGAAAATAATCCCGCTGGACTGGCAATGTCGGCTTGACCGCGGCACCACGGCCTGTTTTGTACGGACTACCTTATTTAAAACTTCTACATGCGATCCCTAACAAATAGCGCGCAGTTAGACTTTTCTCAGAAGCACTAATTATAAAACATTTAACTAAATTAAAACACTGGTTTCCGCAATGTATTTGACAATTAACGTTAGTCTGACCTTTTACAATATAAACAGTGTATTTTACTTTTACAAAACTACGTTTAATGGACTTTAAAATAATTTTGCAATCTTGGTGCTGTATTTTGCAGAAAGACTCCAGGGTGTGTACCCAACTATACTGCCACGACAAGGACACCGGTTACTGTATTGCCTTCCGTCCGGCCGCGGAAGGCTCGCCATGTGGAACCGGAAAGGTAACTGCACATTGGTATAAAGGCGATGAATATTCTTAGCACTTTTGGCCGTTACAGAATTGTCGCGATGGCGTGTGCGTCACCGATGACTCCGCGGAAGCAGGCAGCGCCGGTTCCGATTTCAACGGACTAGGCGCCTCCGGTCCGCCCTTCCCGGGAGCCCCGCCCCCACCCCCCAGCGACACGCCACCAGGCCCGGTGCTGAACAGCCAAAGTATGGAGCGCGAAGAGGTGTGCGAAGGCGACGTACCCGGAGTGCGGGTCAGTGGAATGCCGTGTAAGGAGTTCCTGCGCGTCACCGGCACGACGTACTGTGATCACCGGGATATCCTGCGCTACTGCTGTAACGCGCGCCGCATCTTCTGCCCGCGACTACGCGACGCAGTTTGACTTTTTAAGGAACGGACAGTCTGGAAAGCGAACTGGTGTGGAATCTCAGCCGAGCGATGCGTGCGCAACGGCATTAGTTCTTTTTGTTACGCCTGTGATAATGGATAGTACTTAACCGGCATTTTTATCTTGGGTCGATCGGTGTATACATGGGTTTCACGATGTTAACTACTCTGCTCTCCTGATTTGTAAAACGGTTTGTGCAAGATTTGTGGCACAGTGCCACCTGATCATGTAATGCGGGACGGGAAAGTAACTACCAATAATTATGTAGAGAAAGGTCGTGCGAAACAGCATAGTGTAATACTGCGCCGACAGCCTTTACTTTGCTAAAGAAAGTTTGTTGTACGTTAATCCAGAATGTGGATGATTAACGGAAGGTGTGTGGGTCAGTGCGCGGTAAATTACGTAAACGACTATGACGATCCCTATAGTTTTTATGATTTACTGGAGTACCGGGAATGTGGGAAACTAGCGCACAGCGGCGCAATGTCCGGGATACAGGAACATGCGGCTGTAAAATGGCGCTGCAGTCAGTGTAATTGCTTTCATTTGGAGAATGTCTCTAATTCTCTGTACGTAGATGTACAAATTCAGCACGGCATTACTTGTTTTGTGACTTGCGGAGACGATTTCTCATAGTCGCACTATATGACTGTAGCCTTTTATCGATTCCTGGATGCGATCCTTTGCGGTCGCACAAAGAAGCTACACCGGGATGAGACCGTTGATGTTGATAGCATTCAAACAGTACAGAATTTGTAGTAGAATGTGCGTAGAATATTCAATATTGCCGCTATAAAGGCGGACTGCAGCTGCAGTATTTGTTCAGAAATGACATCTATGCATGCCTAATACGAAAAAGGGTCCCCAAGAAAATTTTATGAACAACTCCTGCGCCCTGCATTATTTCACTACGAGCGCTTCTTCACTACGAGCGCTACGAGTAGCTGGCAGTGATTGAATATTATCCATGGAATCCATTGAAACTTTGGTTACTTTTGACTGTTACGCAGCCGCTGCTATTACGAACGCAGGCACTGGAGGACCAGAATAACTGCTTTATGGAACTGCTGAAATGCACATTTCAACAGTTCGGTAATTCGGTCAATTCAGTTCCACGACTGCATTCCCAAGAATCGGTTGTGTGGCATTTGTCAGTACAACTGCAGCTGTTAAACGCAGAAAAACGCAACACAACCGCAGAAAAACGCAACACAACCGATTTATGGAACGAACGATCGACGTTAGTGGACAGTCAACGAGCTGGCGCGTCAGTTGTGATGTTGCCGTTGTACCGGTTATCGCCACGACGCTCGGCAGCGTAGCCGTGTATATTGCCAGGCTGGATATCAGAAGTACGGCTTAATGATTTGATAATTCTGCTTCTAATTTCCATTCTGACACACAACACGGACGGACTGAGCGTCCCCGCCGCCTCAGCCAATGGTCGTAAAATCGTCCAGACCGCAGCCACGTGCACGGCGACGAACGAATCCCCCAACAGCAAACGGTCGTCGTCCGTTATTTTTGCCCAACCTAATGAAGCTCAGGAAAGGGTAATGCCTACAATCTACCTCCGTCGCCGAAAGGGTAACAATTTTGGCCATTATAACCCGTTATGGTTATGTCACTTGACGTAGTAAAAACAGACTGCTGGTGTGGTAATTACACAATTAATTATTATTATTTTCATTGTTACTGTTATTAAGTAGTGCTTAGATTTTCCTCTGCTGCAGAATAGTATTTATATCTGCTGTAACTGTTATCCATCGTCGACCATCGATTCATGCAAAGCCTAAAATTCAATGGCGTTACTTTTGACAAGCTTGCATTTCAGAGAGACTGGTATTATTTCTTAATTTTGGATTAGCACCTCTTCGTATTTCGAATACTGGAAAAATTATTGCGGCCCGAGATGCAGCTGTATCGATTGAAAACAGGTGCCGGCTCTAATCAGGTTACTCGATTTGCAATAAGCGTGAAAGTTATTCCATGTTAATCCAGAAGATCGATGAATTCAACGAAAGGTGTGCGCACCACTGTGTGTTATACCTGTTACTGTCATTATTTTGCTGGAGGACCGGAAAGTTGGAAACTAGCGCACCGGCACAGCGGTGGAATTGCCGGGCGCCACCCGCGGTGGAATTGCCGGCGGTGGAATTGCCGGATGGAAATGTGCGCCAGCGCTGCGGTCAGTTTCATTTCTCATACTTGCAGTGTCCGAAAAAGAAGTATCTGTACGGGTACAGCACCAGCACGGTAAGACTTTTTTCTGCGACAACATGCGGCAACTTCTCATAATCGGATTATAGGTAACCAACCTTCTATCGATCTTTTGCAGCTGTACACCAGAACCAATAGCCGGATCATGGTTTCTAATTACTGCAGTATTTACTTCGGTTTATAGCATTCCAGCAGTGAGTATGCTGTTTCCGATTGAAGGTGTAATATAACTGCGGCATCTGCGCTGGTTTTGTATACATTTGGATTGTTTTAGTACACATGATATTATTTTGTTATTTTTGTATAATCATTATAACAAAATACCGGCCATTCCACAAGTGGAATATCATTTATTTTCTTTGAACGATCGATATGATTAGCAAATTCCGCGTTGTGCTTTTTACTACTCAGCGGAATGGCGTTTCGTGAGATTCGAGCGTTAGAGAAGCCACAACACGAGCTGACCATACAGAACTCTGCAGAAGTGACGTTAATTATCAAATGTTACTGTGCTACATTACTATTGTTATCACAATCCAGTTGCAACCGTCATAATGAAATAATTGAGATCTACGGCACATTGTAAGCAATCGTGTTCCAAGAAGAGAAAAAGAACGTACCACAAAGACTGTACACTTTCATCCGAATGCCGTTTAAGGTAAGATAATTAGTTAAACAAAACTGATATACGCCTTTTGGACGTACCATTCATTAACATTGCGGTCAGGCAGTGCCCAGCATTCTACAATCGTCGGCAAACGCTTGGTGTCACGTGCCATGTATACTGTTAACGTTGAGACACACGGCGTTCCTTGTGCTTTGTCAGCTAGTATCACGCAGCGCCCCGTATCCGCAAACTTGACGACTCCATATGGAAAGTTCTTGGAATCAAAGAGCTGCTTCAGGTAATGCTCGAGATTCTCTGGCATCATGGCAAACTTTCCATCAAACTTCCACATGAAGTACGACTTCCGGAAGAACAAGCTACAGCTACAGTCAGGGTGTGCGCTGCAGGTGATGGATGCCTCCGAGAACGTAGAGGTCACATTCTGCAGCCGGCCAACGGAGACCTCCGCCGCTCTGGGTCGTGTCTGTAGTCTGTAATGCTTTAGGAGAAACATTTCGTCGTGATAGTAGTGGAAACACCGTACCACTCCAGCGGCCAGCGTGGTAACGTTGTGTATGGACAAATAATGGCTGCTGTTATCCTCGTGTCGGGCATAGTTAAAGGTCGTGAAAGCCGGCAACGTGTGGTCAGTATAAATCGTGACGTTCTGATGCCTCCAGATAATATGTTGCGCACCAGCGTCCGTTCCTCGCGTAGGAGGATTACAGGAAAATACAGCCGATCGGCCAACGGTTGTGCGAACAATGCTGGGATCTAGTGGCGGCAGGTTGGGCATTGGTAAGACGATGATGTCGTCTTGCATTTGCTGCTCGGCAGATAAGACTAACTGCTCAATCCCACCAACTGCAATTAAGTAATATGATGGCCGGGCGCGGAAGCGTGTAGCTGGTACGACGGCTACATTATATAAAATTCGCAAAGTTCAAACGCGGACTTACAACGTTTTTTAACCTTGACATACAGACATCGAACGCAAAACCGCGCCCGTTTACACGTCTTGCATGTATGTATGTACGGGCTAAACTCGACCGCATGCGCAAAACTGTCATGACATACGGACTGACATTATGCGTGCAGACATTATGCTTCTAAATTGTATCACCACATTTGAATTTCTAAAAATATAGCCTGTTGAAACAAGATGCGCTTGAGTATCGCTGCTGCGTAAAATTCTTTTCCGCTAAAATAAATAAAAAGACTGCGGTTAACAAAACTTCTGGGTAGCCAGATCAAAGCGGGAACCCGCCACATGGTTAAGCATGTATACAATCTTCTTTCGTAAAATACAGATGAAAAATCAGAATTACATTTATGCGACCAACAGATCATTCGACTCATACTTTGCTAATTAACATGATATCAAAAATTAATTTCTGACTTACGATGGAAGGCTGTCCAGCAATATTAGTCGAAGTCGGGTATTAAATTAGATTAAGAAATCAAGCACAGAACGGGGTTTATTGTAAACAGCACCAGCAGCTGGGTAGCCAGCGCGCAGGGTTCCCTGCGATACGACGGCAGTTCTACTTCTACATGACAAGTATACCACAAATTGTTAGAGACAGCCACAAGGATTTGCGAACCTTTTGGCAAGTCGGAATCAATTTGTAATACGCTAGTCAATGGGATCAAAAGTAAATTGAGCAATAACCAAGCAACAAGTAATCAGTAAACAGGGGCGCACATGGCCCAACACATCTTGCGCAGTCCAATCTGGATTCCCAGAATGCAGGCATCCCTGCACTATACAGTAGATGCATCAGTAATGCCGAAAAAGTTATCAGTTTTTACAATTTTAATTTCAAAAACAAACAAGAAGGCAAGAACCAAAAACTCAAAAGATATAAAGCCATATCATTTTATCGTTTAACCGTCGCCGTAAGCTCAAAGTATAGAGAAACAATCACGTGGTTTGGAATTTTGCTATTGGCGGTGGGCAGCCTCGATCCAACTCCAAATGCAGACCCACCAATGAAGATCGCAAAAATACGAAGTTTGCAAGTCGCTGGGCGTCGCTTAGACCCGTTACAAGGTACGCCCATGTTGGTAACGGTTTTCGTCGACGCCCACCGACAGACATCGAGCGAAAAGCGACTTACAACGAAGCCCAGCCAATTGAGACTTGGTACGCCTATTTCTCGCTTCGATGTAAGTCGCAGATGCTCGATGTAAGTCCGCGTTTTGACTCTGCGCATCTTTTCTATTATGAGTTATCTGCGCCACAACGTCAACGGCTTCGAATGGTCATCCTGCTCCATGGCGCAGTTCAAGCACTTCCTCTCCCGTCCACAGGCCGCCTGTTTCTTTGATGCACCCATGCCAGGACTGCGGTTGGGCAGCTCGCTCCCGGGGAAAATAATCCCGCTGGACTGGCAGTGCCAACTGGATCGCGGCACCACGGCCTGTTTTGTACGAACTACTTATTCAAAATTTCTACATGCCATCATTTGAAAATTGCGTGCAGTTTTTAATTTGTCCTCAACAAACACTATTTATTAAACATTTTGTTAAATTAAAATACCGATTTCCGCCGCAGTGTACAACTTGACGATTATCTTTAGTCTGAGTTTTCGACAATATAAACACTGCATTTAAATTTACATGTTACTAATTTTATATTTAATTTTACAAACAGCATGTTACTAATTTTACATTGTCGCTGCTTTATTTTGCAGAAAGATTCCCGGGTTTGCACTCAGCTATACTGTCACGACAAGGACACCGGTTACTGCATCGCCTTCCGTCCGGCCGCGGAAGGCTCGCCATGTGGAACCGGAAAGGTAACTGCACTTTTTTTAACGACCATCAATCCAACTAACATTTGTGACCTTTTGCAGAATTGTCGTGATGGCGTGTGCGTCACCGATGACTCTGCGGAAGCAGGCAGCGCCGGTTCCGATTTCAACGGACTAGGTGCCTCTGGTCCACCCTTCCCCGGAGCCCCGCCCCCACCCACCAGTGACACGCCACCAGGCCCGGCGTTGAACAGCCAAAGTATGGAGCGCGAAGAGGTGTGCGAAGGCGACGTACCCGGAGTGCGGGTCAGCGGAATGCCGTGTAAGGAGTTCCTGCGCGTCACCGGCACGACGTACTGTGATCACCGGGATATTCTGCGCTACTGCTGCAACGCGCGCCGCATCTTCTGCCCGCGATTGCGCGACACACTCTAACTGGAAGGAACGGACGCGGTGATCCAGTTCTGAACAGCGAACTGGTGTCTGGTGTGGAATCTCAGCCGAGCGACGCGTGCGCAACGGCGATAGTTCTTTTTGTTAAGCCTGTGATAATGAGTAGTACTTAACCGGCATTTTGTCTGGGGTAGATCGATGACGGCGTATACTAGCATGGGTTTTACGATGTTTATTACTCTGCGCTCATGATATTTTATAAACCGTTTTGGGGTACGATTTGTCACGCAGTGTCACCTGATAATCTGATGCGGGACGGGATGTAATTAAGACTAACTGCTTGGAGAACGATCGTGCAAAAACTCCGGAAACAATGCGCACAGCGGCATAGTTGTTAGGAAACTGCTGCACGTGAGCGCGGCAACCAGTGCAATTGCCCTCGTTAGGAGGAATTCTGCAACGGACGTACAGCACGCAAACATTTTTTTAACCTCAGGCAACAATTTCTCATTGTCGGCCTAAGTCGGAAGTATATTATAATTACAATTCCTACTCCGCCGTTTTCTTTCCCCAACATCTCCTCCTAGGCTCCTACACCGTTCGACGTAGATTTTTCGACGATAGCTTAAAAAAAGTCTAAATTCCTGTAGGGTGGCAAGACGACTTTTGTTTACTGCTGTTTTCAGTTTCAAATTTACGAAACTTTTGCGGAACGAATTTCGCTTATTGGCTGAATCAGAAACTACTAACGTCGAATAGGCGGAATGAGTTATTATTGCGAAAAAAATACCATGGCAACATCTACAGTAGGAAATACCAACATATTATTAGAAAGTGCTATTACAGTAATAACGAAGGGCGGAAACAATAAACACATTGCGAATCCGACATGTTCGTTCAGATTATACGAGTATCTTTGCATTTGCCAGTTCGCATGAAACAGCATTTACAAAAACGTAGCATCGAACGGTTGTTTTCTAAAAGCGATTTAAAACACCCAAAAGTTTCGCCCAAAAACATTTATTAGTTTAAATTATAGCTATCGATGACAAAGAAATCCTATAAACAAGCAATCAGTTCCTGTTTCTCGGTAATTTTTGAGAACATTATGTCTGCTAGACAATCTGGCATACGGACATTTCGGTAGAATAATTAGTATCCTAACTAATGCGGCACTAGAAACAAGTTTTCGGCAACACTTTAGGTCATGCCGAGTTGTTCGTATGCCGAAAGAGGAGTGTGGCAACAATTTTTTAAAAAGGTCACGTCAACAATTTTTAGTACACTTACTGTACTACTTAACAATAAAATCGTGGAAAATATGATAACGGCAATATGGAAAAAAAATTTCAGCAAAAGATTGATAAACACCAGCGTTAAATCTGTTAAAAACCTTCGATAAGCTGAGCACTATTTAATCCTTTAAATATTCGATGAAAATTCGTAAAAAACGCTGCTGCATCCTTTTTTAGAAGATGCTTCCAGGCGGAGAATTCTGCATTCAGTTATCAATATAAATATTTTTCGAATAAATTTTTTCGAATATATGTTGAGGGATGCCTTAATTAAGGACATTATCTTAGAAGCTGAAATAAACTTTGATTTTCATTAGCAAAAAACGAGCACAAACAGTAATAAGAAATGAAAGTATTAATAATTAATAAACAACAATAATAATGACAATAAGTTTACAGTGTTAGGTGTACTTATATTGCCGAAAGAAATCGCTTTGTGGCCAACACGCAGTAGCGTTAAGGGATTTGGCCCGGTACAGAGCACTAAACTCGTGTACATTGGCGGGAACTTTCGCTGTCGCGCACTCCTAAACACTTTTTTGCATTGCTTTATATTTTGTATCAAGAGAATTGTATACGTAGTTGTGAAATCCGTTTGCGCGCAACATCCGGTTGCGGAGTTATGAGGGCAACAAAATTCAAAAGTTTAAATGCATTCAGGTGTACCAAAGTCTCATTATGGACCGATCCTTTCAATTTGTACTAAATGCATACATAACATGAAGATTGTTTTGACGGATCGACAATTTTTTTTCGAATTTTAAAATGAATTTCAAAAATTTTAAAATTTATTTTAAAATCTAAAAATAATCCTAGAAGTCTGGTTCCGTACCAAAACAATCTTCATGGTAATGTGCATTTACGTGCAAAATTTCAAGGGGATCGGTCCATAATGAGACTTTTGGTACACCTGAATGCATTTAAACTTTTTTGAATTTTGTTACCCTCATAACTCCACAACCGAATGTTGCGCGCGCAAACGGATTTCACAACTACGTATACAATTCTTTTGGCTACAAAATACCATAAAGCAATGCAAAAAAGTATTTGGGAGTGCGCGACAGCGAAGGTTCCCCTGGATGTACACGAATTTGGTGCTATGTACCGGGCCAAATCCCTTAAGCCAACGCCAAAACTACGAAAATGTGTTTCAAGCGCCGTTTTTGTTTTGTTTTCAAGAACTTGCTATTGTTTTAAAAATTTTGAACTTTTTAGGATACACGTAAGAAACAGGTGTTCGCCAAACTGTAACAGTACCTTCTTTAGGCAATCATCTATTTGCACGGATATACTGTGGTTGTTGTTATTTCATCATTGTTGTAATCGTAAAAATAAGACTAAGCCAAAAAAATGTTCTAGCAAATTAAATAACGGTTATTGTTTACAATAATTACGCCTGTTGCGGTAAAAATAGTTCGTCCAGTATGGATGTTTTAAAGATTGATTTTTTGATTCTAAATATTTTAGACATTTCTTCGCTAGGAGTATTCAGTTTTCTGATCTCTACAGTTTCTACAAATTCTACGTTTTGCAAGCCGAGGCCGGAGGCCGAGGATTGCCTTGTATATATACATTATTACCTAAACTTTATCGATCTCGGATGCATTCAACCTTTCTCGGCCATAGACGACCGTGAATCTTACTGCTGCACTACTCTGTACTCTGTATTTCCAAACTACAGTGATTCTCCATCGTTCCGCGGTTGTCATCTAAAATGCCGCTGCGCAGGCCGGCTCGTCATTCTTAAATGGGCACTTTTTAAAAGGATACGATATACAAACTACACGATTATCGTTGTTTTATTTCTGTTCCTCGTGCGCGAATCACAAAGTTGACCTTAGAAACTCTTATCCATTCCCCAGCTTCTTAACATGAGTTATCACGTCGAAAATCCCAGTGCTGCCATTAATGCGATGGAAGGTTATACAAAATGTAATTCCACCTTTTTGCCTGTGCTCATTTTGCTACAATCACTGAATCGGGAAGACATGGAAGCGGAGGATTTCATTACTCGCGTAGAGAAAGAGCTTCGACACGAAGAGGAACGTTTTCTACCTTTTGTAGAAAACGTTCCTCTTCGTGTCGAAGCTCTTTCTCTGCGCGAGTACTTAATGAAATCCTCCGCTTCAAGGTGACAAGGAAGTCGAGAACGATGCCGCCAATGGCAGCACCAAAATGTGAGGCGCTGTCTTCAGCCTTAGCACTATAAGTGCTCTCCAGTCTCCATGCTGCCCATAATCGTCTTTGTAATGCGCTCTTCCTAGCTTTCCATTGAGTTGTCCACATGAAGCATTACAAAAAAAAGGTAATGCTTCATGTGAAAAACTCAATGAAAGGCACGTTACTTCTTCAGGGTACTGCTGGTCGGTGGTAATTATGTACAACAGACTGGAAGTATAGTGAACATGTACGTATAACGTGCGCTAGTAGCAGAAAACATTCCAAATTAAACAAGCATGATGGCTGGTTATCTTACTTCCGGCTTCACGCAAGACGAGACGGAAATTGTGGACGATTAGTCATAAGCCCTTAATTTACAGTACAGTATTTTGTAGATAACGATGGAAAGGACGAAACTGCCGAGCAATCGGTAATTAAAACAATACATTTGTACATCAGACGAAGTTTGCTCTCCTCTTGCTCCGATTTTCAAAATCCAACAAAAGTGCAGATAAATCGAGGCACAAAATGTCCAGTATATCAGTCGTTCAATGAAAATGATATGCCACTTGTGGAATAGCCGGTTTTCTGATATAATAATTATAGCAAAACTCCGGCGATTCCGCAGGTAGTTTTCGTGTTGGTATCGTGTGTATTAGAACAAGTCAAATGTGTGCAAATCCAGCGTAGATGCCGCAGTTATACTAGTATTTCACCTTCAAGTGGCACTGCGCTACTCACTGCTGGAATACTATAATTATACCGATGTAAATACTGCAGTAATCAGAAACCGTCCGGCCATTGGTTTTATTATAAAGCTGCAAAAGATCAATATACCGCAAAGTTCCCTGTAATCCGACTATGAGAAGTTGCCGCATGTTGTCGCCGGAAAACATCATACCATGCTGGTGCAATACCTCCGTTTAGTACACTATCCAAATGAAGGCAATTAAACTGACTGCAGCGCTGCCGCACATCGCCATTTCCCGGCAGTTGTGCCGGTGCGCTAGTTTCCCGCATTCCGGTGCTCCAATAGTCCATCATAAAAACTTTCAGATTCTTATACGCGTTTGGGTTACCGTAAAACCCGATATTAACGCCCTGGGCCTTTATTTTTTCGAGAGCTTCGGGAGGGGGCGCTTAAAACCGCAGGGGGCGTTTATTACGGGGGGGCGTCTAATATTTCAATTGAATAACACGCTCATGATATCTAAGTTTTAACGAGATTTATATTTGTGGATATTAAAGGAATAATTTAGAAACCAAGACATTTGCTAGAAAATCATGGTTTAACGGGTGTTTTAATTAAGAAGATGTACCATTTAGACTGTAACGACCACGCTCAAAAAAAGGGCGCCGCCGCAACTTATTAGGCGCCCCGGGGCGATAATTTCGGGGGAACTTTTATTATTTCGAGAGCTTTGGGAGGGGGCGTTTAAAACCGCACGGGGCGTTAATTTCGGGGGGGGGGGCGTTAATATCGGGTTTTACGGTATATAGCGCGCACTAGAACGCACACCTTTCCCTAATCATCGATCTTTTAGACTAATACAGGACAACTTTCTAGTAAGCAATATATAGAGCCTACCGCAGATCGAGGAACTGCGAGCGCTGGCCTAGAGCCGACCACTGTTTTACAACCGATAAAGCTGCATCTTTGATCGCTCTTACCCTGTATTTTTAAGTATTCGAAACATACAAGTAGATGCGATCCGAAATTACGATTAGTACCATTTTCCATAAAATGCATGATTATCAAAAATAAAGCTACTCATAGTGAATTACACACAGACTGCACACCGATCGACGGATTTCTTGCTTGCAGCTAGAGCC